ATTCCCTGCTAACTCGCATATAATCAGGTGCCGCAAAGATGGAGAGCGGGGCAAGGGTTATGGACTCTAACGATTTGGAAAAGGAGCGAGGGATTACCATCTTGTCGAAGAGCACTGGAATAACCTACAAGGGCTACCGTATTAACATTGTTGATACCCCAGGTACCACTGCGTTTCCATGTGGGCGTGCAATAATGTAAAGCTTTTGGTTTAATGATGTACACTTTGCTTGAATTAGGGCACGCAGATTTCGGTGGAGAGGTCGAACGCGTGTTGTCGATGGTCGATGGTGTATGCTTGGTGGTGTGTGGAACAGAAGGCCCAATGACGCAGACAAAATTTGTCTTGTCAAAAGCCTTGGAGAAGAATTTAAAACCACTGGTGGTTATGAATAAGGTTGACCGACCCACTGCTCGGCCAGAAGAAGTTGAGGAGGGTACGTTTCTCTATATTAGACAGCAGATGTTTGATTGCGTCGTTAAATGGGAATTGTATCTGCAGAACTCCTTGAACTTTTCATCGGTCTTGATGCCAATGAGACGCAGCTGGAGTACCCGATTTTGTACGCTTCGGCGAAAGATGGGTGGGCGACCAGAGAGTTGAATGGAAAGCGAGACAATGTTCTGCCATTACTTGAGGAAATCGTAAATCATGTTCCGGCGCCTAGCGTTGACCGTTCAGCGCCCTTCTCTATGCTAGTAACGGTAGGTCCAAGGCTTCATCTGATTGCAGATTGATGGTCGTGGCACTGACGGAATTCTGGATGACAGCAAATTGAGAGCGACCCATACGTCGGCAAGTGTTACATGGGCAAGATCCAGTCCGGTACACTTAGGGTGGGGGACAAGATCAAGTCCCTTAACACTGATGGCAAGATTGCTGTGGAAGGACGGTGCACTAGGATTTTCCTGCGTCAGGGTTTGCAACAGGTATATACTCTGGTCCTGGTTTACTGTTGCAGTCGTCTTAGTAGTCAACCTCTGTTTCCATGTATCTATAGGTTGCGACGGAAGTGGCGGCCGCAGGAGATATTGTCTCTGTGGCGGGTATTGATGGCGCCTACGTCAACCACACTATTTGTGATACGGCAGTGTCCAATCCATTACCGGTTTGTCATCTCTGTCCTATTCAAGCGTGTGTGCCTGTAATTCACTCTGTACGTGGATTTTTTTCAGTTCACCAAAGTCGATCCTCCTACGATTTCCATGATGTTTTATGTAAATGACTCGCCTTTAGGTGGCAAAGAGGGTAGGTCACAGTTTGTATTACTGTTTGCGGGAATACGCAATCCTTAACCGGCAATACATTCAGGGAAATTCTTGACTTCACAAGTGTTGCGAGACCGTCTTGTGAAAGAGACTGAGACCAATGTCGCTCTGCAGGTTGTGCAACACGGTGAAGCTTTCGAAGTCAAGGGGCGCGGAGAATTACAAATGGGCGTACTTATTGAGACTATGCGACGAGAAGGATTCGAAATGTCCGTATCTCCCCCTCGAGTCATCTACAAAGTGGAAGGAGAGGACAAGGAGAGGAAGATTTTGGAACCGATAGAGGAAGTGACGATCGATGTTGAGCATGAGCATGCGGGGACGGTGATTGAGAAGATTACAAAGAGGAAAGGAGACATGAAGAGCTATACTGAGACTGGCGACAAGGCGAGATTGATCTTCCATGTCCCAACAAGGGGCTTGTTGGGTTACCCAGCCGAGTTCAAGAACGACGTACGTGAGATCACATTTTTTTTCTTACACTCAAAATTGACTCTCGGACTATAGACGCACGGACAAGGTATCATCAACTATCTGCTTCTCGGCTACGAGCCTTATAAAGGGCAATTGGACAGAACCCGGAAAGGCTCCATTATTTCGACAGCGTCAGGTGAAACGACAGCATATGCACTCGCAGCCGTTGAACCTCGTGGCAAACTATTTGTCACACCCGGTACCAAAGTATATCCTGGGATGATCATTGGGGAGCACAACCGCGAGCATGACCTTGAAGTCAATCCTGTTAAAGCCAAGCAGTTGACCAACATACGACAAGTCAACAAGGAAGAACAAATTCGGTTGACTCCAGTGGACTCGATGGGGTTAGAGAAGATGCTTGCCTACGTTCAAGGTACAATACTGTTTTTTTGCAATGGAGATTTGATGAAATCATCGACACTAAGACGATCCCATAGATGACGAAGTGATTGAAATCACTCCTGTGAGTATCCGAACGCGAAAGAAGGAACTCGACAGCACCAAGCGCAAAGCTCAAGCCAGGAAACGGCACCCCGATTTCGGAACCTTGTAAAGGTTTCATTCTTTTTATGTAGATTGTAGCATAGATGAGCGCATCCGCCTTTGTGTTTACTATGTATATTCATGTTCGTAGCGATATTTATATAGACTTTAAGACATCCTTTGTGAGTTCGCCAGTCGCCAACTGCGACAAAATAAACATAGTTGTTACTGATTTCCTGGTAACTATTCCATGGAGGTCACTTACAGCTGAAAGATGACCCCAGATCAACTGCTTGAAAGTAACGGATATGCTCACCCATGTCAATAGTACTCTTTTGCTCGGTACCATTGCAGACCTTGGCAAACAGTGTTGACAGGTCGCAATGGAATATGTTCTCCCATCACAAGCTTCTCGAGTGCGGTCCTCAAAGGCAGTTTTGAGAAGCCACCTACGGGCAAACCAATGCCAAATGGGAGTCAACGGCAAGCAAAGTTCTTTATCGGTCTTTTGAGCTTCCGCTTGCCTGCCAAACTCGCCCAGCGGTCCAAAGAAAAGCACGTTGTGATGGAAGCGACGACGGCCTGAAGCCGAGAGCCCCAATCATTGAGCGTTGCGAGCACGCAATGTCCGCCATGTCCGAACGTCCGGAATTTTTGGGGGAAACAATTTTTGCCTTTTTGCGTTGGGGCCGTGGGGTTGAGGCCCAAAACGCCACATAAGAAGGGGCCCGTTCTGACCTCCCCCCCTCCATTTAACGCTCATCACTTTTCCGCATCACCCCACGCACGCACAAGCACATACACGACATGGCCGAAGAAACCTTCCTCTTCACTTCTGAATCTGTCGGTGAGGGTCACCCCGACAAGATTTGCGATCAGGGTATGATGACCGTTCCCGTCAATTTCAACCCGCAATCTTGCATTGCTCACGCATTATTCTACATTTAGTCTCTGACGCCATCCTGGATGCCTGCTTGGCTCAGGACCCCTTCTCCCGTGTCGCTTGTGAGACGGCCACCAAGACTGGTATGATCATGGTCCTCGGTGAAATCACCACCAAGGCCACCTTGGACTACCAAAAGATCATCCGTGAGACTGTCAAGAAGATTGGCTTTGACGACTCCAGCAAGGGTTTCGACTACAAGACTTGCAACGTCCTCGTTGCCATTGAGCAACAGTCTCCCGAAATCGCCAGCGGTCTCGTACAGCAGGGTGCCGACCTCGAGAAGATTGGTGCTGGTGACCAGGGTATCATGTTCGGGTACGCCTCTGACGAGACCCCCGAGCTCATGCCCCTCACCATCGTGCTCGCCCACAAGCTCAACATCAAGATGGCTGAGCTTCGTCGTAACGGTGAAATGGGTTGGTTGCGTCCCGACTCCAAGACCCAGGTCACTGTTGAATACAAGATGATCAACGGTGTCCCCGTTCCCCAGCGCGTCCACACCATCGTCATCTCTACTCAGCACGCTCCCGAAATCTCTCAGGAGCAGATCCAAAAGGAGCTCCAGGAGAAGATCATCAAGGTTCGTGTCACAAGGCATCAATTCTAGTGAATCTGGAATATGAACTAACGTAAATGATGGTTTATATGTAGACTGTCATTCCTCCCCAATACCTCGATGATCGCACCATCTACCACTTGCAACCCTCTGGTCGTTTCGTGATTGGTGGACCACAAGGTGACGCTGGTGTCACTGGTCGTAAGATCATTGTCGACACCTACGGCGGTTGGGGTGCCCACGGTGGTGGTGCTTTCTCTGGAAAGGACTGGTCCAAGGTCGACCGTTCCGCTGCATACACTGCCCGATGGATTGCAAAGTCTCTCGTGGCCGCCAAGCTCGCCCGTCGTGCTCTGGTGCAACTGTCGTACGCCATCGGTGTCGCTGAACCCACCTCCATTTTCATTGACACATACGGCACCGGTGTAAAGACCAATGCTGAACTTCTCGAGATTGTCAAGAACAACTTTGACCTCCGTCCTGGTGTCATTGTCAAGGAGCTTGATCTCTTCAAGCCCATCTACGAGGAATCTGCTCGCTACGGACACTTTGGTCGTTCCCAGTTCACCTGGGAGCAGCCCAAGGCTCTCAAGTTTTAAATGTAACTTTTGAACATTAAACTTAGAAGATGCAAAAATGTCGGTCTGGGGCTCGACATTATGGGTTATGTACAGGGCGATTTGACTTGCGTTTGGCGCGGGTCGCCCCATAATCGCCTCCTCTTTTATTTTTTAAATATATTACAATTGATGATATACGTCCGTCCAAATATGGCAATATGTCCGAATGTGTCCGAAAACACGTTGGTCCAGCATAGGATTCATTCGTGTCTTTCCGCGAGCCTTCTCAACAGAGAAAGTGGAGCATCCACAAGAGGAATCGAATTATTGCTCATGTGCTGAAACCGTAGGACCGCTTCAATTCTGGCGTTTACCGCAGTATGTTTACATTGAGTCGATTGCCTACTGCACGCAGTGTTCCTTATTCTCACAGCAGGACCGCGTGTGAAAAAAGATTGGTGCTAGCTTTACAAACTACCCAAGAGCAACATGGAGTACAATCCCAACAAGTACGAGCCATTGAACCTGATAGGTCGGGGCTCGTTTGGTGTGATTCGGAAAGTTCGACGACGGTCAGATGGAAAGGTCAGTTGCACGTCACAAAGTTGCAGGAGCCAGCCAAATTCCAGCGTGCTCGAATGGTCCTCACGATAATGGTTTCTCTGCGTACAGATTTACGCTCGTAAAGAAATTGACTACAAACGAATGAGCGAAAGAGAAAAAAAGCAGCTTGTGGCGGAGGTCAACATTCTGAGGGAGCTTCGTCATCCCCATATTGTGCGCTATTACGAGCGGGACGTGGACCGTGACAATTGTTTGATGTACATATATATGGGTAAGTACTATACGTTTTACTCTCGGGTGCCTTATGTATATGCAATAAATTGACCATGCGATTTGATGTCATAGAATACTGCGAAGGTGGGGACTTGGCGGAAGTAATACGAAGATATAAGAAAAGAGGGTATGCAGGCACAATCTTTCGCAGACAACCGACGATTGTTAAGATTTCCATTACGACAACTTCAGGAAGCGCTTTGCGGAGCAGACAATATGGAAATACCTCGCACAGCTCCTTTTAGCCCTTCATGAATGCCACTGTCCGGGATCCGGCAAGTCCGGTGTCCGCCCAACGGTGCTGCACAGGTGCTTTATCCCTTCGCTGTCTGCCCTTACATAATTGTTTGAAGCTGACAGCTTCACCACTATTAGGGATCTTAAACCGGACAATGGTACAGATTGAGAAGCATTTGAATGACAGCGTCACTTGGGCAGGTCTAATTGGATTCGCTACTGGCAACAGTTTTCCTCGATGGGCGAGATGATGTCAAGTTGGGGGACTTTGGGTTGTCGCGATTAATGGACGGATCCGAGTTTGCTAGAACATATGTTGGGTATGGTGCTAGTCTGGTGGATTGCCAGGTCGAATCCTTACATCTTTATTCATGAATACCTTGTTCCGACTGATAGAACTCCGTTTTACATGTCACCGGTATGCAACACCCGGGCATGGCGAAATGCCACATGTTCTGAATCTCTTTTGTGCAGGAACTGATCAGCGAGTCAAGTTACAATGAAAAATCGGACGTGTGGGCATTAGGTAAGTCGGCCGTTTTCTGTCCATCCAGCATGATATTAACACCCCGCGAAGGATGTCTGATTTACGAACTATGCACTTTGGAGTAAGCGTCTGTTCAAAAAATATTATTGTCGACTTTTACTCTAACTACTGTGCGTCATATTCAGTCCACCCTTTCAAGCAAAAACACAATCACAGCTTGCCATGAAGATTCAACAAGGTGCCGTTGCCCCTTTGCCGCCACAGGTAAGACCGGCGGCTGGATGTTTTTCAAGATTGTGTATGGAATATTGATGCACACATAAGTATTCCCAAGAGCTTTTCTACATCATAAAAGCAATGTTGCAAGTAAATGTATGTTTGTTATGCACCCAATGTAACATTTGAAGGCGCTTGAGCTCATGTCGTGGCTCGTAGCAATCGCGACGTCCGACAACTGCTGACCTACTTGAAGTACCAATGATAAAACAAGCACTCGGTGAAGAGTACGCAGTCTTGGAAACGCGCGAAATGTCATAAGAAATATTCGATCTCTAATCGTGATATTGTTTAGACCACCAAAGAACGAAAAACCACCAGCTGTTGACCAGCGTGAGGATGAACTGCGAAAACGAGAATTGGCAATCGAAGCAAGAGAAGTTGCGGTCCTCGCGCGTGAGGAGGAATGGAAGAGGGTCGCAGTGGCACATGAAGAGCGATTGAAGGCCACATTAGAGCGACAGGAGGAGGAACTGAAGAGGAAATACGCGCAATTGGAACACCAATTAATGTCGGCTCTACGAGCAAAAGAAGAGTCTTTGTTAAAGCGGGAAGCGGAGCTTATAGAGAATCGGACCCTTTTGCAGCAAGGTACTTGTTGACTACTACTCTAGGTTGAGTACCATGTGAAAAAATCTTTACTTATTATAATTGCAGCTATAGAAAAGCAACGGCATGTGCCACATACAGTAAATCACACATACCGTCGTGGATTAGAAGAGAGGACCACTGCAAGCAACAAGGAGTATGAGTTCCTTCATTTAAATGATTTTTTCATGAGCCACTCGCTGACCTCTTTGCTGTATCAGGAACGTGTTCACATCGGCTTTTGGCAACCTTGGTGTGCTGGGAAGGCGGAAAAGCATAAAAGGCGTAAGCACCCCTATCTCCAGCCTTCCGACCCCACCCATCAGCGCGCCAGGGAGTGCCGGCACCAATCATCCGACAGGTTCGGCAGAAAAGATAAGAGCGGACGTAAGGCATACAGGCGGTCCGCTCCTTCGACGCGCACAATCAGAGCGCGACTGGAGGGTGAACCACCACGGGGAAATGGATGACATTGTGAAAGGACTTGAACAATTTGCTCTCTCGTCACCCATGAGACCAAAGACAACTGGACCGGACGACATGTCTATTATGATGCATTTATCCCCGTAGGATTTGCAGTTTATGGAAGAATATCACAAGCATATGGTCACGTGTTAATTTGACATTGATAACTTGAGGTCGGAACGAGATAGATAGATCGGTCGTCCTCATCCTGAACGTTTCAGTGCATTGTCACGTTGGCCTTGCAATCAAGTGTTTGACGACCAGCGTTCTTGGGCAGTTCCTATCCTGCATTTCACACTCCCGACCGCCAGTTCAACGCGTGTTGTCAGCAAGATCACCTGGAGCATGAATGCTGAAGATGGTACTTGCGCACATTGGACCATGTTACTTGGACATCCCTACCAATCACTTGTACTCATCCTGAACTAATTTCTTGTAGCATACAAGGCAAAATAGTATGTCTGCTGTCATGTCAGCTTGAATCTGACTCTTAATCACATGCACCATCCCCAGTAAAGCAATGAAGGAGAAGGTCAAAGACATGGAGAGGGTGCGTGAATACAATGTGTGCTAGTTTTTGATGCCAATTGATAATAAGAGAGGAGATGCTTGCAGGAGTATGATCGGTTGAATATCCAGCTAGCCAAAATTAATGCCAGTATTCGACGAATAAAATTGGAAAAGAGGTTTGTGATAAAGACACCTTTTGGCTATTGTGGACTGCTCCAAGCTCAACTTTGCAAACCGTCCGGTATTTTTCAGCTTCCTTTGGGAGAGGTCCGAAGGTGTAAACCACATATCAGGATCAACAACCGCTATGGAGCACGGAGTAAGTGGTTTCTCCGACCACCAACCGTCGCAAATGGCTCATCACTACACGTTAGTTTGATGAAAACAATCGACGATGATATTGACATGGTGCACTTTGCACTTGCAGAGGGGGTGCCAGGATTGCCGATGAATGGCGAGACCCCAAAACGCAATATTTGACTGCCACAATGAACTGAACAGCTCATAAGCTCAAACTGAATGGCGGTGGTAAATGGTCATCTATTCTTGATCTGATGGATATAAGAGACGGCAGAGTAGAAATACATGGGCAAAGTATCGAGAAAAGTTTATTTCGATGAGAGTGCAGCGACACCTGGAAGGTCCTTGCCTGTGGGATCACATTGTCAACATCTCAAATGCCTGAAGATATTCGAAAGCTAAGAGCACGCACCTTCCAACAGCTCCAAACTAGCACCCCCTCCAGTACTGACATGAGAGAAGTCGTCTTCCCGACCGGCTTTAGCCACAGCAGTAGCCGTATCACCGCCACCAACGATCGAGGTTGCTCCTGTAGTACATTCGTCAGTAATCAAGATCAAGAAATCGGCTGGTGGAATTGTAACTAACCCTTCTTCGTCGCCTCTGCGCACGCCTCCAGCAAGCTGTTGGTTCCCTCCGCGAACTTGTCAAACTCGAAAACTCCTGCGGGTCTACTCAGAGAATAGTTAGGGGCGAACCAAGGGAGAGCAGCGCCTTTCGGAACATCAAAGACACCGCAACATACCCATTCCAGAGGATAGTCTTTGCTTCCAAGACCGCCTGACGGGACTCTTCGTTGGTTTTCTTTCCAGAGTCAAGACCCAACCAGCCCTTGGGGATACCCTCTTCTTTTGTGGCGTAACCAACCTATAAGGACAACAAGGGGAGTAACGTTAGGGCCATTATACTCATGCCTCTTCGTAGGTCGGTATAATTACGTTGGCGTTGGCGTCAAACTTGTCAGCTACAGTCCCAATTGTTAGTATCCTGGCACGCGTTCTGCCACCATCGCTAGTGAAGCGTACCTGTCACAAAGTCTTTTGGGAGGTAGAGTTTGACGTTCTTCGCCTTTGCTTTCTCGACTAGCTTCTGTACGATTTTGGCGCCCTCTTCATCGAACAAGGAGTTTCCGATCTCCACATTCTCCAAAGTCTTCAGGAAGGTGAAAGCCATACCGCCGCAGATAATACAGGCATTGACCTGTTCAAGAAGTTAGGCTGAAGGTTATGGACCAATGTAGTTGAATATATTTGCTAACCTTGTCCAAAAGATTGTCGATGAGCTGGATCTTGTCTGTCACCTTGGCACTGGATGTGAAGAGCGATTATCATCTAGGTGCGTTAACACTGCACCTACTAACAGTTAAGGTATCTTACCCTCCGAGGATAGCAAGGAACGGGCGTTCCGGGTTTTCCAAGGCCTTGCCAAAGAAGTCGAGCTCCTTTTTCATGAGGAAACCTGCGGCTTTCACTGGGAGGTTGACGCCGACCATAGAGCTAGGCATGAGAGCAGAGTGTAAGAAGAATGCAAATGACAAAGGGACTTGACACCGGTGGGTCTACCTATGCGCCCGGTGAGCCGTTCCAAAGGCATCATTGATGTACACATCGCCAAGCTTGGAAAGCGAAGCGCGGAATTTCTCAACGTCCTCTTTCGAGGCCTTGATCTAAAAACAGTGAAAATGTGAACAACAACCCTGATGGAGATCTAACACTCTTTTTTAGACAAACCTTGTTGCCCTGCTCGTCCTTTGTGGAGCCTTCCTCCTCGATGTGGAACCGCAAGTTCTCCAACAAAATGATCTCTCCTACGAGGATGACAAAATCCCATCAGTTTCCGCCATGACGTGCTCCAAGAGAGCGACTGTGGATGTCTATGTTCTCGTACCATTAGATGCCTTAGCACAATGTTCTTCGACTTTTGGTCCAACACAGTCGTCCAAGAAGGTCACGGGTTTGCCGAGGAGCTTGCCCACTTCTTCTGCAACTGGCTTGAGAGAGTACTTGGCCACAACCTTTCCATCAGGACGACCGAGGTGGCTCATAAGCACGACGCTCTTGGCGCCTATTCGGGGCAGGTCATGTTAAGATGTATCTTCTTGGCTGCAGGTGGTATCAATTTTTGCTCACCTTTTTCAAGGGCATATTTGATTGTTGGAAGAGCAGCTGTAATACGCTGGTTGTTTGAGATTTTGCCGTTCGCAAAAGGAACGTTAAAGTCAACCCTGGATGGTTAAGGTATCAAATTTGGTATACTATATTGAAAGTCTTACTCTACGGCTCCTACCGAATGAGGACGCGCTTGCCGGAAAGGTCCACGTCCTGAATACCAAGTTTGTTGCTCAAAGACATTGTGTAGGTAAACCTAATGGGTAAAGAATCGCGTTGCCGATGGTGTGTGTGAAGGCAGAGATGAACCTTTTTGGTGCTGTGGTCGAATCGATTCGGCGTCAGAGCTGAGTCATGCCTCGGGGATGATCGGACGCTTAGCACATTAGATAATCACGGCTACGAACATCCTTCAAGCCCTTTTTGACATGATGGATATTTGTTCCAACCCGGACTACATGGAATTATCTAAAGTAATGCTTTGAAACGTTTTGCTCTCGATGTATTGCATATTCTTGGTCTTGTAACAGAGCACTCCCCTACAGCAGTCTCTGAATTGGATCCATATTGGGCTTGATAATGATGGCAAGGTTTTTGTTACATAATATTATCTTTCTGTCGAGTTCACTTCTTCTAGAGTAAGCTCACCTTGTAAGATTTGTTGGAAAACTAAAATGGTGGCGATATTGTGGTTGTGCCCACTTTGTTACGCCGATAAAACGTGAGTAGAAGGGCTGTGTAGGTCGAGCAGGTAGAAAGTTGCTCTGAACCATGTGCTAGAACCAAGCCTAAAAGTGCTGAATCTGGGCCGTTTTGCCAAAATGTCGTTGTGGCTTGGGGTAAGAACATTGATTTATAGTAGGCAATGGCGTAAAAATGTGTCATGGCGAATTGGAGCAAGGAGAATGTTTAGGATACTTACTTGATACACATATAGGCAGTGCGGGATTGCACAGGCAGTGCGGGATTTTCAGGGCCTGCTGAGCCGAATGTCTCCGCAGTTATCCATACTTGTAGGTACTGCACTTATGGGTGGGTTGTCTTTTAGACTGTACTTTAGGGCGTCAAACTCGTCAACTGTCCTTTGTGCACCAGGCGCAGGTTTGGTGCACTGCCAAAATGCCTCTGGACTGAGCACCAGGGCCCTAAACCTGAGAGTCAAGCCGGCTGAGTTGGCGAGGCGGAACGCGAGACTAAAACACCGAGAAGGCTCAGCTAATGGCTGCTTTTCCAGCCGCCAGGTACTCAACCTTCACCGTTATGCCTCCGGGCGCTCACCATCTTGACATAAATATCTGAAGGCCCTCAATATCCCGTTCAACAGATTCTCATTATCCATTCAGCGTCGAAACAAACTCTCTGCTTCACCACTCTTTGAACTCGATACAAACAGATACGATGAAGTGCATCATTCCAGCTTTAATCGCCTTGATTGCCACCGCTGCCGCTGCGCCTTCTGGGGAACGCGGCCATAACAGCCATAATAGATACCATGAAGATAACGAGAAGAGTGAATTTGAAGGGTACGTAGCGCAGCTCTCTCTTTGCGCATGCTCTTTTGTACTCATGTTGGCGATCCTTTAAATCCAGGGCGATTGATGCTTTTGGAAATTGGGCTGGCCGATGGTCGGACGGCACAGAAGGGGCTTATGGTCACGGCGAATTCTCCGGACGCAAGGAGCATGGGCGTTACGGCATTCAAACAGAGGCCTCGAAACACGAGAAGCCGGAATTCGAAGGGTAGGCGATCTCATAGAAAAAATTACGCATGCACTACAATTCACATGAATTACTAGGGCGTACGATCGAAACACTGACCGTTGGAGCGGACGATGGTCCGACGGGAGAGAGGGTGCCTACGATGATGGTCGCTTTTCAGGTCGCCGTGGCCATAAATACGGAATTCAAACAGAAGCAACCAAGCACGAGAAGCCGGAATTCGAAGGGTAGGCGATCTCATAGAAAAAATTACGCATGCACTACAATTCATATGAATTACTAGGGCGTACGATCGAAACACTGACCGTTGGAGCGGACGATGGTCCGACGGAAGAGAGGGTGCCTACGATGATGGTCGCTTTTCAGGTCGCCGTGGCCATAAATACGGAATTCAAACAGAAGCAACCAAGCACGAAAAGCCGGAATTCGAAGGGTAGGCGATCTCATAGAAAAAATTACGCATGCACTACAATTCACATGAATTACTAGGGCGTACGATCGAAACACTGGCCGTTGGAGCGGACGATGGTCCGACGGAAGAGAGGGTGCCTACGATGATGGTCGCTTTTCAGGTCGCCATGGCCATAAACACTGAATCCATCAATTTGAGAGGTACGTAATTATCCCCCTTTGCAGCCTTATTCCTCAGATGGCTGACACTCATTTGGATCTCGTACAAGGCTTCTGACGATGGCACACTGATTGGATATTGAGATATATTTGGTTATATGAGAAGAGAGCCCACAGCTGTATTACCTCAATTGCTGTAAATAATCATTTCCATATGCCTTTCATGAAATATGATATCATTGCCAATTTGAACTTGCTCTGCATAAAATTGCTCGGTGACAAGGGTTTCTTGCTTACAGCATTAGCGATGTGGGATTATGATATTAGGATATAGCTCCCACTTTATCTGGTATCCGCTTAACTGAAAAAGAAATCACCGCGCCTTTGGTTACTACTGACAAGATCTGAATTCTCCTGATGGCACAATAGTTTAGCTGGTTTATTCAAAGGGAGGCGCACTGGACTCGCTGGAGCATAACAGGTTGGATAAAGGCACATTGGTTACGTAAGCTACATTTTAATAAAAACTCCGACGGACGGAGGGGACCCACGCCCGATGACCGAGGGCCACAAATATGGGGGCGCTCAGAAACCAGGAACTGGAATTGTTTACAGGAGCGCAGTGTGGCTGTCCGATTGGCTGTTTACTCAAAAGACTATTTCCGTCTGGTAAATGGAATGGAAGATACTATTTACCGTTTGCATTGTTCCGATTTTGCTTTCTGCTTCCCTAGGAGAACAATATGAGAATATTATCGTTCAATTATCGACGGTATGTTTTGCATAAATATAATTGAAGGTACAATGAAGCCTGGATGCCGAGTTCGAGGATTCAAACATGTGACCGCGGATCGTTATGAAGGGGATTTTCTTGCATGCATTACCTTACTTGCTAAAGTTGATTTTGACAATGAGGATCTAACGTACCATAGACAATATTGTGTTGACCGAGGGCAAGGTTCTAGGCCATGTCGTGCGTCAAAACGTTTTTAAAGAAGGGGGATAAAAGGACGCTTAAAAGGTTGCCGTCTCCGATCACAGTATCCGATCACAGTACCTGTATCTAAAGCGTAAATACAAAGTCGTGAAGCAGCAGAATGGACGTCGGACCTCTAGTCGCCGCGTAAGTTTATTTAGTCACCTTTTGGTTGTGTCTGTTCCCTCAATGACCAGGCGATTGCTTTCCATAGTGACTACACTGGCATTATTATCACTTTGATCATTTTAGGAACATGCTGGGAAAATATTCAGCTTATCAAAGATGTGCAGCTCAAGGTCGCAATTCTGGCGTTTTTCATCTGTTGGATCATCGCACTTTCTGTAAATTGTTTCACTTGGCGCGCTCTTGGGGACGGCAATATCGATGGTTTCCTGCGACTCAATATCGTAAATTCAACCTTCTGGAACATTGCGATATTGGCCCAATCGTACTATTCCGTGCGTCGAACGTGCATGATCTATCACCTGTCTACCAAGCTCCAAAATGCGATTCCGGTTTCACTGAACATCATTCAAGCAGTCATCCAATTTACTGCCATGGCGCTCTGGAACATTGATTTTAAACAGTACTATGGAACGTACGCGTCCCCAGCAACCGGCAAATCAGCAATAGCCACAGTCTCCTATATCATTCCGGCAGAAATCATCTACTTCAGTCTTCTGCAGATCAAGATTGCTCAATGCGCCACCGCCTTCGATCGCAACAGGAACTGGAGCAAGCTCGTAGCGCTCTGGTTGGAAGCAATTGTCCGTGTTGCTCTCTACGTCGTCATCATAGCGTTGAGTTACACAACGGCGTCGAATTATATTCCTCAGATCACGTACTGGTCTTTCGTAATGGTTTTGCCTGCGATGATACCCGTAATATTCTTGACAGACATCAATCGCTTCCAGAAGGCTCTGAAGAATAGAAGCAACCACAATGGCCCCAGCAGTCTGGAATCCCAACGAAAGCCTTCCTCGGTAGGAAGGGAAGGTGAATCAGTGCACATTAAAGCTACGGCCACTGCGTCCGGGACCCAAAATCACTAGAAGGCTGCCGGTCGGCGAGATAAAGATTGCGTGCAGATATTTGCATGTGATACACATTCTACCTACGCTAGGTGCCAGATGTTCGGCTATATCGTGGATCATGTCCGTAGACCCGCGTTGTTCAGATCTATAAAAGTTTGAAGTTTATGATGGGTCAAGGGTGCTAGATACCACCTAGTTAATGCTAGCTCTCAGTTGGGATTGGAAATATACAAGTGACATCCTACCGAATTTCTTTATGACTTAAGGCACAGTCTCCAAGTCCCTGCTCACAATGGATGCAGGCAATCTAATAGTAAAATGCGCATAGTTGTCCATCAACATCATTGCATCCCTCCATAGCTAATCGCCAGATGCAGCTTCCTTCTCCACTTCCGTCTGACCTGTACGCCCAATCTAAGACTTCATTACTTGTAACAGGTTTTACATCGTTAGATGCGGTTGCAACCGTGACATGTGGTATGGCATTGCAACTACGAATGTCTGCGGGCATTCCGTCCACTACAATGGCCATCACACGGTCATCCCAGACCACTTCTTTGAAACTAATGCGCACTGGTATTCCAGGTCCTGTTTGTGCAGATGCCTGAGAGGCAAAAGGATGGGCGTCAACGTATTCCGCAATTCTCTGGGCATATACTTTAGACAGTTCTTCGGCCTTGGAATCCCCACGTCGCGTCATGCAAAGCGTCACATGCCATCCTTTCAGCTTCTGTTCTTCTACGCGTCTGGCCGACACCAGAGACTCCCACGTTTTTCGCACTTCAGGTTCTTGTTTCAAAAACAATTTAGTCAGGAGCCCAGCAAGATCAAAGGATGGGTCCAATCTAATGCCGTAGTACAGCGGCTTCCTCCTGGCGCTCGAATCTTTGACAACCTTGCAGACAGTCTCTTGATAGGCCAACGATGCCTCATATGCTTCAGTGTAGGCAGCGGTACTTGGTCCTGGGAGGCCCAGCACGGGCAATATCTTGGAGAGGTGTGCTCGGGGGCTATCAGTGAAGCTCAATGTAACAACTATATCGATGAGTGAATCTGCTTCAATTGTTTTGTCAACTGGATCACGCCTCATCGTGAAGTTCCGGATCACTTTCCGATAGTCCGCGGCACGTTTTGGTGTTAATGATTGATGATTCTCACCTCTAAGATTGAATCATTTAAGGCTTTGCAATTGGATACACCACGAAAGACCGTGTGAGATGAAGATCTGGTTGCACTTACCGCTCAACTACTCGCTTTGCGGCCAGCTCTACTACTGGCTCAATTCCCTTGTCTTCAACAAACTTGTCAATTTGCCAATCCAATGCCACAATTGTACCTCCAGGATATCGTTGCTTGAAGGCCTTTGTAATGGTTAGCCGATGCTGCGACAGATGATTGTTTTTGTCGGCATACACGATGTCGTTTCTCTCAAAACCGTCCAGCACCGCGCGTTCAAATACATTGGCTGCCTTCTTCGCCACAATATTATCACTCTGAATGTGTCCAATGCGGGGGAACAGATGAGTCAGAAGACGGCCCAAAAACGTCTTCCCCGCGCCTATGGTAGCGATAGGCAGAACAAGAGTTTTGTCAGTGCCGAAGAGGCTTCCCAGCTTGCGGCCGTCCGACTGCTTCGCCGAAGTCTGCGATTCTTCACATCTGGCTTTCAAAGTCGCGCCACTGATGCGGCGAGCTTCTTCTGCCTCCATTTCTTCCTCTGTCTTGAGAGTGGCCTCTCCCCGTGCAAACTCCTCAGTAGTGCGCCGTGCTTCAGCTACAATGTGCTCGCCAATGTTTGGAAGACGGGCCTCTTGTAAGAAGAGATTTCTCGCTCTAATGATTCCCTTTTGCTTTCCGTAATCTCGAAACAAAATCGGATCACTTTTGAGCTTTGCACGGACCCACTCCACATATTGGCGGGTTAGCTCGAAACGCGGATTGAATTTCATTGGCTTCCCAGAAAGGACGCGGTTGGTCACTTCTCGCCATTCCCGAAACATAAGATAGGGTTCATCGTACTTGATTTTGAAGAAGTGCATTCCGCTCGGCGGCGTTTTTCGATGACATCGAACAACAAATCCCTCGATTGCTCGTCCATTGTATGAACCTGTTGAACGGCACGAGTCACTGAAGTCCCGCACCTCTATACATCATAGATCTTTAGAAACTCCACCCGTATTTATCAACGTGACAAGTATCACCTTTAAGTGTACTCATCGTTAGAGCATCCACAATTTTGAAGCCAAATTCACTTGCTATCGGCCGTAGTTTTGAACTCTCCCACGTTTGAAATTCCGGGGTGTTCTCATTGACACCGTGCAAGTAAAGCCCACGTCGATCTGGAGGATATTCCAGAATATGTTCTTCAAAGTCATCATCGGCCAACTATATTGCCTCATTCATAAGAACAATGTCGGTCGGATGCATAGAAATATTGATCCCAGCGTCAATACCTCAAATACAGCTGTAACATCATGCTTCGCAAGAAATTTGACGAAATCCTGTCGTGTCCGCCCAGCAGACTTGAGATGTTTGTCCACCCATTCTTCGCCCTTCTGTGCATGGCTTGGCTTAGTGCTGCCATCAGAGACTGTCTCTCGAACTTGGCCTGCTCCTAATGCATGCTTTGACGTTACAACCAATTCGTCATCCAGAGCGGCCGCAAAGATGATGCAGCCATTTTCCTTTAAGGTGACCTCATAAGGTCCCTCAGTGTTGGCTGAGAGCGCTTCCCACGACGTACTAGGAACTTCTCCAACTGTGAAATGAGCGACAACAAGTTTAATGACATTGGTGATTCAATGCTGAAGCGCTGCTAATAACCATTGAAGAACTTGTCATATCCTCTAATCACGATTTTCCAATCTCCGCTTCCATCTTCGCCCACTTCTGTGACGAAGAGTCCTCTCGCCAAGGTCGGGAATACCGGAGGATCTTTGCGATAAAGGCTCTCCAGACAATTGTATGAATAAATATTCCTGGTTTTGATGCCCTTGATCTTCGACACATCCTTGGGCATGCCTCTGCTTTCCCGAGGAGTAAACGTATAGCGGGTCCTACGAACGAAGGCTCTCTTTTTGCCAGCTGGCGAAACCAGTAGTGCATTGTATTCTTGAACAAGACGCGTAGCAGGGGTCAAGGTCTCCTCAAGGCTCGTACTTTCGAGCTTGCTGTTCACGACATCCAATTCTGATGCGTCGAACTGATCGGCCTGTCGATCAACTGCATCCTCAATGACTAACGGACGGGTAACATCCTGTCCAAGCTTGTGCTTATTCTTTTTGCCCATGGCAACAGCCAAGAATATTTGACGGAACCTGAATCTCGGCTGATACGATAAGTTAAGTCGGATGGAGAAAAGAAGGGCGGCGGACAATGTCCCAGACATGTACCTTCAACGAACTTTACAAACTTGAGGAACTTGGCCTCTGGTGAGTCATGATGGCACAGCTTTGTCATCAATAAAACTGTGCCACAACCGTGAAGCCCCCAAATTGGATCGAACCTGGTCGGGCACCAACTCGCCGCTTGTGGCCTTGTCGCATCGTCAACAACGGCCGTCACCCACACACGCGAGGCGAGCGTGCGCATCACACAAATCATCGAAGGCACTTTTGAGACGGCGACTGGACCCTTGCAACATGCCGTTGGTGAGTGTGGCAAGGAATAGGTTTGCCAGTGATCCACGGCGGGTCGCTGTGATTGTTCGGAGAGGTTAACTGTGACATTCTCCGACAGGAATACGCACTTCAGTTCCGTGGGCGGTTTCCCGACCCAGGCCCGTGGAAGCTACCTCGTTCGTTCACTGCAAGACTCTCCGAGCCTCTTGGGATAAGTGATTTGCCAGTCCAGCGCGTTCGCAGGTCGAAACGTCGCCCTTATATGTTCAACATTATGGTTGTTGGTGCGTTTCGCGATACACTTATATATCTGCAGCACTAGCATTATTTTGCCCTTCATCTCACGCTTACATGTGAAGGTGAATCTGGATTGGGCAAAACAACATTCATGAACACGCTTTTCAACGCACCCTTGACGGAGCAGAGAACTCCAAAGAACCTCTCTGCCTCGAAAACAGTGGCTATTGATCCCACTACTTATGGTAAAACCCCATACACGGATCATCATTGGGATTTACCAAATGTAATTTTATAAACGTGCGCGAATTTCTCAGAGCTCACGGAAGACGGAGTCACATTGATGCTAACCGTCATCGACACCCCTGGGTTCGGCGATCAACTGAACCGGGAAACGAGGTAAGACCATGTCATGGAGCCTCTATGCAATAGACCAGTTTGTGGACCTGCATCCTTACCGTGTAATTCTCTAGCTTTGAGCCCATTGTGGACTATATCGATGCTCAGTACGACCTTTATCTCCAAGCCGAAAGTAGCCAGGAAATGCGGCGAAACATTAGGGATACTCGTGTCCACGCCCTGCTTTATTTCATTACGCCTTCAGGAGATAATGGGTACGTGACAGATATTTGGTAACGGCCACAGAAGATTTTGCTGAATGAGGCGTTCAGGTTGAAGGAGTTAGATGTTGAATTTCTCCAGCGGCTGTCCACTAAGGTCAATGTCATTCCTGTCATTGCGAAGGCAGACACATTGACGCCTGAGGAAACGTCAGCATTCAAAAAAGCGGTCAGTAATCCATGGTAATGCGTTGGCAGTTGATCTTGTCCGCTCAACTGGCACGTTATTTAGATATTAAGAGACTTTGAAAGACATGATATTCGTGTGTATCCCACGGCACATGCGGAGGATCGGGAAACCCTCGTCGACCTCGAAAGATACATGCCCTTTGCCGTCATTGGTAGTGATGATTTCATAGACGTTGGAGGCAAGAAAGTGCGTGGTCGGTCATACCGCTGGGGTGCCGTGGAGGGTATGTGTGATCGGTCGTACTGTGACGTATTTTTATGAACCCAAAATAATCTTTTCTCGTTTGCAGTTGAAAATGACAAACATTGCGATTTCGTACACCTCCGGGAATTGCTGATCAGGTAACACCTTTTCGTATGTACTTGCCATTTTATTCGCTTACAAATGATTCGGTTTAGGTCTAATCTTCAAGATCTCATCGAAACAACCCAAACCGTTCATTACTCCCAATATCGTTCCCAACAAATCCGTGAACAGGGTCGTCCTGAGTCGTTCCTTGCATGTGATGAATTTTACGAATCAAGAATCGAGAATGCTAAGCGAAGCCTTGCCGATGATATGCAGCGTAAGGAGGATGAGATGCGGCAGATGTTTGTTGCGAAAGTGCGGGAGAAGGAGGCCAGTTTGCGGTACGTTAGAACCATGAAATTCTGATAAATCGAATTGATGCTGATCTTCTGATATTAGGGAACGGGAAGAAGCACTAGCGCTTAAACGTCAGCAGATGATGGAGGAACTTGAAAAGATTCGCCGAAGCATTGAAGCGGAGGAGAGTACATACAACGAGATGCTCAAGTACGTATACCAGTCCCACATAGAGATGGACTGTGGAATCTGACGCACATCCTTTTATTAGGGCGAAGGGGACGCAAAAGAAGTAGACGCCTATGCATGACAGATTTTATATGTTTTAAAAGTACCTCTTTACGATACATTAAAAGAAATAAAAATGACACATTTAAATTGCACTTAGGTTCATGGGTGCCAATCTTCTGGGCAATATTGGCGTGAGCGAAGCAACCAAGGTGCGGATCTCATCTCAGTCACGTGAATCTCAACTGAACTCATTCTGGAGCTCACCTGGAGGTCACTACGCTAGCACAGAGATTATCATTTGGGAATAGAAGGATGCTACTTCTCACAGGACCCACATGGCCTACTTTCGACTTTGTTAAGCCTCGGGATGATAGTGCCATATGCACAACAGGGCGGTTTACAATACAGGGACAGCCTCTCTTCACTCAGGCAGAGGAAGATCAGGGTCTTGGTGAGGCGGACAGGCTTGGGCACGAGGCCAAAACAGCGTTGACAGTATGGGATTGTGTGCGTACATGCTGAAAAGATGTATTTCAGAAATACAAATAAAAAATGCACTGCTGACAACATGATTACTTGGGATCTCAAAGAGCGTAATTCTTGCCAAAATGCTGGAATATCAGAACACTCGCGCCGCTACGGCCATATCAGAGTTTGATGTTCGCGGAAAACGAGTGATTGAGCTGGTTGGTTGATGTCACACATAAACCTTACCCTCGTTAAGCTGTGATTTGCAAATACAGGGTGCAGGAAGAGCGTTGGTTGGTATGGCTGCCGCAGTACTAGGAGCGAACGTCGTCGTGACAGATGTGGATGACGTTCTGCCTGCTCTGAAAAAAGTGATTGCGTTAAACGAGCATATTATTGCATCGGATAAAGCAGAGAGCGAACTCAGTGGAAAAGGACGGATAGAGGGTGTTTGCAATTTAGATTGGACCCAAAGGTTCCTTACACGTTGAATAACGCTGCGTTCAAACTCGTAACTGACCAGCTTTTGTGTCCAAGATCGAACGTCATTTCAATGCTCCAACCCCCTTTTGATCTAATCCTCGCCGCTGATGTCGTTTGGCTGTATGATTTAATCGAACCTCTAGTAGCAACCATTGCAGGTATGCTAACATAATTTGAAGATTTGCGATCCGACACTAACACACTGACAGAACTCTCCTCTCCAAATACAACGACCCTTCTCGCCTACCAATCACGAGCCCTCAGGGCGGATCGACAACTCTTTTCAGCTTTGGAGAACCATCGCCTTAGCTGGGAAATTCTCGGGGACGAGCAGTTAGATCTATTCTATCGGAAGGACAATGTTGTGATATATCGCATTCAAAAGAGGAGGCATGGATAAAGACAATCCATAGGGATTCAGTGAAAAACGAGATCCGTTCCCACTGCGTAGCGCACTCGAGACTTTATTAATGCGTACTCATAACATGTCGGTATTGAATACACAGTTGGCGACCAACAACCGTCGGTGCGGGTTCAACGAAAGCGGCTTTAGGCGGACACAATGGTGTTCCTACCATTAATCTACTGAGGATGGGTGCATTCCCGCTAATATTGTTTCGTGCAGAGGGATTCTTGCAGACATGTTGACGTTTTGCTATGTATACATTGATGAATCTATGCCGCAAGAGGTGAAATAAGACGGAGAAGATTTGGGCGCGGTACGCTTCGTGTGAAACCTTGTGGATAATAAGAATATAACGGTGAGTAATGAAATTCGGACAATATCTTGCTATGCTCACTCGACTGTCGACCCGCAAGTCACAAAGTATGCGGTGAATGCAATCCAAAGACTACATCCATTCGCGACTACCTGGACTTCACCACATACCCAAGTAAAGGATGAAGGGAATGAACCCGATATGCACTGCCTTCTTGCCCCAGTCAAAGAGCTTCATGATGCGTTCGCGAGTCTCTTCCTGCATGTTGGCTTTTCTAGTGTGATTGGCAGAATGAACAACGGCAAAGGGAAAACTGCAAACTGAGAACGGAAATGTTCCTCCCTGTTGCTATGGAAACAACCAAGCAATGGATGACGTGAAAATGCAGCAGCATCACCATCGTTCCATCCTCCGCAATGGCCTCAAACCATTCCCCTTACTCTCAGCGCCTCTCAGTTGTTGATGATCCACGGTCGCCAATAACATATCTCATCACGGACTGTCCTAACGAAAAGTCATTGTTGGAGGATTATCTTCCACTGTTGCAAGCGCACGACTGCAGCAATGTAGTGCGCTTGTGCGATGGTGGGGCTTACAACGCCGATCCTTTGCGTCAGCACGGCATAACAGTTTGGGACTGGCCTTTTGAAGATGGTAAACAGGATGCTACTTTTTACATTGGTCAAGGAGCAGGCTGATCGACTTCGCGACAGGGTCGGTCCCACCTGAAGCGATAATATCAGCCTATCGTGACATGCTTGACTCGTTAACATCGTCCACAGCAACGTCAGACACGGATGCGAAGCGCCGGGATTCGGGACGATCTGGGAATGCTTCGTCTATTGTCGGCAAATCAAAGCCAGCGGTTGCAATCCATTGTATCAGTGGAATCGGACGAGCTCCGGTGTTGGTCGCAGCTGCCCTGATAGATTGTGGTGTCGATCCAGTGGAAGCAGTGGAGCTTGTACGAGCGAAGCGGCGAGGAGCGCTAAATAAGCGACAACTAGCCTGGCTTATGGATAAGAAGGGTGGCTTCAAACGAAAAAAGCGTGGCAAGGACGGTAAAGGGTCTATAGGTAAAATGTTTGCCGGCTTTTTGGGCAAGAAGGATTGACTGCATAGAGTACCGAACGCAAAACCGGAGGCCTCCCATAAAATAGAGGGGGCACGTACTGACAGACGTCATGATTAGAGTAGGCAAGGTAGGTCGTCGAAAGGGATGTAATCGGGTGTCACAGAGGTTTTGCTCAATCTCGTCCGCACTATTTTTATTAGGTGGCCCTAATTGCGATATTAGTCCGAAGAACAACTCGTTGTTTTCACTTTTCATTAGATGTGTACTTGAAATCAAACAAATCATTATTATACAAGATGCAAATCATGTAGGCAGGGGAGCGGCTTTCATGCCGATCCAATCTGTCCGTGGTCCTGCCGTCCCATTCCACCCTATCGACAAAACCCAACCCTAGTATGTTACAGCATTGCCTGATCCGTTTGCAATCAATCGCAATCGCGTAGCAATAAAGCTCACAAACGGAAACAGCATCAAGACAGTCCAAAGCATTTGGAGACATCCACGTTCCTCCCTCCTTGATTTTTGAAGGGCCTTCTCTCTTTCCAAGTCATCTCTCCACACAGCCTCCTCGTTGGGATCTGCGGTGCCCCACCACCCCTTCTGCAGCCGGCCTTCCAGCTGATACGCGGCTACCCTTCGATCTTCTTCCCAAACAGGAGCGACTTCGATCCCTAGGCGAAGCTCATTGAGTAGGTCAGCAAATATCTCTATCGATCCATCCGGGACGCTGGTGGACGATAGAAACCCCAGGGTTCGGGGGCGGTAAGGACATAGGTATGGAGACCGAGCAGTTGAAATGTGTGTGTGACAGGCTTGGAGAAGGAGATCTAGGAGTATCTCAGGGGTAAAGGACCGCGAATAGGAAAAGGAAGCACGGATAAAGCCGTTGGCGTCGGTGATAATCCCGTTGGACTTGTCCCAAGCAACTAGAGTAAATGTGACAAAATATCAGAAAATAAAATCATAAAATATCGCAATGAGGCGATAAGCACACATCTTGAGGCTACTACATACCAATGGACCAGTCTCCTGCAGGGTCATATGGTAGGGATCTCGCAACCTCGATTGCTTGGCGAAGCGCGACATGGTCTTTGGAATAGCGTGGTCCGGGCATTTTAGGAGGAAGTGCGTCAGATTGTGAGTTGCAGCGAGAGGGATGTGGTAAAGCGAGAAAAAACAGGTTTCCTTACTTGGGGCTCAGAAAACATGGAGGGCTTTTCAACAACAAAGGGACGGACAGGGTGCTCCGTAAGACGACAGGAGGTGGTAAGCAGTAATGTGACTGTGCAATGATTAGCAAAATCGTTCGACCATTTCGCCCATGGGACTTTGACGCATGTTGAGCAGAAAGATTTTGTAAAGATGAGCGTTGTTTTTGACGCCGTTGGGGGATTTCTGAATCGGAACAGACGAAAGTTCTACTGGCTGGGAGGAACGGTGGGAAGTGGATATCTTTTGTTCAAGTATGCACAATGGAAATGGACCGAGTTTCAGCAACGGAGAGAGATTGAACAGACGGCGAAATCAAAGTATGTCACTGCAACCATTGAAAGCGGCTACAGAAGCAAAAGCTCCTTCGTTGGCATACCGCAAAATTTTGGGAGCTTCATCTTGCTAATATGGTTTTTGACAGCGTCAAACGCCGCTTTGAACAAAACTTGCAAGATTGCACATTTGCAGTCGGATCTTTACTTCCTACGCTCGGTGAAAACTTGTTCAACGAACTCAATGTGGAGCTGTTAACTGCACAACTGCAACAAACACGGCAAGCCAAGACAGAGGGGGGAGAAGGAGGCGAAGATCAGCCAGGTGCACCTGTAACTCAACCGCGGAAAACAAAACTGGAGATCTGGGAAGAGCTGAAGCTGCTAAGTACGCTGTGGTGATGAGATCACAAATGCAAGTTGATATCCGATTGTGCTAAAGCAGATTGATTCTTTATTGCCAGGTTTTACCCGGACAATATCCTCTGTATATCTTGTGACCCTCCTCATTGTGTTTACACACCTCCAGCTCAGCCTTTTGGGAAGATTCTTCTATCTCGATAGCGTTGTAGCATTCTCGCAAACGGATCGTGAACAGCAAGTTCGGGGAACAGTCGGAGGACGGAAAGGGGTTTCGGACGAAACGGAACGCAAGTATCTGACGTTCAGTTGGTATGTCTTGAACGTAGGATGGAAACAGTGTGTTGCCCAAGTACAGAGAGCAGTGCAAGAGGTTGTTGGAAGGTGAGAATCTCTTATTGTGTTCTTAGTGAGCTCATCGTAAATCATGATTGCACTAATTTTAATGATTGGTTGCTCTAGCATATCACTGAAGGAGGTCACAACCTATGACGCACTGATTGAAATCATTGGGAAAGTGCGAGAAAAGGTTGAGGACGAAAATGGAGAAAACTCAAAGTACGTCCATTAATAGAGTACCCGCACGTTTTGAGTTTGGTGGTAATTGAGGCTGTAATTTAGCATGACTGCCTTCTTACTTCCCGAAGAAGGAAAGGAGGAAGATGTCTTGCGTGCCGGGGGAGTTGAAACCGACGGGTTTGTAGTGGATAAGGAGCTGAAGGATCTGTTGAACGAAACAAGGGACTTTCTGGACAGGTAGGCGATTTGATGTAGGAAACGAGATCAGTCATTCAAATGTCTGATAAATGATTCTGTTATATTTAGTAGCGATTTCCGTAAAGTCCTCAAGTCATGCTTTGATGAGGCATTTGACCTGCTCTTCAAGCAACTTCGCCCAACCTTTTTTGCAGAACAGGAGTCCAGGCAGAGGTCACATATTGCTGAAGTCCAAGAAGGGGAAGATATCCAAGACAATGCTGAGAACAAAGGCAAAGCAATGCCTTTAGCAGGGGTAATACCTGTTATTAGTCGATTAGTCCATCATGTCGTAAACGGAGTGCCAAACATTTTCTTGGAGGTAACTGTTATAAGGTGATTTGTCTCCATCTACCATGCTAACACAGTTATGTTTTCTTAGATACTCTCGACACAACCCGAATTGAAAGCTTTGTCTGTAGTTATGTATACTGGATGGGAGGATCATGTGCTGTAACTGAGCTGCTTTATTCTTTTTGATACCGCTACATTTGATCCTGTAATGGAAAGCCCTTGCGCAACGCAGTTGGACTTTTTGGAACTGCATGGCGATAACAATGATTAGCTAAGCAGAAATGACACGGCGATGACGGGTGTGAAACTTTGGCCCCCGCAACCTCCTTCAAGTTCATAATCGCCTTAAGCACAGTCCTTGTTTGTCTTTGCACCATAGAGTTTTGCAACCTGTCGTTACAAACAGTACGTTTCTCACAGAAAACCTCTACGGGCCTTGCAGAAAACCTCTACACCACCTACTTGCATTAATTCACATGGCCGCCGAGAGTGTCTCGCACGGAGTTCAGCCTACGGAGCGGTCTCCCTTGCTGGGGACCACTCAAGTGGGTTCGCAAGATACAGAACATATATGCGAGAGATCACCAAGATTTACACTTCCAAATCGCCGCACAATTCTGCTCTCTCTGTTGGTCGTCGGTATTCTCATTTTGGGCGTTGTGGTTCCAGTGGTGTACTTTGTTGTAATTCCGGACCGTCTACGAGAAGCGTTGAACGGAAACGGCGCAGACATAAGACAGATTCATGTTATCGATATTCAAAATGATCGAATTGCGCTCCGTGTTCGTGGACTGGCGCATAACGACGACGTTCCCCCCGTTAGGGTTACAATGCACCCAACACTGTTTTCATTCCTCAACATTGCAGGCGCAACGCAGGAGAGCGTCAAAACATTGAAAAGTGATATGGAAATCAGTGAGGAGGAGTTACGGATTGGTTCTTTACAGTTTCCGGGACTGGTGGTACCTCGAGGAGCAGTCTCGGTTCCAATAGATTTCGTCAGTGCGGTCGAACACCTAAATATTCCACTTATCGAGCGGCTTTTAAGTAGTCTTTTGAAGGGTGGAGAGGAACCGATGCCTCCACAGATGTTTCGCTTGCAAGCTAGTCCGCTGATGTCGTTGCAACATGTTGGTTCCTGGGTGATTCCTTTACAAAACAATATCTTCTTTGATCCAAGTAAGCATAGACTATTCCGTTGATATGTTGTTCCCTATTGTGACGTTTTCGGCGTAGGTAAAACCTCAGCACCGGACTTGTCTCAGTTTAACATTACCCTCGTCGACAGCTCTTATACACCAAACGCAACAGATCCGTCCCAGTTACTTCTGTTTGCGAACCTTTCCTTCGACAATCCTACCGTTCTATCCTTTGCCCCACAAAACATATCCGTTCTCTTCTCCATCCACTATGAAAATGATCGTATCGTGGATGTGATGATTCCTTCTTCGACGACGCAGTTGGCGCAAGGCCACAACAGCAACGCTACCGTATACGGTTCTACTGTTCCTCCCGAAGGGACGATGAAACTAATGCAGCTAGTCGGAAAGTATGCTGAGGGGGAAAACACAACCGTGGTGTTAAAGAACTTCCGACTTGAGTACGAGCAGAGACGAGCCTCATTGCCATGGATTGAAGACATTTTGGCCGATATGGAGTTTGAAGTAGAAATACCTGCCCCGGAGGAATCGGATGATGATGGGTTGCGGAGGGCCCAAACCTTTGGTATCAACACAGTCAAGACAACTGGAAGGACAAGGAAGGCTTTGTCAGCAGCTTCCCGATTTCAAAATCAGCGAAAGGGTTCCTCGTAGCGCAACCCCCCGTAGTTTCTGACCTCATAGTTGTATTGTGCTGTACATTTTCCGTATCTTTTTGTGAATGTGCCTGTTTGATGGTTCGCGTAGTATATAGATTGAAGTCCAGATTCTAATTGCGTTGCAGGAATACGCCTTATTTTCGTAATAGTGAATGGATAACATTTCATTGTGATGCATATATTAAATTTCCAGTCTAAACAGTTACTTCGAACGATCCAACTACTATGTTACAATATAAATGAAATAAACTATGCGAAGGTGGTCGTGCGTCTGTTCGACTCTGCTCTATCTTCGCCGAGATCACACCTCACTTCTTCCATCACAGTGTCGGTGCTTTCCATCCTTTCCCAAATGTGCTCCTTTTCTAGTAGCGGATCCTTCCAGGCTCTCCAGGTAAATACTCCGTGTAAGTTCCATACGAGAACAAATAGGAAAGTTCCCCAGGCAATTCCGCAGCAGATCCACACGAGAACGTGAACCGTCGGCGTATTCACAACTTTGGAGTACTCGCTGGTCGCCATAGCCACAGCAGCGGTTGGGAAAGTTGCTGCCCACCATGGAAGGTAGGACTTTTGCGGGATGGTTCTCAAGTATGCGCGCCAGAGTGATGGTACAATGAGCACGCCGGCGGCCAAACTGTTGAACAAGAAGAAACGGCCAATGTGTCCGAGATGATCTGTTGTTCCAGATGGCATATCGCTCAACGTGATTCGACTGACATTCACCCATGCGAGTGATGCTATCGCGCTCGGTGCGACAGTCAAGAATACTTGTGGGACGGCCCCACTCGTTTCCAGATGCTCGCGAGCCATCGAAAAATTTTGCCACAGACTGACATACATGACGATCCAATAGAAGGAGCCCACATAGAACAGGAAAGTGGCTACTTCCAGCCAGCCTATCAAGGCACCCAAAGAGGACGACAGGAACCATGGAACTAGGGTAAACAGATACGACGGTTCCGCGTCGCGGTATGAGATACCAAGCTTTGGTTTCTGCATCGACGACATCCATCCGCCGTAAACGAACAGGCAGCCAATCAAGTGCAAGATTGTGAGGATGCAAAATGGTATCTCAAAGTTTGCATGACCGAGAAATGACTCTGGATATGCTAGTGTCATTAGGAAGGCACCAATAAGGAAGAGGAAAAAATCATTATGTCGAAGAGGATGATGGAGTTCCCAGCTACATATTCTTGGATATCTCAGTGCTTTGAACGCGTAAAGGATGGCAGCGACACTGGAAACCACAAGTGATATGAACCATAACACGACGTGTATGGTGTCTGAGATGTGGACCCACGGGAGGGATGCAAGGTACTTGAAGAGAAGGGATTGAGCAGCTAGCCCCGGTATAACACCGACCGAAGTAACGGGAATGCGAGCCAGCCATGGCGGTCTTGAACGGGTCTCCCGACTCGTTCTCCCCTCCTCCATTGCCGTCGACTGCATTTTGGAATGCATAATGTGTGGGGAGGAACACTTCCTTTTTAAATGTTGAGCGTCTCCCGCGGGCGGAATGCGCTGTTCGTGGATGACGCGATTGTCGTAATTTTTCATTTTTCTTTTTCATCTCCCAGGGGATCGATAATTTGTCACGTGGACAGATAGTGTTACGTAATTGGCCCCCTTTGGGCCCCCCTTTCCCACTGGTCTATAAAAGGACGGCCCATTCACCCATTCCCCGTTCATCCATTCTCTTCATCTGAGTAGTTTTCCGGTCGATGACTGCAAGTCTCAAGTGTGGTGCGTGGTCATAGCAAGTGAAACGTCAGTCGCTGCCACTTTGGCCTTACTCTTCTTTCATTTGCTCGCAGATTCTGCGACCGCATCGTGATGTTGCCATCGTGCCATCTTCTCAAGAATCGTCCCCGCGCAACTTGGAGGTACGACAAGCAAGTTCAACGAAGAGTGCTGCATGAGTTTATCGGATCGATATGCGCAGCAGCGTACCTTCACTGAAGAATGCGGCAACATGAATCTGTTATGCGCAGTAAGTCAGCGACGAGCACATCACCTTTGGCAACAGCCCAATGATTGTCCCCGAAGTTTTACTCAGTGCGCGACAAGAGGCAGCATGAAGATGCGCAGCAAGTTCGTCAAGGTAGCCCAATGATTGTCTCCGAGGGTTTTACCCGGTGCGCGACATGAGGGAGTATGAAGATACGCGCAGCAAGACAGTGGAGGCCAATCATATACGCGCAGCAAAACAGTGGAGGCCAATCATATACGCGCAGCAAGACCGTGGAGGCCAATCATATACGCGCAGCAAGACAGTGGAGGTCAATCATATACGCGCAGCAAGACAGTGGAGGCCGACCCAATGATTGCCCTGAAGACGACCAATGATGGGCTTGAGGGAATCGCATACGCGAGCCAGGTACGTTTGCTGGAAAGGGCGGCATGATGTTAGCGGAAGTGGACCCAATGATTGCCCTGAAGGCGTTGCCTAATGATGGGCCTGAGCGAATCGGATACGCGTAGCCAGGTACGTTAAGGGAACATGACGACAGGAGTGGAAAGGCGGTTAAAACGTGCGTCAATGGGGAAAATGCGGTGTACTGCGAGATGATGTCAGTGGATGGACAAGCGCTTTACGGGAAAGGCGGGCATGATATGAGTGAGCGAATACGCGCTTTGTAAGGTACGTTTTGATTGCAGAGTGTCGCAACGGTGACGGGAACGTATGGGATGTGCGTAATGTGCGCGGATGGACATGCGCTTGCAAGTACGTTCACAAAGTGGTGGAACGCTAGGAATCAAGACAGTGGAGGCGAGCCCTATGATTGCCCTGAAGACGACTAATGATGGGCTTGAGGGAATCGCATACGCGGATAGGAGAGTGCAACATGATGTATGCGAGTGGATGGATATGAGACGAGCAAGCGATATCCTGGCAAATCCAAGTAAGTTAAGGCAGGTCGAGACAGTCCCTATCATTATTTGAGATGAGCGCAAGTGGCGCAAGTGGCCGAACCATTGGGAAAACAATTGGATCTGTGGACTTTTATCGGACTGGAGCAGTGGGCCTGCAGAACCGTCTCGGGCACGGGACTAGACAGGATCATGTGTGGCCATAGCATTCCCTCACCTTTAACCCATGGGCACCCCGAGATGGAGGTTGGAATGGATTGATTCGATAAGTGCGCACATTCACTACCCACATCCTATCAGTCGCTTTAGCTGCATGCTTGTAAGTTCAGTTACAGTGTGCCATAAATGGGTGCCCATGGGTTAAAGGTGAGGGAGTGGAAGGCGCTCAATGCTGCGCAATGCGCAGCAATGCTTGGAGATGCGCAGTATGGACAACGTACGCGTTACAGATCAGTTCGCGATCAGCGCGTGACGCGCGCGATTGAGACGACTGCGCATCCGACATGGATGTTCCATATCAGGATCGTATGCATGCACCCGCGGACCAAAGGATGAGTTTTGGGGGCCATTTTATTGAAACTACAAAGGATATATTGAGGGGCTGATCTGTCCACATCACGGCGCTCTATGGAATCTATTCTGTTGCCTGTGATGGTCTCCAATAAAATCCTTCTGAGCTATCGTGTCACTACATAAGCACACCTATGCCAACGCACATTCTGCAATGACCTCTATCCTTGGTCTACTTTATCTGATTACTGGTTGAATTTCATCAACCTGCGCTTCTTGCCATGATCTCTAAATCCTCCATCTCCCTCATCTGGGCTTCCAATTTCCCCGGACGTTGGCTTAATTTCATTACCCTGTCTTTGGTCCGCGCATCAATAAGCAAACCCCACAGTCTCAAGTAAAAAGCCTTTGCCTTCTTTGGAGTCACGTCTTCGCATTGCAGACATCGTTCAAGAAACTCGCCCTCTGGCAGTCTACAGATTTGACGTCCTGATTCTGTGGGACAAAGGATGTCTGGATTGACCTTTGGGTACGCCCTGCTTACCCAGCCGCGTAAAGTGGCATTGTCCCACGTTGCCGGGTCATCAGGGTCGTTAGATTTTGCACGACGCTTGAGGGATGGAGTGACTTTGAGTGGGCCCATAAATCTTAACGTATTTACGGTTTGAGAAGCATCCAGGATGCTATGAGGATGACGGTGGTTACCCATCTGCCATGAAACCGATCCCAAATCTTAAAAAATTCACCTGGGAGCCAATGTGCCAACAATTACAGTTCGAGATTGTTTGGCTGATGACAATTCAAACGCGTTTTTCAGAAGCACCGTAATCTTGGAGGTTCGGTAAGGCACGTGAACGTGTTTCCCGGTGGTCGTGGCCGCCAACGCCCGACTACGGATACACTCCTTGAGGGCCTGCAGGCTTTTATTGATCTCCTTTGACTCTAGAATTCTTTCCTTATCATGGTGCTTTGTATCCCCGCTTCCCTCGGATCCAGCAAGGTCAATGAGATACAGCATACCATCCTCCATATGGGGTAACCGGCGGTTAGTGATGCGGATTCGACAAATGGCATGAGACCGACTAGATTGACGGTTTTTAGCGGTCGCTTTAGTACGGCGAAGCGAAGATGCCTTTGTGATGAGAGACTGAAAATGTTCGGTGGTTTGGATAATTTCTTCGGTTATATTTTTGATTTGAATCGCGCCAAAGGTATCTTCAAGAATATCCACAGTGGCTCGATCGTTTAAAAGGTCATACGCCTGATTACCAAAGAGCTCAAAAAATGACAGCTTGATAGTAAAATCCGCATCGTCGGAAACAGGCGTAGACGGATCTTGAAGCAGCCGGTATTCTTTTGCGAGATTGAAGATGTCTCGCGCAACACATCGTTCAACCCCTGTATGATTCCAACTGTGAGCGGAAGATGGTACCAGATACGCAAAGAGCGTACTCTACTTACCGGTGAGCGTGTGGGTTTTTCCAGATCCCGTCTGTCCATAAGCAAGAAATGTACCCACGCCTCCACCCAATGCTACAGGAATCAAACCCAGCGTAGTCGCTGCAAAAACTTTTTCAGTCTCGTCATCCGGACCAAAGACCACGTCAGCGTTCACAGTAGTGGTGTTGGCAGTTAATTGCCCGTTATACTTTAGTTTTGGAGCGAATACATGCAAAGAGGGGTTGATTGCGGCCACCGCAGAGTAATGGCCAGCATTCTCTTCGTCGGGTAGCAGTGGCCGTACGCGAATGCAAACTGTTATATCCACCGTGAAGTCGGCATTGCGATCAGCGTCTATGGCTTCCTTCAATGCAGGTGCCGCCAAGATAGGAGCTGGAGCTGGTTGTGCTGCGACATGAGCTGCAATCACTCGTTCAAATGCTCCTCTACTGGCTAGAAGCCGTTCGTCTGATGTTGTGTGGTCATTCATACTGATCCCTGGCCCGCCCGTGGGAAGATCTCAGGATCTCAAGGGTGGAAGGGGGGCCATGGAAGTTGCGGCACGTGTTCAACGCGAGACTCCCGCGGGAACTGTCGCGGTTTGCCGCGGTTCATTTCTCGCGTTTTACTGCGCATGAAGTACACGTACATTTCATATGAAAGTGGGAACAGTCGTATAAACGAGTAGAGAATGAGCCTCCTTTTTCATAGCTCTAGATCGTAAATATCCATTCTAATACATAAGGAATAATGTGAAACCAAAAAGAAAACATTAAGCTACTGCCGGGCGATTAAGTCGGCTAACTTTCAGCACCATATCGTCCCCAACTTCAGAAATATGTTGAAGAGCAAATTTGAGATCCTCCATTGTGTGAGCAGCCGACAAACAGAACCGTACGCGTGAAGTAATAATGGGTGTTGCCGGGTATCCCACAACAACGACGGCAATGCCACGTTTGAGCATCTCTCGAGAGAAGGCGGGAATCTTTGCAGGGTGGAACAGAAGTAATGGGACAATTGGGGAATCCTCGTCACCGTATACAATGAACCCCATCTTGCGCAATTCGGCCGAAAAAAAGCGACAGTTGCGTGCAAGCTGTTGGATACGGCGGCGTCCTTCATCGCCGCCTTCTTCACCCATGATAATGCGCATGGAGGTGTATATCTGTTGGAGAATGGGCGGAGTGATGGCTTCGGCGTATACCGACGCATGTGTATAGAATCGAACACGATCAACAATTTCCTGCAAACGAATTATGCTTTCAGCAGTGGAATAAAAGACAGTCTAAACCATCGTATGCCTACCTGTTTTGCAGCAATATAACCGCCAGCAGCACCGAAACTTTTTGTGAATGTTCCCATCATGATGTCAACATCCTCTGGATCGACGCCAAAGTAATCACAGATACCGCGACCATTGGGTCCCATGGCACCAATCGAATGCGCTTCGTCCAGATACAAGTAAAACTAGCGAAACGGGTACCATTTAGGTCACATTCGACGCGCCCCTTTTGCTTTTAGTCTCAAGATACCTTGTATTTCTTTTTGAGCTCCACGATTTCGGGAAGAGCGCAAATACTGCCTTCCATGGAATACAACCCTTCGACCATCACAAGGATCTTCTTCCATGGTCGGTGAGTGCGTGGCTGACCGCCCGCAATCGAGTTGCGAAGGACGGCCTCCAGATCCTTCATATCTGCGAAATGCAATTGTGGTTTAGAGAAGTAAACGGAGGTCAGCATGTACCATGCCCACAATACCATTATGCTTGAACACACGGATGCTTGCGCCAGACACTCGAGCTCCGTAGACGAGTGATGAGTGATTTAGCTCGTCGCTAATAATGAGGCACCCCTACATATGCATGTGAGTCCAGACAATCCTTGCCAGGCAGCACATCCGCAGCGGTCCTGGAGCGTACCTTCCCAACGAGCGCAGGGATCGTGGTAGAGTTGGTAGCAAAGCCCATGCTTATAATCATAGCGGCCTCCTTGCCAACAAAACGGGCAACCAATGCCTCCACTTCTTGATGCTGATCAAGGGTACCTGTACAACAGAAAAACAGTGTGAATACCACACCAATCGCAATTGTACTCTCATGATATATTAACCCACCTGCCTCCATCCTGCTGCTGCATGTGGCAACACCATACTTTCTGACAGCAGTTTCGACTGCATCAGCACATGGACCCTCACTCTGAGCAAACCCGAGATAATTATAGGATGACAAGTTGAGGACTTCCTTTGTTTCGCCAGTCAGTCTAGGGAGGAATCGAAGTAAGACCTTTGCAACAACATCCTAGTGAAGAAAGGTGAGCATACTTGAAAGTTCTGTTGTAATCCTCGCTTTTGCGGTCCAATAGAGTTATCGTCCTTCCCGGCACGTTGGTGACTGGTCTGTTGAAACAATCGCGGATACGGACGTATAAACGACGGTGATAAAATGTGTCGAATCCAGAATTGATGGGTGCGTATCCCTGTAAAAACAAACTCGTAAGCAGGGGAAGATCAAGGGGGAAAGTCTCGTCTGGCAATGACCATGCCAAGAAAGGACCCAGTTTGCTTACATTCTGCGTCTTCAGGTGCTTATACTCGTCACTCTTTAACCAAAACCCAAAGAAATCCCGGATATGTCCGAAAACAATCAGGAAAAAGTAGCTCATGTAGGTCGTGATGAGCACACCAATCGGTGCGTCCTCAATAAGATGAGCCTCATTCTCCTTGTGCTTCCCGTCAGGTTGCGGCTTGTACAGGGGAGGTGGGCAGTCGTCAATAAGCGAAGACGGCGTCGACATAAGGTCCGCCGACGAGATGGGAGGGCGGTACTTGTCGAAATGCGCACGCTTGCCTTTGCCCATTGTTGGAAAGTATTTGGGTTCTGACTACAGACGTGGGGAAATATCAGTTTCCGACAGAACAATGCTGTTGCGCGGAATCCTCGTCGGATTTGTGACGGTTCCTGCAGGTTACCGTTACGTACCTCTGCAAATCAGTGATGACAACCACGTATGAAATGGACTTCCCAAAGTCGTTACTTTCCGATTTTGAGCTCACCTCCCACACTGGTCGCTGTGTGAATTCAAACGACACAGCGGGTCTTTAGTGCCCTGGTCGCGCCAATCCACCCAGGCCGCGTGGCTTGAAGTGGCTTATCGGTAGAAATTGTAGAATTCCGAAATCGATTAAAAACTATGCATAAACTGTTTCGTAGATGGAGCCGAGAAAGCATGGCGAGTAGGAAACAGATCAAGGTCGATAGCTTTAACGTCATAAACTACGAGAGGCCCTTGAAGGGCACACGATGTGACAAGTTGGATGGATTTTTTGGGCAATTGACTGATGGTCACCCACCACAGGCCGTCGTTCCCTATCTTGCGAGTCCAACGATCCCGTCATGTCCTTTCACAGCGCCTTTCAATAGCAAAGAAGCGCCAACGTTCCCACAATTGGGATATGGAAGGCTTTGCAGACATTGCCAGTGCAGCCAACGGTTTGCAATGTTCCGACCTGCTGACGTAAAATACCACCCTCCATTACATTAAGTGTGGTTTGATCACATTAGAAGTATGGAAACCTTTCAGGAATCCTATGGCAGAGATCATGCTTTGTTATCTTTTGGGCATCTGCTTCGTATTGGAGACGAACAGCACCATTGAAGACAGCACATACCTTTGAGAATCGGTTTCTTTGTAGGGTCAAAGTGGTGCGTGCACCTTTGGCGCTTTCTTTCTTTGTAATGTCCCGCTTGGAGATCATATCGCCCGAAGGTGCAGCATGCGAGGAGATATGGACCGTTGGAAAATCTACTAAAGTATAATACCACAGGGCTCCGCGTTGATGGGCGTAGGCCTCTGGAGCTCCGAAGAGTAAATTCCCGTACGGCTGTCCTTTCACAAGCCGATGGCTCTGCATATATTGAACAAGGGAACACAAAGTGCTTGGCCGCTGTTTACGGTCCCAGAGAAGTGCGCAAGAGATAGTTGTTATTTGGGTGTCGAACTATGTTAAAACGCTTTCTATCAGCCAACGAAACGAGCAGCCCTACTACATGATCGGGCTTTGATCAATGTGGAGTACAGTGTTGCCAGCTTCAGCTCAGGGGAGCGAAAACAAAAGCTACGCAGAGATAGGTACGCAGGTATCGGTTAACGCTCCATCCTAGCAAAGCCCTACTCACGAGCCATTTCTAAACTTGCCAATAGACGCCTTATGGAAATTGCTTCAACCATCAAACGCACATTTGAGAACGTCATCCTTACCACCACTTTCCCACGATCGGAGATCGATATCTATCTCCAGGTCCTTCAAATTGATGGAGGTGCTCTTCACACTGCCATTAACGCTGCGACTTTGGCGTTGGTGGATGCGGGCATCCCCATGACGGATTACGTATGTGCTTGTTCCGCTGGATATGTGAACAATCAAGCCATATTGGGTATGGTGACTCGTTCCTGGCTATTGAGGATTTAGATCTAACCGGAACGATACCCAATGGGATCAAATTCAGATTTAAATTATCTAGAAGAATCTGCGGAAATACCAACGCTAACTGTTGCCTTGCTACCAAAGAGTGGCAAAATAACAATGCTCGGAGTAAGTGACCATGTCATTCCATTTCAGGACTCTTGCTGACCTGTATCTCGACATGATATTAGCTTGAATCGCGACTACATCTGGATAAGCTTGAACCGGTAATACAACTTGCGTCGGATGGCTGTAAGCAATTAAAAGAGAATATCGATGCAACAATACGAGAGTCCACAAAGTCTCTTGCAAAGACAATCTTACAATAGCCGTTGCAAAAGGGACACCATGAAATGGTCATAGCGTAGGGCTTGTACATATGCGTGTTATGATAAACTACAATAGATAAGAAATCGCGCCACTGTATTAAGAGGCAGCAGCTTTCCTGATAGCGTGACGTAGCTTGCTCCGATCAGGATCTACCTCCGCAGACACATCAATCAATGCCCGTAGATGCGTCATTATTCCATCCACTCCAACTGTGTCCACATTGGGAAACCCTGGAATGGGAGCCAGCCTAAAAAGTACACCTAGGGTATATCTGACGTTCTCCGCCATTTGCTGCCAGTCATACTTTTCTGTTTCTAGTGCCTTCAATTTACTTCTCAACTCGACTGATTCTCGTAAGTACTGAGATTTATCGCGTTTAAGGTCTTCAATAGTAGATTTGAGTTCCGCATGCCCTTGTTCTAGGTCCTCGTTCTTATGGCTCAGGCTAGTCATCTTCTCCGTAAGCTGTGCGACTCGTGCCTTCAGTTCCGCCTTCTCTTCTGCTCTCTCCAATAGCTGTTCTTCTTTTCTAACTAATCGTACATCGAGCTCCCGCACCTTGGCCTCCAAGCGAGATCGGGTGTCGTGAAGTTCTTTTCGCTTGCTTGCAAGTTCCTGTTGAAGATCCTCCACAAGCCTGTTCTGCTCGGCCAACTTCAAAGCAAGCTCTTCGGATCGTTGGTCCTTTTCAGCCATGCGTCGAGTGGTGCTTTCGATTTGGCGGTCTTTTGCAGCCTGCTGTAGCTGTAGGGGGTCGTTGAATTGATTAATTTGATACGAGGTGCCCGAATGAGAGTCCGCGTTCGTTGCAGCAGCGACGGAGCGTGATGATAAATCACCCTGCAAGGCAGACGAACGCGGAACGGCGTGCTTTGAAAGATCAGGAAATCGGGTGACGGTGGGAATGGTGAGGATTCTAATTGATTCGTCTGGTGGTCGCTCAGAGGAAGGCACATTGTTTGCCACTCCATCTCGCTGGTAATCTGATGGGCTGGAGTCGGAGAACAAGCTTTCAGCAAGCAAATCCCTCTCCGTCCTCGCCCGCTTGGCGGCTGATGCAGGTACAGGAGAAGGGGATAACCGCTTTAACGAAGGGCGTGGCCGATGGAGTAGGACATCTTCCGGTCCAGTTATTGACACAATTTCTACATCTGAATTGGAGCTAAGCATCGATCGTTGCCTTCGCGGAGTCAGCTTTGGTCGACGTTTGTGCTGTTCACACAGCAGCATCGTAGAGCGAGCACGTTTCTCCCTTGAATACTCCACGGTACCCGCATTTATGGCGCACATGATGTGAAATCGCTTGTCGCAGCCTTGTGAAGATTTGCATTTCACTGTAACTGGATCTGAGTGTCAGTAACAACCTACTAGTCATCGAAACCCTAGACAATCCTTACGTCCTTTGGCTTTGTTACAAATGTAACATTTGTGACGAGCAAGTTTGCTACGATCTATTGCAATGGGCAACGTTTCATCTTCAAGTCTCGGGTTCAGCAGTGTGCACAATACATGTACGTATTGGCCCGAGGCGGTTGTTTTCCAAAATGCTCCATCCTCGACAGGACAGCATACTACGCTAGTTTTCGAGAAATCTTCATCAGAACATCTCTGGCAGAACCATGGATCGTCCCCGGGCGGAATGCTGTCAATGCCATAACATTCTTGATGTACCGCCAGGTTGCAACCAGTATGGAGGAGCTCTGGGAGAAGTTTTGAGTCCAACAATCAACCTCTATCCGCCGTTAGCGAGCTCGTACCCTGGCCTTCGCAAAAGATAATGTCATTCTCTACATCGACTGTAAAGGATGATGCGCTAATAGATTAGGTTGGAAACATGACCATAATGAGAACGTCTTGACCAGAAGCATACATGTGGCATCCCCGCAAACATCACAAGGTTGCTCCAGTATTGTCTCTGCTGCTACTTTCTTCTTGTTGTTTGCAGCGGCTCCGTCAGCTCCACGAGAACTAAAATGGGTTCGGAGATCTCTCATCTCCAGCGTTTGTGACAAAATGGTGAGAGATCTCCCAGGTATTGGGATCCAGGTGACTAAGCGACCTGGGCTAGATAATCCAGACCCACCTTTTGCGCGTCGTATATCCCTCCAAGCAGTACGTCAAAGTTCAAGCATTGGTGACAGACAGAAAGAAGACCTGCGTCGCTACATGTTTTAGTTTCCTTTATCAAGTGTGCCTTTGCAAATCCCTACGCCGCGTGCCGGCATCCGGTGACATATAGGAGAGACACCCGAGATCAGTCAAGCCTCATGCAGAAGCCCTTTTAGCTCAATTCCAGTAGATCGTGCCTATATCTGTCGCAATCCCAACCAAACATCATAATGGCATCTCATGCCCCTCCAAAGGTCACAAGAAGGTCGACATTGAGGAGCAAGTCATCAAATACAACCAACCAGATCCCGCCAAAAACTACACGGGAAAAGGGAGCGGATAGAACGAAAAAGGCTCAGATAACGTCGAAAGCTGGCGAATCATTGGGGGTAATTGAGAGTTTGCGGAGATGGAGGAAAGATGCCTGGGACCAGAACTTGTGGTCTACGGCCTCCTACTGGGGAGACAAGATCTTGACGATAGGTGGTGAGTGTTACAGAGTAGTACGATCGTAGGAGAAGGGACGGTGCATGATGTCAACTAATAACGCTATGACGGCGACAATTTGCTAAAAGGAGAGCCACAGGATTATTACTGGCAAGCGAAGATTTACTTTGCAACTGGCGAATTTGCAAGAGCGGATTACCTGCTCTCTGGAAATCCAGAGATTCTGGAGTCAAGCATCCAATGCAGATACATGGGGGCACTATGTGCGGTATGATTGATATGAGATTAGAATAAGCCGCCCATTCGATGCATTCCGACGGCTTATTGGACATCGTAGGTAAAACTGGGAAAATGGGACAAAGCGGATGCCCTGCTACGGGATAAAGCCGGCAGGAGAGGTTGGTGCATTTAGGAGCTGTATCCCCTCTTCGTCGAATTAATATTGTCGAATATTTGATTTAAGAACGACCCAAGATTGACGAACCTAGTGGGATAAAGGTAAATTGGATGGTCAACTCAAGTCAACGCGGCAATTTAACATCCCGTTCATTTCCCAGCTGGAGGCGTCAATATGCTATCTGCAAGGAATTGTACACAGTCGCAAGGGAGAGTTAAAGCGAGCCAATGAGCGGATGAAGCAGGCTGTGATTGAAGATCCACGCTGCATTGAGGTACTGTGCACTTATAGACCCTACACTCTCGTTTAGCCTGAACTGAACTCTTCTCTTATAGGCATTTAACTGGCTGTTAAACAACCATGTCATGAATGTGCAGGAAGGTATGTAGCTTTCACAACATTATACCGGATCGTATACACTAGACCTTATTTTCCCTCTCTCTCTGTGTGAATTTGTAGAGGAAACTTTTTTACATACTTTGGATTTTGGAATTTGCGGTCAAGATGCGGACTTCATGAGATCAATGTATCTATCTAGCATAAAGAAGGTTCGTAAGCGAAGGTTGGTGCTTGGCACAACCACGTGCAAAACATCACATTGATGTTATTAATATGCCTTGGGCAACAGTACGATGAAGCGAAAATCACTCACCTCGAAACAACATACAAACTCGCGGGGAATAGTGATATTTTACATCGCCGTGCGGAGCATCTTTTTGAACAATGTAGATATTCTCAATGCTACGAGATAACCTCACGGTATGCGGTCTATTCTCGTGATCGCCAGACACACGGGTGCTCTAACATTCCTAATTTTTAGAATTGTGAAGGACGATCCCTTTAATTTAAAATGTGTGCCAATCCATGTGTCGTGCCTATCGGAGCTTGGAATGAAGAACGACTTGTTCTACTTTGCCCATCAACTAGTCGAGACGTTTCCAGACAGGGCATGCACGTGGTTTGCTGTTGGAGGGTACTATCTTCTTATAAAAAAGAATCTGGAAGCGCGGAAGTACTTTAGGTAAGTGATGTAAGGCATGATATGCTGAGATCTGTCAATTGCTGAGTTTGTCTTGACAATGTAGCAAATGCACCCAGCTTGACGGAAGCTTTGGTCCTGGGTGGCTTGGATTCGCTCACTCATTTGCTGCCGAGGGTGAAACTGATCAAGCAATATCCGCCTACTCTACCGCGGCCAAACTGTTTAACGGGTAGGTTATGCTGACATGGTCATTTCTAGTTGACCATTTCTAACATGTATTGTGACGCAGAATGCACCTGCCATTGATGTATCTGGGAATGCATTATAGCTTGGTTAATAATCTTGAACTTGCGTCGGATTACTTGCACCTTGCCGAAAACATGAACAAGTCAGATCCGTTATTGATGAATGAGTTGGGAACTTTATATTCGCGGAAGAAAGAGTATGTCCTTTATCTGCACAGTTGGTGGACGTTTCTGCTCACCGTGAAAACACTTCCCTCCCACCAGCCATCAGAAAGCCATTTTCTATTTCGAAAGAGCGCTGGTGCTCGCAGATAATACGAATTACACATCGGTACAATGGGAAGCTACTTGGTTCAACCTAGCTCTAACACATCGGAAACTTCGGTGAGTATTCCACTTGAGATTAGATCTAGCAATGGGACAATGCTAATTAGTCGTCGCATCCAGAAATTATGCCAAAGCTCGTGAGTATATCGACAAGGTCCTTGAGATCAATCACAATCTTTTCGATGCGCATGCACTACTGGGATACATCGCTCACGCGGAAAATAAGTTGGAAGCTGCCATAGGCCATTACTCTGATGTGGGTGGTAAAAACGAACAAGCCTGCCGTTGATAGATGGTTACTGACGCGACCCCTTTATTAGGCATTATCATATAATCCTGACGATACCATGTGCCATGATTTGATGAGGGAAGCAATGGCGGATGTTCAATCCGTTTATGATGATCCAGAATGCTGGCCACGAATAGCTGACTTTAATGGCGCGGACGATAGTTTTTTATTACCTCCAGACTTGGAACAGTATCGAGTATTTGAGGACGTCCAGGGATCCGAATCCGGCCCTTTCGATTCACAAGGGACGCCAATGGGGTCATTAGAGGGGAGTGATATGGACGAGTCGCCATATCCGCAGATATATACCCCAGAGACTGCTGTGCCAGGATCTAGAACCAGTTTTCCCGAGCGAAGGTCCAACGCGTATAGTTCTGTCAGTAAGACACCACGAGGTCTTCTGAGTTACGGAAGCGGTAGCGGATCAAAATCATCACCGAGCGTGACTGGGTCTCCATTCGGAGAGGACATGTCGTTGGGATCCCCATCTATTGCACGACAACTCGCAAGTGGGATATCTAGTTTTGCAGCAGGAACATCAAGTTCCAGATTCACACCCCAGAGAGGACGTCAGTCGCGGAACAATCCGCGCCTTGGTTGGCCTCCGCGAGATCCTGCAGGGCTGGTATTTGGAAGTTCACCAGTGGGAGCTCCAGTGCCTCAGCCACGTAGGACTCTACGAGATGTGCGCGGCATGGTGTCCGCTACGCCAAGCGACGGGGATGTCAGTATGGATATGGAGATTGATGACTTGGAATAATCGCCAAAGCTGGTCAAGCGACTAGATCATCATTCAAACCATATTTTGGCTCGCTCACTTACATTCATAAGTGTGAGAACTGTACTATAATAGATTAGAGCGTAGGGTTGTTTGCAAGAGCGCTAATGGAGTTGCTACGGATATCATTCTTTTGTACACCAAACTCAAGATGACGGTTCTGATATTTCAATCTTTTTTTATCGGTCTACCTCCATCGGAGTGGCCCCCGTAACCCCTTCCTCGCCAGAATGCGACCCCTCCGACGGTCCGCCTCGAGTGCTCTTTCGCTGTCGCCGATGCGCACCTTTGTAGCTCATATCAAACCATTGATTTGGATGCTCTATAGTTTCAATTATGCCGCCCCCTTCCTCTCCAGCTGCAGCTCTCGCCTGCCTGTGGGCCTGCCCTCGAGTGACCTCAAAAAGCTTTGTACAGGCAACCTGGTAATGTCCCTCCCGAGCCAAGCGGGCTATATCTGTTATACCACTCTCAGCTACTCCATATCGATGCATCAGTGTCCGCAGATTGTCACTTGAGAAGTGTTTGAAAGGGCAACCGTGATGATCCCCAGGCCCCGGTTGATTCGACGTGATGATCTTCATGCACGAGTATGGCGTATAGTTTGTTCGTTTGCCCTCTGCACCGTAGTTGTATCGAACATTATAGGCGTACCCTTTCTGGAACTGGTCATCTGTCATCTTGTGAAATGACTTCCGCCAGAAGAGAAGGGCTTCTTCAAGGGGAAGGCCAACGCCTTTCAGGAACAGACCGTACGTGAGACGGCCCATGTGTTTTAGATGTCCGTCATGTCGGAGGGCTTCATGAAGATTTCTCATACATGGTGGGAAATGTGGGACAAGTCCATCAATGTCGTCGCTGGTTACGTGCTCCCTTGGGCCTCCCGAGCCTGGTGTATAAGCTTTGGAAAGGTACTGCTTTGAAATCGAGTTAAGCACCGGAACAAGTCGATCGTCTTCGTCCATTTGTGGTACCGCCTTTGCCGTAGCTTCAAGTGCGGCGTTCAGGTGAGTTCGGAAGGCGTTGGCAACGAGAGTGGGCTGTTCTCGTTCCGGGACGTAAGCCCATCCTGCATGCAAGTATACCTGACGTCTACCTACGAGGTCAAGGACCTGTTCAAACTGCACTCGATAAAAGTTTATCTGCGAGAGCTCGTCTGTTGACAGGCCGTGTGTTGCTCGAAGCTCAGTCTCAAGATTCTTTTTCTCTTCTGGTGTGATGACCGACATGTCCATCTGAACGTGCTTGAGAAAACGGTCACGTTCTACTTGCTCCTCTTGCTTGTATCTGTACATGAACAAAGCAGTCTCCTGCTTGATGAACCACTGTCGAAGGTCGGTAGTTCTGCAATATGCAAGACGGAGAATGAAGTGACTAATGTGGTCCTTGCGGCGTTCTTCGTAGAGTTTCTGAGCGCCTACTCGATTGATTGTCACGTTGCGTCCAAGATGTAGGTGCTCATCATGTACATTTTGAATGTATTTAGCTGCATCTTCCTCCTTCTTTGACCGGATATATGCTGTTTCAACAGCTTTGAGGACCCGAAGACGGTCGAGGGCGAAAGTCTCAAATTCATTGAGAGTGAGCTCGTAAGGGGGAGGATCGATATAGAAATTCAAGGATGATGGATAAGGCCCTAGCTTGGGATCTGCGTGCCGTACAACTTCGTAACTGCCTCCTGCTATGGATGTCCCGCGTTGTTTTAGCATCTTTATTAACGTCAGATGCAGACAACTGGCAAACCTACCTTTCAAACACCGATTCCGTTGTCCGAGACACGTGATAGATCGGACATCCTCTGCACAGCCACCCCCCGCAAAGTTTCACGCCGGTCCCCGTTGGCTCTGCCGTGGCGGTGTGGCGGAGAAAGTTCAACTGGCTTGGCGATGCGTTCTTTAAAGCCATGAGCTCATGAAGGATTTCATACTTTGTAATTCATTCAACTCATACGAGAAGCGAATTACTTGAAAATGGTGGCCATTCCGCAAAATGGGGAAGACCTCGGTACTCACTTACAACCGTCACCCGAACAGAAACGGACCATCATTTTCATTGCCGTTTACACTGTTGCCATTACCATACTATGGAATGTCCCTGTTTTGAAGCAAATTCTTTGGCCTTTCAAGGTATGTATGATTACTGATCTCGTTCCGCTATCATTGAGACGCCATTTTAATCTTGGTGTAGATCGTCACGGTTGCGCTGCATGAATTTGGACATGCGTCTGCAGGTTTATGTACTGGCGCAAAAATCCAGTCAATAACACTTGATCCAGACGAAGGGGGATTGACAAAGATGCGTGGAGGAAATCCATACTGCACGTTACCTGCCGGCTACATTGGATCAGCATTTTGGGGTGCCCTCATGGTATTTGCCGGCTTCGATGTTTTGGCGAGCAAAATTGTGTCCGTTTTGATCGGGTTGGCTATGGTGGCAACCCTGTACTGGGCACGGAATTGGTTGACGAGGGGGATCACGGTGCTGTTCATCGGCCTGATTGCGCTGCTATGGTGGATTAACGGCGGATATTATTTGAGATACTTTGTCCTCTTTATGGGGTAAGATTCCCGCAAGTTCCACAGTTCGTCGTATAATTTTTGGATTAAGCCTGTTCATGATCACGGTTCTAGGGTTATGTCTTGCCTATATTCTCTCTGGGATATCATCGAGGACCTTGTTACGCGCAAAGTCAACGAATCTGATGCCTCAAAATTCTCGCATCTATGTTGCCGTGGATGCCTTCCACCACAACTTTGGGGTGTGCTTTGGTTCTTGATATCGCTAGCTTTCTTGGGGCTGGCTGTAGTGGCGGCTTTGTTGGTGTTCAAGGAGGAAAATACCGGAAGTGGACAGACCACTCCTGGCACGAGTGCATCGTAGAAGGTTTAGACTCATTGTAGAGAATATTTGTATATAGTTTGACTCGATTTCCATTATGTACTTTTTAATATCAGTCGGTAGTTAGCATCGTACTAATCCTGATACCAATGAGTGTTGAGACCCCAGAAAGTTCATGTTGTACGATAACTTCCAGATTTATGATTACTAGCTAATATGTGGTGACATTCTGATATGAAAGTAATGTATAACTACCAATTCCTCCATCCGACAACACCTATCATTTGCTACCGACTTTCACACTTCCACCCTGCTGCTCCTGCACTTCATTGTGAATCCCGGTCGAATCCGAGTCTCCCCCAACAGAGGAGCGGGGAACCGTGGATACCGAACGAGGAGCAGGCCCGTAGGAGTATGTGGACGGAGTACCTGCAAGGGGAGTCGAGGGATGCTTGACTGCAAAGTTTTGAACGACGTCCTAATGATCGAGGTCAAACACGAGATCATCTGAGTCTGCGCACCGTCAGCCCCTACCTGCTCCACCTGACGTTTAAGATCTCTTTGCGATTCGGGCACTAGGCTCAGGTCTTCCGCGCTTTGGCGCCGAGCCCTGCCATGACGGCCAAGATCAAACATCACTCTATCAAAAACCACTTTTTTATTCATAACTCGTTTCTCTTTTCATACCTCTCTTGCTCCATCTCTTCCACTGCGGTTTTCTGGGTCTGCCGACGTACTGCATCAGACATAGCAACTGCCTTGGTTTCTTCCAGAATTCTCCTTTGCTGCTCTTCCTTTTCAAGCTGTGAATATCATGTCCAAATCCAAATGAGCCGGTCGTACATTCCTAGCGCTCTGTCGTCATTGCATACTCTGATAGCTTCCTGTGCTCCTTGCTTCCTCAGCATCTCCTCCTGAGTATGAATCAAACCTTCCTCAGCTATACGTCGTTTTCTTTCAGCCTCCATAGCTCGGTCAGCTTCTTTAGCTGCTATTTTGCGAAGCATATCCGTCTGTAAACAGCGAGAAGCGTCACTCAGGTGAGATGCAGAGCAAAAGTTTCCAGAGTTGCCTTTAATTACTTTGGTCTCGGAAGCAAGCAGTTCTGTCTCCGCCTTCTGTCTCTCTGCGTCCTCTTGCTGAGAAGCTTTGATGATGTTTTCCTAGTTTTTATGGGGCAGTTATTTAGCCATTATCATTTCCTTTCAGTTGCGAGCTTCAACATTTTGACTTACTGTACGCAAACGCAATTCTTCGGGGTCCTCATCCTTCAGCTCGAGAGGTTGATTGGGAGCTGGCATATTTCGTTGGTTTAATGTGAGAAGAAGGATTTTCTATTTCAACGCCTCGAAATACACGAGGAAAGTTGGGGGTTCCTGCGAGTTTATACCAAGGGAACTCGATTGCGTAAGCACAGTTGCTAGATGTTTGCGTAACGTTAAATGCACAAGCGGCATAACCATCTCGTCGCGACAAATGACAGCTCGCCGCCACTCTATTGAGATACCACCGGAGCTCTCTTCGAGGGCGCCGTCCGTACCATCGCCCTCTACTGATGTGACGACCTCTCAGGCCTATGCACCTTTCGATCACCAAATTGCTGGCCACGCTGGACAAATTTTCGGCCTTGCTGGCGGCCTGCTAGCCAAAGTATGTCCTCAGAAGGAAGTGGACTTTTACAAAGCTGTTTTTGCTAGCGATAGGGAAGATCTGGTGGAGTTCAGAAAAAGCGTTCCTCAGTTTGCAGGATCTGGGGATTTGGCCGCAGATGCCAGTTTGAATGGCGAGGTTTGTGCCAGCGCTTTCTCTTCTATTTCTTTTTTTTTATGGGACATCGTTTTCTGAGCGCACATCACAGGCTGTAGGCAACCCGACAGTTCATCTTGAAAACCTGTTAGCGCCCTATACTCACCCTTCTGTCGCCGATATCAAAATTGGAACAAGACTGTACGGAGACGAAGCAGATGAGGCCAAAAAGGCTCGGATGGAGGAACAAGCTAGGACTACGACGAGTGGGAAGACTGGATTGAGAATATGTGGAATGAAGGTGTATGATCCATACACATCCAACTATTTAACGCACGACAGGAAATACGGTCGCTCTCTGAGTGCAGAGGAGATTCATTTGGGGATTCGGACGTTCTTCACGATACCGTCAAGCGCAACCCTAGTTCCCACTGCGACCCTGACTGCTCTCAGGGAGAAGCTTACCATTTTATTGCATCGTTTGGAAACAGCTCGGGTCAGATTGTATGGGGCATCTATCCTCTTGATTTACGAGGGCAGTGATGTTGATGCGCGCATCATTGACTTTGCTCATTCGCATGTCGAAAGTGAACAAGCTGGACCGGACGAAGGGGCTGTATTTGGCGTCCGCAATCTGCTGCAAAGCATTGAAAAATTGTTGCAAATGGAATGAAGACTACCAAGTACACAAGGAAGTTTTAGATAGAGGGTGTATAAGAAGCATGGCCCATCGACTGTAGCTAGTGTGTACAAATTATGTATGTATGACGAGCCATCTTGCAAGCGAAAGGGAATGGGAGAGAACACATATGCTAGATCTGCCACAGCCCAGACTCTGCTGAATATATATCTTGGAAATCATTTCCCTTTGAACCATCGCTCTGCATCGGAAATCGGTAAATCGTTGATACTTGATCGCCGTTCTCTCATCAATCCGTCCTCGTTAAATGTCCAGTGTTCAAGACCATGTGCTCGGTACCACTTGGGGATTTGTTTATGAGAATTCATCACCGCAGATTGATCACATTCGGATGTACAAACCTGTTTATTCTCGTCGTGGTATTCATACCAGAACTGAACTGCAATTTTATTATCCTGAAAGCAGAACAACTCTTTCCGTAATTTGTATCCTTGTTCTTTGGCCCATTTTCTCTTTAGAAACTGAACGATTTCATCACGTCCTTTGAGGAACTCGGCCCGGTTGCGCCAACTGCAAGTTAAAACCATTAATATTTAGGACTGAACTAGACTACATCAGGTTACATACACTGAGTCAGGGGTATAGGCGAGGGCCACTAGATTGGGATCCCTTGAATTCCACAAGTCTTCAGCAAGTTTCACTTTCGCTACCGCAGTCTCAGCTGTGAACGGTGGAACTAATTTTTTGGAAGCGGTCGAAAGGCACCTGTATGCCTTCAGCGTGGAACGTGCAAAGGCCATAGCGCAGATGATGAAGTAGTGTAGTAGAGGTTTGAAAGTATATAAATAGTAAGGGGACGAGAGCGAGCAAACACAGCAGCATGTGGGTCCTGCTGCTTACTAACGGGGTGCCCGATCACGCAACGGGATGACTCGACGTGTAATCATCTGCGAATCGCCAGCAAACGCACCCCTCCCCGCACCCTGCAAAAGGAGAACTGCCGGGCTCTATCTCCATGGTTCCAAATATAGAGTTCGTATCGACCTATTCACTGATCAAGCATAAGCAGAAACGTAGCAGCGCGAACTTAACGAGGTTTGATGGCATGGCTTACTGCCATAGTTGAAAGGGTTGCAACCACAAAAACCCTTAGATTAATCGTTTCATTGAATTCAAACAGCTGCTATGCTTAAACGGTGGACACTTCGAGACGAGTTGTATGAACGAGATGGGATATTACCAGTATCCGGCTGATAAAGTGTGAAATGAATTTGCACCTCGCGTCCGAATATTATGCTGACAAGCGATTTGCATAACAATCTGGCATGCTCAACCTTTTAATGTACATTCCTATTTTACATTCTATCTGGATACTATGCTACGGAGTAATCTCTCTCGACTTGTCCAGAAACATACGTCGCTTTTCGATGAATAGGTCATCTGCCCCAAGATTGCTCTCACCAGCTGCCTTTCCGCTTTTAAACTCCCGCAGTCTTTCTACACCAAATTGTTTTTGCAGCTCACCGCGAAGGGTCCCTTCCAACGCCTCTATTCGTTGTTTCGCCCGGCGGGTCATTGCCTCCTTCTCCAAGGATTTCGAAGAGCTCGCAGTGGGCTGTAATTCTGCAACTCTCGCATCGATGTTTTCATACGTGATGAAGTTGTTTGCAGAGTGGTAAAGGTACAAGAGAGATTCAAGCCGCTGTTCCGATTGGGTGCAGCGACTTTGGACAAAGTTCTCAAACCGCTTTTGTCGTCGAACTTGCTTAAACCGAGCGTAAAGGTCCCGCCGTGACTCAAAAAAGGGATCCTTGCCCTCATTGACGCTCTCCTTCTGTCCATCTTGACTCAACCCCTCCTTTACTGAAACGGGCTCTCCCTGCTCTGCATCTCCAACTTCACTAAAGCTCTTCAGACGCTCGGCCTTGAACTGACGAATCTTATCAGACAATTCCCTTCTGCGTGCCTCCTCTTGCTCCTTCTGGCGTGCCGCAATTGCCTCTTGCCTCTTCAGTGCCTCTTTGGACTCTGCAAAATATTGTTTCCGCTTTTGTGTCATTTGCTCCCGGAAAGCTGTCCGGGGATGTTTGAGACGGACTTTAGCCCCTTGAGAAAGATCGGGTGTGGGGGAGGTGGAGGCGGATGAGTAGCGTACGTGAGTCAGGTTATGTCGCATATTCCGACATGTTGATGCGACCACTCGGTGTGCTGAAGAAAGTGTGTTCATCGCTGCAAAGATCTTACGAACGTCCCCCAACCCCAAGCATGCGTACGGCAAAGAAACCGCGGACCTTGGTGTCCCTGGAAACAATTTGTGATCACATGACTCTACACTTGTCATCCAGCGATCGGACAGCTGGAAGCTTGGGAGCAGATATTGCGATGAATAGCTGTCATGGCAGATGCCGAGACCTCTGCACGTACAGAAGAGGTACGACAAAAATTGCGAGGAAAACGCTATCGGTTGTCACTGGCGATCTCACTTCGAAAGTGATGCTCCTCTCCTAAGGAAAGACAGGAGCTGGACCTGTGGGAGTACTTGGAGGTGTTTCCCGAAGACAACAAGTATGGAATATGGCCTATTTTCTTTTCTGCTGAATGATCAAAGTTCTTACTCAGTATACTCTTCAAGGGATGTCACTGCTCTGGGGCTTCCACCAACCGCCCGCTATCCGGATATTGAAGGATATCGGGCAACTCGCGAGTTGCAGCTCAACTACATTCTGTCAAAGCAGCTCAACGAGGTGGAGCACTTACGGAAAATGGCTTTACGAACCTTTGATGACGACTACTGCACCTCACTTCATTCGAGCCGGGAGATTGACCGTTTGAATTTGTGCCCTCCACTGTTTCAAATGTTAACGCGGAAAGAACTAGAAGAATCTCAAGGGGAAAGTCCGGGTGAAGATGGAAATTATCCCTTCCAATCCTCCTTGATGGATTTGAAACGCTGGGTGGAGAAAGAAGCCAGTGGTGGGGAGAGCGAGAGCCGGACACGACCTGGGATATCAGCACATATGCTGAATGTATGTGGGATTTTAACCATTTGGCAAATAGGCCTACGGCATGTGTTCGAAGATTTACCCCTATCCTTGTTCTATAGGTGTTATATGAAAAACAATATGAGCTGATGCGAATGAAGCAGTCTCGGACACTCGACGAAATGTTTGAACGGCAATGGCGAGACGGTCGCAATATCATGATGCAGCAGAACTTGAAAGCCGATCGCACCTGGAATTACGTTGCGTGGGAAGGGCCGCTTGAAGAAGAGAAGCAAGAAATTAATCGAAAATGGGCCCAGTCCATTGCTGACGTTCAGCTACTTGGGCGAATCGAGGGCACGCTGGATATGTACGTGTGCCCTACCTGAAGTTTTATGTTAACGAAGTCCTAATTGTTATATGACGCCTGTTAAGACCAGTAAAGCGCATCTATATTTCAAAAACGATCCCGTTTGATCCAAGAGACACGCGGAACACGGACTTTCTAAAGCGATGGTGTCACGAACCTTGGCCGAAATACATTGTGCGTGTGGCCAAACCGGATAAAGACCAATATGAAAGATTCTATAATCTGATGGCCTTTAGTCGTGGTCAACGGAAGGTAGACACACCATGAGCGTACGGTTGAATACACACACTGACCATTCTCTTCATTCAGGCTCACGTTGCGGATCTAGACGATGTACCCCCAGGTCAAAAAAGCGCCCGGCAGATGATCATGGTGCCTTTGCACTTCGTGCGACGTCCGTTAAAATATCACCCCAATTTATCAAAGATTCTCGATTCGTCAAGTTACACATTTTTGGGCATCTTGTATACCCGACAAGGTGTGCCTCAAGGAGACCAGGTCTTGGATTGCTGGGGCTTTGATCAGTACGCGACAACTCCACTTAACAAGTCTGATGGGAAAGTTCCCTGGGAGGCTAGCTCGGATTCGGCCCGTTTTGGCGTACTCGAGTCCGTACTACCTCACCCACCTGGACAGCCATTACTGGCCATTAATACCCATGGATCACAAAGCGCTATATTACCTCCGCCTGCTTTGGGGGCCTCGTCCGGCTTGCCGAACACACCCATTGGCGTCACTCATTTGACGACAACCCTTCCTTTTGTTGCGACTTCCTACGCGACACCATTGCAAATGGCTTCAAGGGACGTACCGGAGCTCGTGGCACCCAAAGGATTGACCTCTATAGTAGCGGCACAGCAAAGCCTTCAACAACAGGCCACACGACTGGAAAGCGACATTACTGCACTAGAAGCAATAATGAGATTTGCAACAGGTCCAGCAGATTCTGAAAGTCAGAATAAAATGAAAGCAAGTTTTGCGACCAAACAGAAGGAATTGGAGAGTGTACGTGAGGCGCTGCAAAACATCGAAAATGGACACGGGGCTACGTCAAAGTTCCCACCGGCCATATCAACCGCAAGTGAGAATCCGCAGCTACCTCAAGCAATGAAAGGAACAGCAGGACCGCTATCTCCAGCAACGGCACCTAACATGAACAGTATAGCGTCCACGTTGTTGGACCATCTCAGGAGGACCGGAGTGCTGCAACCTCGTGATCCCCGATTACAAGCACAGCCTGCACCACCGTCCGGGGGGACGCACGAGGGACACCCATCCTGATTTTTTTCTTCTCAGCGGTATTATAAATTAGCATATTTGTGTATATTTCTTGTATAAATGTGTAATATCAGACCACTCGACGTGCAATGAGAGCCTAAGTCACGGGGATCCTTGTCTGCACGTGACGTGCAGCGAAAATGGGTGTATTTCAACTGCATACCAGTCGTTTTGAGAAGATCCTCCCTTTTCTGGTCGCCTGTCCATATATATCAACCATGGTGAGTATCATCGTCACGCATCCATCCATCCATCCATCCGTTCCGCCATCCACGTCGTATGGGTACTTGGTTGCATTTGAAGAAGGGGGAGAGGGATCCTGTGGAGCAATTGTAGTTGGAAGGCCATGTTGGCACATTGGAGTAGTTTTTTGGCATGATGGGGATTATCGTGAGACGGCGTACGAATGTATACGAATGAGGAGAAACTGGACGAAATGCGGGGCGGGTTGTATATGGCGATTCGCTCGCCCTTGAGCAGTTTGCTCGATCACGCTGGAATATGGACGCAGGCGATGTGGGGCTCCCGGCAAAGGCAAAGATGAAAGTCCAAGGCGGCAGAGCGATAGCTTGTAAAAGATGCTTTGGGGGAGACGGCTCGAGGACCGATGCTCAACAATATCAACTTGACGCTAATCTCTCTTGTGGTTGATTGTAGGCTGACGAATTCGACCAAGAGTCTGCTGCCGAGTTGAAGAAGAAGAGAACCTTCCGGAAGTTCACCTTCCGTGGAGTGGACCTCGACCAGCTTCTTGACTTGAGCTCCGAGCAGGTGTGCACGTCTCCGCTTTCGCCATTTCTGGGATTGCCAATTTACCATGTTCCACGTCGCAGCTTATGGAGCTTGTTCACGCCCGTGCTCGCCGTAGGTTCCAGCGCGGTTTGAAGAGGAAGCCAATGGGTCTCATCAAGAAGTTGCGCAAGGCCAAGAAGGAGGCTACTCCTGGTGAGAAGCCAGAGGTGGTCAAGACCCACTTGCGTGACATGATCATTGTCCCCGAGATGATTGGCTCCGTCGTTGGTGTGTACAACGGAAAGACCTTCAACCAGGTTGAGATCAAGCCTGAGATGATTGGTCACTACCTTGGCGAATTCTCCATCACCTACAAGCCTGTCAAGCACGGTCGTCCCGGTATCGGTGCCACCCACAGTTCCCGGTACGTATTCGCAGACGTTAACAACGATTGCCGTATTTGGTTCCCTTGCTCATCAAAAGGTATCAATTTTACAGATTCATTCCTCTTAAATAAGGGCAGATGTGGCGTTTCATTGTACATGTTTATATGTGGTGATGGGAATATAAACGGATGCATAGGCAGTGCGCAGTGCAATACTTCTTTGAGTGACAGGGCTAAATGTCATTACCAATTCGATTTCTATTCATTGGAATGATCACAGGCGGGTCAATTAGACAACAATTAATGCATTAAATTCGTTTGTCCGGCCCCAAAGCAACTACGAAATAACATCTAAGTCTTGCGGAGCGGTCGTAACAGAGCCAGCGCCTGTTCCAAGTTGTCAATCGCAGTGGGTATATCATCGTATTGCAACGCGCTGATGGCAAAACGGGAGTGCTTTTGTGCAGCCTGTACTGTTTTGTAGTTGACTTCGAACGATCCCTTCGGCGCGAGAGATGACGGGCTAGCCGGTGCAGGAGACGGTGAGTGGTGTCCAGAACCGGCCGATGGCGCCGACGGGTGAACGTAAGGCCTGGTCTCAGAACCGGTAAAAGGGGTTTGATGTGACGGGCAGTGTGAAGATGGTGATGCATAACTGGCCTCCCCGGAGTGCGAAACATTTGCATCAAAAGTAGGTTGCGTTGGAGTATATGATGGATCATAAGGCGTGCCAAAATTCGGATGAGGTTCCGGCGGAGCGGTCGGTTGTGCGGATTCTGGGGGTTGCTCTCCTGGCATTCCTGGGGTTGGTGTGCGGCCTTCTCGTAATGCTTTGATGATGTCTGCAGCTTTGAATTTGGCATACCGGATTTTGTCTTGCACCTTTCGCGGAGCCGGTATGTCAGTTGAAAGTCCTTGGCGAACTCAAGGACAAGTTCATACCTCCGTATCAATTTCTCCAAATACTTTGAGAAGCTCTAGAAAAATTGAAGACGCCAAGAAGGTCTTTGCAGTCTTCCTAATTGTAGGCATCCACATTAACACAAAAAGCCGCCTACTGACTATTGCAACATTTTCTTACTTGGACGCTCTCCCTTGACGATCTTCATTGTCAGCGTTCGTAAAAATACGTAACGCAAAATTCTCAATGTGAGCGTAACCAACAACATCGTTTGTAACAGCCTCGTTTCCGCTGATATTCTTCCGATCCTGTAGCAAAAGTCCCATGAGTAAATGGAGATTTGAAAAAGCGTCTAAGGATGCGCACTTGTTCCAGTTCATCCATGAGCCCAAGGAGGAACAGCTGAGCCTCCTTTGACTTGCCCCCTTTATCTATGGCGAGTTTCGCTGCATAGTATTTGCCTGCAACAAGCAAGATGAGTCTCACATGTTCGGTTGGCTGTTATTCAAATGATTCGCTGAAGAATATGGTGCACCTACAATAATACGCGACTATGGGTTCCTTCGTTTGAAGCTCTTGTGCTCTTTGCAGGTATGCATTTACAAACTTGAGCTCGTCTGGTGGGTTGCCGGGCATTGCGGAAGATGTGAAAGCGAATTGGTCGTTTGGTTATCCCCAGCGCGCATATCCCAGAGTCATGAGTCATGTGATGCTGCTGACACACCCAAAGTGTAACTTGTTGCAACTCTACCCTTTCGAATCGCGACTGACTGTATACAGTTTGCGCCGTATGATATTGCCCCACCGAGTTTTGTGTTGCAGACTGTCCCCAGCTTCTATCTGCTCTAACTTTTCTAGAACCATGGCTACTTCCTCATCGCGGACCCTGCGCATAGGAAGCTTCACTGTACCGCTTACAGTTAAGGAGAACTCTGGGATCGACCTCGATGAGGTAGAACAATTCCCGGCTTTCAAGGACTGGGTTGCAGCTTTTGGGAAGGAGATGAAAGAGTCTCCTGTGGCCTCCCGTGTTGCTGTCGAAAAAGTTGTGATAACCGATATAGATTACTTTAAAAGTGGGAAAGTAGGGTTCGTCAAATTTCGCACAGATGTTAAATGGAGCGACGCAGGGGATGGACGTATACCTGGCATTGTGTTCTCGAGAGGTGGTGCGGTTGCGATTCTAGTAATCATTAAAGCGAGCAACCCCAGAACTGCAGATGATGAGGAAGAGCGAGTGGTCTTGACCGTGCAACCGCGTATCCCCATCGCTTCATTAGCTTTTTCAGAAATACCAGCGGGGATGTTGGATGGTGAGCGCAAATTTGCGGGAGCTGCTGCTCGAGAATTGGAGGAAGAATGCGGAATTCAAATAAGAGAGGATGAGCTTACAGATTTGACAGATCTGACCTTTGGAATGGGGACCGACCTGAGGAATGTCGGAGTCTACCCAAGTCCAGGTGGATCTGACGAGTTCATCAAATTGCTTTTGTGCAGAAAACAGCTGCCTATTGAGGACATCAGGCGACTGGAAGGAAGAAAAGGTGGTCTGAGAGAGGAAGGCGAGAGAATTGACGTAAAATTGGTCAAGCTAAAGGATCTCTGGCGGAGCACTCGAGACATGAAAGCCTTATCGGCTCTTACTTTATACGACCGTTGCCTTACAGCTGGATTAATCTCCAAGATATGACGCTACTTAGATCAAACGTACTTTATTGAATCTGTGTCCAACCACTATTGTTTGTACATTTATGGTCTGCATGTTTCGCATACAAGAGGAAATTCCACCCGGCCAATAATTTAAGTGCGCTTAACTAATACTTTTCTTTAGCTTGTCATGCGTCTCTCGTAGCTCAGAAGCATATCGGATGGCCCATGTAAGCTCGTACGATTTGGCGGCATCATTCCAGCTAGACAGGATATCACCAGTACGCCCTGTTCCCTCTCCAATTTCATTTTCAACGACATCCCTCTGACGTGCGGAGTCTATAAGCGCTGACATTTGTGTGAGGTATGGATCGTCCTGGGCATAATCGAATACTTCTGCCTCCTCACTAAACGGCGATCGAACATACAATTTTGGCTCACAGTACGGATTCACCATTCGGAACAGCCAGCCATCAGCATGAACTTCCAATTCTGCAGAATACTTTGTGCCGTGGAGGTTGATGCCATGGGTAATCGTCCCAATTGCTCCATTTTCATATTTCCATACAGCCGAGGCGATCCGAGGTATACGATCGTCTTCGGGTATCAGATTTTCATTTATCGGGATCTTGGAAAGCTTTCCAGGCTTCTCCCAATGCTCAACTGCGTGAGCATATACTGACTCGATATTCACATCCCCTCCAAAATATCTGCTGAGATCACAGATATGTGTTCCTTGCTCTACAATGGGCGTACATGAGATAGATTTCTTCCACCAGTGATCTTTTTCGATAGATGTGTAGCAAGAGTTGTATCGAGCAACTGTGGCCATTACGGTGAGATTATGCTGGGAAATAAGATCTTTCATCTTCTGCACAACTAGTACGAAAAGAAAAATAGATTGGTGATTGAACGCGAGTATACAACAGTAAATTATTCACCTTTAAGATATCTCATGAAATATCCGACGCTGACCAGGGATTTCCGACTTGCTAAATCATGGCCAACCTCTTTGACTTCGTGCACGTGGGCGCTAGATATAGGCTTTTCGATAAACAAAGCAGCATGTGGTAATGCTCTCGATAATCTTATTTCCAAGTCAGAACCAGGTTTAGTTGTTCCATGGAATGCAGGTGGTACTCCAATGATGACTACATCGGGTTTGTTGTCTTCCGATAAGGATGCAAGGAAATTTTCAATGTTGTTATACTCCTTTGTTCCCTCGTAGGCGGAGGAGAATTCTGAGCGAGCCTTTTCCTTCAGGACATGTTGACGGTGCTCTGAGGATGGATCAACGAGAGCCGTGACTTTCAAATTATTTCCTAATCTCCTTTGGACGCGAACATTAGATCAGGACCAAACATTTTCTAATATGCTCAAGACGAGTTCATTACTGACTTTTCCAAGCGAGCAGAATGATTCCACGGGCCCTCGGGTGAGCCGAAATTTATTCCTCCCGCCCCAAAGAACGCAACCTTTGTCGGAGTATCAAGAACACCTCTAGTCGCATATTGTCGTCGATTCAGCGCCTTTGCTTCTGGGACAAACTGCCGCGCGGCCTTGTGAAGTTTTGAGAGTTGAACAAAAAACGACATTGCATGCAAGCTACAGCTTCTAGCGGGGGAAAGCTGGCCATCCTCAAGAAATATGAAGGATTCAACTGAAACTTGACGTAAAACAAGTTAACTGAGCTAATCCACCCAATTTATTCACGTGATTAGTACAGTGGATCCATCCCTGGATCATTCCATTGCGTCAAGAACTCCACCCAACTTGAACTGCCGCGGCGCCTCCCTTCCATTTCGACCAGGGATTACATTGTTGTTTTTTCCAAACGGGCCTTTCATCCGCGCGTGTGAAGCCACTAGACTCACAAACGGCTGTCTCTCGAGGCGCGGCAATCTTACGGTTTCAATTTGGTTGTGTGCTGTTACATAAACTTTGCGTAAGTACGACTGTGAACTGGGTGTACATCTGAAAGCAAACAGAGATGGCAGGAGGGTATGCAAAAGGGTCACGTTGTTTATTGAAATGCTGTCCTTTCAGTCCACCTTTCCCGGCCTGTACGCGCAAACATAGGGATATAACATGCCAGTACGTTTACAATTCACTTGATGGGAATATGAACCGCGCTGCGACTTTGAGTCGCGCCAGCGGTATCAGTTTATTAAACTAGTTTATGGGTCGCGTTCAGGCGTATCACTCATCGTTCAACGATGGTGGATTCCGTGCCATCGGTAACATGGCGCTTCTGCCCATTAAAACAAAGATTCGAGGCCCAGCACCACCAGCAGGTGCGTCGCACGCGCTCTGTTCCGCAATGCTCAACGCGCTCACCTTTTTCCAATCGGGCAGCCGACCCGCAACAGGACGATATCATTGATGAGGCGATCGCACTTTTCCGCGCCAATTGCTTCTTTAGAAACTTTGAAATAAAAGGCACTGCCGATCGTGTCCTTATTTACCTGCTCCTGTTCATTCAAGAATCGCTGGGAAAGCTGTCCAAGAACCCCTCGCAATTGGAAGGACAAAGAACTCTGCAAACACATGCACTTCAAAACTTTGCTATACCTGGCGAGGCGGGCTTTCCTTTGAATGCAATGTACGAAAAACCTGCAAACCGAAATGATGCTGGTGAGTTGATGAGCTACACACAGCGTTGCCGAATGTTAAGAATTGACCGCTGGGTTAAAATCAGACACGCTAAGACAATATTTGAGCCAACTGCGCCAAGAGTGCGCGACCCGCCTGGTGGTAAAGGTATATGATGGGGATCGGCCAAGCAAATGGTGGATGTGTTTCTCAAAGAGGAAGTTTATGGGCTTGCCTAACGTTGGTACCGCTGCTTGAAACCTTTGAGGTGACATTTTATATTTTACGGCATGATAAGAGACTTGATTCTAAAAGAGAAAGATCACATCCGGTATCTGTTGCGCAAACATTCTTTCCGTTATAGACAGCAAAGTTTATGACATTGTTGAGGCTACTTTATAATCCATATAATAGCAATATGCAAAGCTATGGAGTAATTTGCACTGCAGCCTTCTCAATCATATCATTGAGCTGGATCTTTACGTCCGGCTATCCCAACAATCTCAATTTCGCGCCAATGGTTTTCAGTATTATCAACACTCTGCTTTGATGGGATGATCCTCTTCGACCGCGATTGCCAAGCCGTCGAAAGATTGGGCGAGCCGCTCGGCAATGTCTTCGGATGGCACATCTGTGAACACTGTGCAGTCCAGAGTGTCAGGAGAGAGAAGCCTCATGCACTTCAAAGCGCGAGCTGCGCTGTGCAGATCCTGAACAGTCTCGAAACTAACGAGAAAGGTGCCACTGGCCACTTTGTGGAGAGTCACATAACCGTTCATGCATTTCAAAAGCGGGTGAAGGTCGGCTTCGCCAATCCTGCTGGTGATAATACGAAGAGTTGGCGATGCAAGCCCAGCCTGATCGCCTCTGTCTTTATCAGTATGGTCATGACGAACTGGGCTTGGCACTGTGGTGGTCGAGGTTGCCTGGATACATTTACTATGACCTGCGTGTTCTTGAGATTTCTCCAAGGATGATGCTTGTTCAACCCCGATGCTATCATCTTTGGCGGCGATCCGAGATCCTGGCAGAGTATTGCTGACTTTCACCTTAGGAACAACTTGAATATTGAGATCTTCGATAATCTTCTCACGAGGAGTCGTGGATGTTGAGATTGCACTTGTCCCCCTTTCCGATGCGCACCTAATACCTAGTGACTGTTCTTTTTCAGAATACTTATCCATTAGAACGACGTTGTTATGCCCTGAATTAGAGCAGTCCGTCGGGCAATTGCCAGATGTGAATGTAATGATCATATTGGTACTGTTCACGAGATGCTCCACTGCGTGACGCGCATACATGGATCTGGTAAACTTGGCAATGCAGCAACTGAATTCCTTTCCTTGCAATATCTTGACGCCAGGGACGATTCCATTGTAGGTTTGCAACCACTGCTCCACGTACTTTGCAGTGAGGTCAGGTAGCTTGAAAGGAAACTTGATATGAATAGTTGACTCGCCCGCGTCAAGGTCCAGCTTCTGCGGTGACATCCAGCGGCCCACTTCATTGGGAGCTGCGATTGTGGCTGTGAGCGGGCCTCGCTTCATCTGTATACTGGCCGCATAAGCAAAGGGCAAGTCCGCGAATCCCGCATAGAAAGTCAACTCTTCAGCTCCTTCGCACCGTCCCAAGATAATGCGAAAAAGCCCCGGAAACGAGTACAAATAATTGGTTATCTGATTAACATTGTGGCCAGTATTTCCCAGACGCAAAAAGGGCATTTTGGTTACATCCTCCTCAGGGTAATAGGTAGTATCTGATGCATGCAGTACCCAATGGATAAAATGAAGATAGCGTTGTAATAGGGCATTGACTTGCGACTGTCTTACCGATTGCGTAGTGTATACCTAGGTTTGTGGTCTCGGCGATTTCGATCGCGGCGTTCGATGCAAAACCAGGATCATTGAACTGGATGGAATATCCACGAGTTTCCGAAGTTATAGATTTAAACCCCGCAAAGTTAGATACAATCTTTTCAACGACTGCGATGCCCAGTGGAGCCTTTCGCGGTATGAATAAGATTTTTGAGGTTAAGTTCATCTCCACTTCGGGCGCCAAGTCCACAAGATCCGATGGTGGATGCTGCCCTGGCAGATCCTTTAACAGAGAGAGACGCGACGAAAGCAACTGAAGCTCTTTGCCAGCTTGTTCACAGGCTGCGGCTGTTGCATATTGAACGATATGGTATGGTTTCGCATAGAGAAGCTTTTGGAACCCTGCTTGGGATGACACGAAATTGTACAAATCGGCTTCGTCGACCTTTGAAGGCAACGGAGTGCCGACAAGAATCTGCGGCAAACCCATGGTCAAATGGACAATCTTTGACAAGCTTTTGAAGAGGACTTGACTTTGGTTGCTGGCTCGGGGGGGAATGGAAGTTGAAATGAGAGACTAACCGGTTAAAATGCGCGATGTCCGAAAGTCCGATCGGTCAGACCTCCCGGTCACCGCAAGTCTTTCAACTGCTTCTCTCCGAGCTTTTCTAGGCAAACCACAGAAATCAAGAGTATATCATGTCCTCTCCTAGAAGCGCTCGTGGGACGCCACGATCAACTAGAAGGAGAGCATTACAGCCTATCCAAGATGACTCTCAGGGAACAGCTTCTAACTTTGGAGAGTCTGCGTCGAGTCCACTGAAGCAGACATTTTCTTCTTCAGCTCTGCCTCGCACATCCGGGGTGGACTCTGACGTTGAAAATCAAGGACTGCCGCGGCCGTCCCGCGCCTCCCCCGGACTTTTCCCTTCCGATGCTCTTAGTTCATCCCCAAACAGACCTGCGGCCTCCAGACAGCGAAGGACTGTTGATCCTGGAAGTGATGCTTTTTTACCGCCTACATCTCCAGCAAGAAGTCGAGCAGCAGGTAGTTTCGTACTATGAAGCTCAAGATTCTTTCGTCAAATAATCTCTTATCAATGTCATCTTGCCTTAGACGGTGTCGGGTCTCCCCTTATCTATCCCCCTTCGTCGGAGACCGCCGAGCCCCAAGCGGAAAGACAACTGAGCACTGACTTGTTCTTCTCGCAACCTGCAACACAGGGTTCCAGTCAACGTAATCGTCCTGCAAGTTCCACCCCACGCCATCGTCGTGGTGATGTGACCGGAAACAGGTTCTTTGAGCGCATATTGAGTCAAAGTGACCAGGGATCGCAGGGTGATGCTCCTCCTCGTGATCTCATGAGTGACATTCAAGGACCAGCGGTTCCTTCTTCAACTACCAATGCCACATCAGATCCGGCGGCCATCCGAATGGTCATCTGGGGAACGACCGTCAATATTGCTGAGTCCATGCAGATGTTCCGGGATTTCATTACGAATTTCACGCAGTCCCAACATGCTGCAGATGGCAATAACGAAGAAGACATGATGGATCAGGACCATGAGCCATTCTACCCCTACTATCTGCGTCAAGTGAGTGTTGCAGGAGAATTGTACGTGGGTGGTCAATCTGATGATGTCGATTCCATTGCAGCTCAAAGAATCCGAAGACTATAATATGAATCTGGACTGCAGCAATCTCCGAGTATACCAGCCCGCTAGGAAGCTTTACAATCAACTGATCCGTTACCCGCAAGAAATCATCCCGCTTATGGATCACACGTTAACTGAGATTTTCCTGGATATGTTTGAAGACGTCGAGCTGCCAGATGGCATGACGATGAGGGTACCTATACTTCTCTCCGCATCTCCATTCAGATAAATATTCTTATAGCAAATGATGTACCAGGTGCGCCCATTTAACTTGGCAAGATCTGTCAATCTTCGAGAGCTGAACCCATCAGGTACATTTTGACCATGAATTTGTTAATGAGTTCGTCCAATACACCAGTATACTAATATGTGAACTGAATAGATATCGATCAACTGGTAACTGTGAAGGGTATTCTTATCCGCGCTTCTCCTATCATTCCGGACTTGAAGCAAGGTAATTTGCTGCACCAGCATACGTATTACGATCAATCATTCTAACGAGATTATCCGTTCTATACAGCTTTCTTTCGTTGTCATGTCTGTGAACACACGGTCATTGTTGATAGTGATCGTGGACGAATTGCGGAACCCACCAAGTGTCCTAGGGACGCGTGCCAGTCTAAAAATTCCATGCAGCTGGTGCATAACCGTTGTGTATTCTCCGATAAGCAAATATGTCGACTTCAAGAAACTCCGGATGAAACCCCCGATGGACAGACCCCACATACAGTCTCCATGTGCGTGTACGATGACTTGGTAGATGTCGCAAAAGCTGGTGACCGGGTGGAGATCACCGGCATCTTCCGCGGTGTTCCAGTCCGTGTCAACCCAAGGCGACGAGCCATCAAGGCGCTCTTCAAAACCTACGTGGATATCGTGCACATCAAAAGAACGGACGACAAACGGCTTGGTATTGATAAAAGCATTGTTGCCGACAATGAGCATGTGGTACCAATTGAAGAGGGTGATAGAATTCACCGAGAAGATCCCCATCTACAGCAGAAGATAGAAGGGCTGTCTCAAAGGGAGGATCTGTATGAGCTCCTTTCGAGATCCATTGCTCCGTCCATTTTCGGAATGGAAGATGTAAAGAAGGGCGTGCTTCTGCAACTATTTGGAGGTGCGAATAAGTTTTCGAAGGACAAGCCGGGATCTCCCAGAATCCGTGGGGACATCAATATTCTATTGGTGGGTGATCCTGGTGTGAGCAAGTCCCAACTGCTTCAATACATCCACAAGATTGCACCTCGTGGGGTGTACACCTCTGGCAAAGGATCATCTGCAGTCGGTCTAACCGCTTACGTGACTCGCGACCCAGACAGCAAGCAGCTCGTTCTGGAGAGGTACGAATGATATATTTACTAATCTGAAACGATGCACGAATAACGTGGTCAAATCTTCTGCAGTGGCGCCCTTGTACTCAGTGATGGTGGGGTGTGTTGCATTGATGAGTTTGATAAGATGTCAGATTACACACGATCCGTATTGCACGAAGTTATGGTAAGTTATTTTCAATTATAGCAGGAGGCTTCCTGGTGTTAACATTTGTCCGCAGGAACAACAAACAATATCCGTTGCAAAAGCCGGCATTATCACGACCCTCAATGCGCGGACATCAATTCTTGCGTGTGCGAATCCCATCAACTCGAAGTTCGATGAAAAGTTGCCTGTGGTGGAGAATGTGAACCTCCCCCCGCCGCTATTGTCAAGGTATGGTTGGGAACATTGTGAGTCTGAAAAATATAAATTAACAAGCACACTAGGTTTGATTTGACATATCTTATCCTGGACAAGCCGGATGAACGCGATGATCGACGACTAGCCCAGCATCTGGTCGGATTCTATCTGGGAGAAGGGGATATTGCACCACGACGAGAGGAACAGGAATTTGTGGTGAGTTTTTTTTATTTTTCATCATCTCTTGGCCGCAAGTTTAAACGTGATTCCCTTTTCAGCCTGTGGAGTTGTTCACGAAATACATCAACCATGCCCGATCAAAAATCAATCCTGTCATATCAGAGGAGGCTGGGGAGGCATTGATCGACTTTTACGTGAAGCTCCGAAATATGGGCAAAGACGGTGGAAGCAGGACGGTAACATTCACCACCAGACAGCTGGAGAGTATGATCCGGCTTGCGGAAGCACATGCCAGAATGAGGTAACTCGGCATTCTTTGAGCGACAACCCCACTGTAAAAGGTATTCATCCACTTACCATTTTCAGGTTGTCTCCTACGGTCGAGAAAGGGGATGTCGAGGAAGCCAACCGGTAGGAATCTACTGTCCCAGTGGAGGTTATGCGTGTAGGGACTTAAAGTCGTGATGTTACATTTGCAGATTGGTCATTACTGCTCTACAAACTGCTGCAATCGATCCGAAGACCGGCATGATCGATTTAGATCTTGTGAACACGGGAATCAGTTCGAGGAGTCGCCGGGTGCACGCCGATAAACGGAGAGCTCTTAAGGATATGTTGGCAAATACTGATAAAGTCAATATCAAGTGGGTAGAGGCATATCGAGGGTTTAACGAACAAACTGATGAGGTAAATTTGGGGCACGTCATACTGAGCTTTGAATAAAAGTATGCTGAGTATATCTCTACTTGCAGCACATTACAGAGTACGACTTCAATACATTGCTCGAAGAGCTTTGCGACGAAGGATTTATTCACATCACTGGGAGGACGAATGGTGATAAGATCATCCGCAAATCCGGAAGCCACTGAACAGCGCTACTTTTCGAAGCTTTTTTCTTTGTATATCGTGACGATTTCGATTTCTTATTTTGTGTATAGACCCGTTAATGAATATCCTGTTTTAAACAATGTGACTTGGGGATAAACTAAATTATATTCTGTGTGCGTGTGCTGGAGGAAATCTAGTCTAGGCTAAATGAAAAGGACGGAATTTACAAACCACTATCAAGCACGAACTTGATTGTGGGACGAGATGAGGAGAATACAGAGACGAAGAGCAGTCCCGCTTTCCATCATTCATGTCTTAATTTGATGGCGCACTCTTTTCAGCTCCCTCTGTTCTTCGTTTCAACTCCAACTCTAGCCGCTCTTTAGCTCGATACACCTTCGACTGCAGATAGAATGATCCTCCCTCTTTTGGATCATTTTGTTTGAACAAATGCTCATATCTCTGAAACGACGCCAAAGAAGAACTGTAAGCGACAGCCATCAGTAATACAATTCTCATCCCAGTAATGCCTACCTTTAACAACTCTTCCATCGATGCCGTCTTGTCCACATTCAGAATCTGAGCTGCTTCCTCCACCGTTATCCCCGTTTTCCGCGTGGCGGCATCTACCGCCGCACGCCCTGTTCCACCAGCCGCTGCATTCTGAGCCGCATCTAATCGGCAAGAGTCCTGTTAACGAGTGATCAAGCAATGCCCGGCTTGGATATGTCTGCCACATACTCTTTGCTGCTTGTTTGTATGCTTCGACGAAAGCCCGACCCAGAATTTGAGAACCGACAATGACTATTTGTGTTATTAACCTTGCAGCCTGACGGTCGAGGTAAGGATAGACATGGCGCATAAGCTTTGGCGTACGAGCAATTTCAAAATTGTAGGCAAGTACATACGTTGACCATTTTGATATTATGTATGTGATCGGAAGTGAGTAGGGCAAACGAGGAGATACGCAATTCTTGGAGGTTCGCAGGAAGGTTATGTATGTAGGGTGCCGTGCAATGAGTCTCCCGGTCAGCAAGAATGAAAACGCCTTTTGCAAAAAACTTTGAAATTTGTTCGCAGTTTAGCGATTTGTCGGGAATCCTCCTTGCTCTTTAGATTCGTTGCCAAGACAACCCATGAGTCAAACGAATCCGCTTACATCAGCAATGCAGGATGGCACAGTACACGGTAAAAACCAGACCCAAAAAAACAATATATCCAAATTAGGTCCAAGACACGCAAATTTGTAAATGTTCAACTCCCATGTGGCAGTGCATGCAGCTATTCGGACATGTCCGGATTATCGGACGTGTCCGGACGCTGATGGCACAGTCATACTGACTGATGCAGAGTCTTTATTGCGTCGTTAAGTGCTTACACTGTGGCCGCCCGACAACGACGTCCGCAGCGAATGCTCTTGAGCAGTGAAGGACCAGGTAACGCCATGTCCCGTTCATTAAAGACAATTGTACGAGTTGTGTTATCACCGGGGAAGCCAGTGTGAAAAATTCAATGCAGCAGGTCATCCAGATGGCGGACTGACAAACATGCGCATTCGGAAGGAATTCATATGACCTTTAACTCAGCGTCATACAGTTTCTGCGTTGTATGCTGCAAAACTGATGGTAATGCAGGTCGTATTGAAGGTACTTACTTGGAGCACTATCTCCTATCACCTCTGGCGCCATGGAGCGTTGCTGCAATCCTAAACCTCCGACGGCCTGTCGATTCTTTCAGCGATGGAATCTCCGTGTACACTCACCTCTAGCGTGACCTCCACCGGAATCCAAAGCAGCTTTCAACGATGGGATCTGCATTGTACGCTTACCTCTAGCGTGACCTCCAACGGAATGCAAAGCAGATTTCAACGATGGGATCGCCATTGTGCACTCACCTCTACCGTGACCTCCAACGGAATCCAAAGTAGTTTTCGACTATCGGGTCTCCATTGCACACTCACCGCTACGTGACCTCCGACGGAATCCAAAGTAGCGCATTGTTTCCAACATTTATTCGCAGGCGGCAAATTCCTCTCCCAACAATAGTGCAGGCTCCCTTCTAACACAACGCACCGTTAACAGCCTTTGACAGCATCGATATCCGGGAAGAGCTGCTGGTCGGTTATTGAACACGAATGAGGGGGGACTGGAATGGAAGAGGTGGCCTTTTATAAACTTGGAGAACTGGCCCGAGATTTCCGTGGAAGATTCGCTCAGAACATCCACACGTCATGCGTCAGTGCGTTACCCCTGATTATGGCCTTGCCCCTGCTGTGCATATCCACGCTCATTGTGAAATGGGCCGTGTGTGTAATATGGCGTCTCTCGCACATGTGGTGTCCCTTTGGAAAAAAAGAACGCGACAGCCCCTGGAGCGACCTCCTTGCAGGGCGCGTCGTGGACGCGAACAACCACACCCCTTGCTGCTTCAGCGCCATGGAGGATGGACGTGTTGTGTGCATGGACGCGACAGATCCCTGGGACGGCCTCCTTCCAGGGCGTGTCCGTGGACCTGCTGCGCGCGACATACCCGTTGAACGGCCTGGGTTTCAGGCATGGAAGGCACGTACCCCTGATTCGGCCCTCGCATGAATCACAGAAGCAAGCGATATTTACATACACATGAACCTTTGAGATATAATAAAGTGGCCTTTCTTTTATGAAGGATTTCAAAAGGAGGAAAGCTAAACGATGACGATCCGTGAATGTCCACCCCCTCGCACTTCCTTTATCCTCCCCAAATGCCTCATAATAGCTATAACACTTCTACCTGTCGGATCTAATCGGAAAACACTCTTACTCCACTGTCCCTTTTCGCGGACATCCTTCTCTGTTATGAATGCTTTTCCTGTTGTTTCGGCGGTTGCAGCTTTCCGGTGCTCCCAGAAGACGTCTCGCTGACTTTTTGTCATCTTTGGTGGTGATATTCGCAACATTGTATGTTTATCAGCCACCAATTGTGCGAATTCTGAGATCTGATCGTTTAGTCGATCCCGGTTCAGTCGCCCGACTGCAACCGATGAAAATAATTGGTCAAGTAGAGCACCTCAGTCAAGAAAGACCAGAATTAGAAACTCACCCAAATATTTTGGTAATGATTCAAACTGAATTTTATGATAGATATCAACAAGCGGTGATTTTGGAAGGATCTTCACCATCCATTTTGCACTCACCTCAGCAACCGTTACAGGGGCTACCGTCGTGTTCAACTTTGCTGACGTCTTTTTAGATGGTGCATCAGCCGTTGCGTCTACCTTCTTCATCTTTCTTAGGCCCCCAGCGACTTTGGACTTATTCTCCCCTTGGTTATTGCCCAGAACTTTGAGGGAACCTGGATCCGCCACCTTCGGTCTTTGCCCTTCCATATTCTCTTCATCACTCTCCGCCTCAATCTCTTGGATTTGATTTTTCGTTGGACGATTATACCTCATGCTTGCCTTTGTAGATCTCTGAGGCAGCGGTAAGTGTTTAGGGACATTGGCAAGCATATGTTCCAGATCTTTTCGTTGTTCATCCAACGCTTCGTGAATTGCGCGCGATTTCTCCAGGGCTTTCTGCTCTTGCAGTATCTGGGTGCGTATGTAGCCTACCCGCTGGTCCAAATCTTCCACTGCACGCCAGAGACTCTGAAAATCCTCATTGTTCAGGATGCTTTGTTCTAACGTAGGAGTGCGCAGCAGCGCGATGGCCTTCAAGTCTAGAAATACACGTATTAGGGTCTACTTTGTACACCGGCCATAAGACATACCTGTTATGCGGGATGCGAAGGATTGGAGGAGATCGTCCATGGCGACGGGAGTTCTTCCCAAGATCGCGTCAGATTCTGGTTTCGAGGTGCAGTCAGAAATGACAACAGCAACGCGCTTTTGTTCAGCTGTTTGAACACGGTTGGAATTCGTCATGAGCAACCTCTGGTGACATGGTGCAACTACATATCATGGCTGGTTCCCACATTCGATTACAGAGTGTGCATAACCTGTTGGGGGACGATTGGGGACATGATGTACGTCAGGCATGTGTCTAACGGATTGGAGATACAGACCTCTCACGTTCATTTCGTGTAAAATGTGCAGACATGGTGATTCCAGTACCTCTTCCTCACCTTAGCAGAGAAGATCTCTCGATCTCCACTTATGAATTATGGCAAAACATTGGACGCATTATCGCAAAAAGTTCAATCCTGATCGCCTGTGTTGTTATATTCTGCTCAGCTTATCACAGCGAGCTGTCCCCATTACCACATCAACCGCGTTGCAAGGGATGTTCCTCGGCCAGCGCGTCGTCAACAGGGGGGCAGGGGGTAAGGCACACGAGCGTCGCGAAGACGCCAGGGTGCACGCGGCGTCATCCGTCCATGGCAGTAAACTATGAATCCATGGTAAACATCGATGTCCATAGTGTAGGCGCCAAAGACGCCCTGCAAGGAGGTCGTCCCAGGGGTCTGTCGCGTCCACGGACACGACACGTTCATCTCCCATGTCTAGCGCAGCAAGGGGTTTGGTCGTTCGCGTCCACGGACACGCCCTGCAAGGAGGCCGCGCCAGGAGGTTGTCGCGTCCATCTTCCATGGCTGAAGCAGCAAGGGTTGGTTGTTCACGTCCACGGACACGCCTTGCAAGGAGGTCATCCCAGAGAGGCTGTCAAGTCCATCTTCCATGTTTGGCGTAGCAAGGGGTTTGGCAGTTCACTCCAACGAACAGGAAGCGCAGCAAAATGGGCGTCTTGATGATGACGAAGCCGTCTCCAATCCTTACGACCAATACTCTGGTCATTGCCAACATCACAATGGAGCATTTAGCAGGCTCAGACTTAATGATTCGTATAATACATGATAGCTTGAAATACAGCACTTGCTCCACTTGCCCGTTTCCCCAAACAAAGTCTATAGATATTTTGCGAGTATGCAGGTTAGAGCTTGACATTAAACGATGTCTTGCAGCCACATGACGACTCCGCTTTGGGATTGTTCACAACTTGGAAACTTGATCCGATCAATTCCTCCACATAGTCCAATGTTGATCCATTGATGAGGTCCAAAGATATTGTGTCCACCACGACCTTCGCTCCATCATTCTCAAACACGCTAACAACCCAGAAACTCGAAAATTAGTGTCCAGGAGTAAAGTTGATTCCTTAAAGTCGGTAACGTACACATCATCATCCTCCATTTGTGTTGTAAGCTCCATCTTGTATTGAAACCCATGACACCCGCCCGATTCTACTGTAATCCGCAGCATATTATTTGTATTCGCCTTTCGATTTATTGCATGTAGTTGCTATTTCATAAAGCCAGAAGAGAGAAGTATCAGAATCTCTACTTCAAGTAGATATATGGCCTTGGGTCATGCTGTGGCAAGCCCTTCAAGCCGCACAGTTGAGGTAGGTTTCATTTAGCTCATACCTTTGCAGCAGCATCTGACACGGATAAGCTGGCTACAATGCCTTCCTCAGTCCTATCCAATGCATCCTGAGTGCCCTGAGACGTCTCTGGCACGCGTGCGGCCTCCGTGGTCATGAAGCGTGGCCCGCACACAGATAATGCGAAAGCCCATGGCCGCTTCAATGATATTTGCCACGCCCGTAGACTCGCCGCGGATGAACGTGGAGGCGATACTTGCGAAGGAAGACGTCCAGATGTATGGAATGGACAGCGTAGGATTGCTGAAAGGGGTTGTATACCACGGCGGGCTGCTATCCGTTGCATTACGAAGTGGAAACTCTTGACAGTTGGAAATCGACTGCAATCGCGGACTTTGGGTGACGCGGATGTGCTGTGCCACGATCGTTGCTAAGGTCGGTTGTCGAGCAAAGGATGACCACCTGCCTGATTCATGTCTTCGAAGCCACGATGGTGATCTTGCAAAGGAGTTGCGCTCCGACATGCTTTCCCCTACGGTGCAGCACTCCTCTTGGATCAATACTCTGTCGTGGGTTTCATGTAAGCCATCAATGGAACCGACCGTACAATATTCTCTTTTTCGGCTCGGATGAGTTCTCGATTGCGAGTTTGCGAAAACTCCGCGAAGAGCAAGGTAGGGCGACAGTGTTCTTGTTATTTGATAGATTCCCGTCAAACCAATATCGGTAAACCCACTAGTATTAAACCCTGGAAGTATAATATCACATATTGAGGTCGTAACGCCGCCCGACAACCCCCGCAACAAAAAGGCAGAAGGTTTGTTTGCATTCGAGGCTTTTGCGTGGGTCTACACTTTTAAATTGATACCACGCCTCTTAGTACCCCTCAAGGAATTTGCCGTTAAAGAGGGATTGACAGTTCATTCTGCACCCCCGAAAACCCTTAAAGATTGGACGGTACGTAGGACATCCTTTCAAAAGCAAAGTTTCTCTACTAGGGTTAAAGCGTGTTCATCAAGGTAGATTCCAAATCCGTCCTACCCTGCGCCTTTCGATCTAGCGGTGGTGGTATCGTTCGGCTATTTCCTTCCTCGTAGAGTAATTGGAGCATTCCCATCAGGCGCCTTCAATATTCATCCATCGCTTCTTCCGAGGTACCCATCTTTCACCGTACTCTATATCTGTCAACTGCTGATGATGGTCCGTGCTTGACAGATACCGGGGAGCAGCGCCGATTCAGTATACGATCCTCAACGACGATAAAGAGACTGGTGTTTCCATTATCGAGCTCGATCCACAACGATTCGACGTTGGAGGAATATTAAAACAAACTCGCATCGTGCGTACTTTGCGCTAAAGCTTCCTGAATGAATGACGAGTGTTAATTGCGACCAGTAGGAGGTTCCACCAAAGGTGTTTTTCAAGGATCTACATGATGCACTAGCGGAAGTAGGGGCCAAGGATATGCTGGAGACGATCAGGGAACTGGACAAGTGTCAGGTATGGGCCGACTTGCTGGGTGCGTGCACACACCACTTGTTTGACATAGAACATAGGCACAAGCAATAGCTCAGAATGATGGGGAGGCGACACACGCGCCCAAGATACCAAAAGCTATGGGAGTCGTGGACTGGCAGTTACCACGAGAACGAATATATCGTCTTCATCGGGCGATCGGATACAGAGTACGTTATATTATAGGTGGCTTTGGCCGACCCTAGATACTGATGTGCACATTACTTGAAGATACCGCTACATACCACCTTTAGGGGTCGTCGTGTCCAACTTCTTGCCTTGGACGATCCGGACTCCGCTACGGGCCCAGGAAAAAAGACCCCCAACGACCTGCCACCCGGTGCCTTGGCGTTTGATGACGAATATCACACTCTTTTCATAAAGTGCAGCGATGGCTGGCTTGCGTGTTCCAAGTTGAAGGTTGAAGGGAAACGAGCTCTTGGGATCCGAGATTTTGTGAATGGGTATCAATTAGCGGATGCGGCGCGCGAGTTTTTCAAGTGATCGTGGATAAGGTAGTGCGCTAAGATGGTCAAGGATAAGTCCCAAGAGGACTCAGCTGGAAGCTAGGTATCCTTATGAAGTCGACTTCTACGCAAATGTATATATACACAGCTCCTCAAGCATCTAATATATAACAAAGAAGGCTAATGACTCCTGAAACGTTCGTCAGAGTCAGCTCGCTTTGACAGTGAACGAACTGCACGAAACAGAGAGCTATACTCTGTTCCACTTCATAGTTTACATTGTCCACGGAAACATTGACTGCACTTTGCCAGTTTCGTTCGTCCTCCCAGGCTCATTCCACAATGATACTAATCTCTAACGCTTCCGTCCCTTGGCCGATACTTTATTCCGTTATCGTTCAGCAATTCTTGGACTTCCTCTGGGAGCCTTCCCGTGATTCGGATGGCGTACATTCCCTTTACAAATTTATCTGTGCGTTGCCAGCGGGAGACCCACGATTGCTCCGGTCTCATCTGCGCAATTATTCCATCGAAGCTGGCCGAGGTGCATTCTGTGATTCTTTTAGGGTGGTCCTTCAAGTGCAGTACTTCATCACAATTCTCGCAGCCGGTGGAACGAAACTGAGCGGCAGACTTTATCAATCCGCAAAGAAGGCAGGCACGAAGATGACGGCGATCCTTGGACGTGGGAATGACGTCGTCGACAGAGGTAGACATACTGCCAGCAGGGATGCCCTCCGTAATGGAAAACGAATCGACTCCAAACGTGCTACAGAGTCAGGACGGGACGTTGGTGGGGGGAGAAAATCATGTGACCTCGATCAAGGATTGCCTCCATTTCCAACTTTTTGACACTGAGATCAGAACATAATGAGCTACCAGCTATTGAGCCGACTTTCTCAAAGGCGGCCATTTCCTCAGAAATGCGGGATTCTACCCATTTTGGTATCCCTGCCTAATGCCGTAGACGCTTGGAATTGGCGAACATGTCATCCTGTACGCCGCTTTTCACCATGTACCACCGTACGAAGCAACTTGACGGAATCAGAAGATATTGAGCTTTGGATAAGTCGATTTTCAAAAGATAGCATACCGAGAGGTGCGTTGAGTATTTCCAATGGAATTAGGTACCCTCTAGGCTTAAAAATGCTTTTGTAGAGCAACTGGAGGTATCCTTCTCTCGGAGTAGCGGACCTGGAGGGCAGAATGTCAACAAAGGTATCAACCAATGGTATCTGAGTTCTAGTTCATTTGGCTCAGCCGCTCAACCATTATTCCGACCGCAGTAAATACAAAGGTAGACATGCGCTTTCCAATCAAGTATGCACAATGGCTGCCACCCGAAGTCAAGGCAAAACTACGTGAACAGGTATGCACTTCAAGCACAGGCATAAATGCTTTTTTTCTAAACGTTTTGCGAAATAGAACGCAAACAGGATCAACAAAAAGCTAGAGTTTGTCGTCAGTTCTGATCGACATCGAAATCAACATCAGAACTTTGAAGAGTGCCTAAGCAAGCTCTATACAGCCATAGTCGAAGCAGCAGAAGAGTTGGTACCAAGAGGCCCTAGCGAGGAAACATTGAAGCGGATAGAGGAATTGTAAGTAGTGGAAATTGCGCTCTATTGTGTGTCCTATTATTGATATTCTTTTGCGCCTCCAGTAAGGAGATTGAAAGAGAGAAGAAAATGAAGGCAAAAGAGCGGCATGCTCAAAAGAAAGCCAGCCGGCGACGAGGAAAAGATGACTATTGAGATTTGTTGGGGCGCGCGGCACTCTATTTATGCAGTCAACTCTTCATGTACATAGTTGGTGCGGTGCAGTTAGACGAGTGAGTGTAGATGTGGGTATAGATGACAGTTATTTGAATAATATTTACATGCTATATTTTTACATCCGCAAAGGAGAATCTCCCTTCCAGTATCTCCGAGCGATCTGCTTGATCGATGTGCTGCAGCTGCTTACGAACATACGTCACAAGCGATTCCAATTGCTTCGCATCAACGTCCTGAGACCCCAACAAGTTCCTAAGTGTATGAGGCGGAGTTAATGGGTGAGATGCCAGAACACGAATTCGAAATAAACCGACCTCCACAGTGCTCCCGCCAAAATAGCATCTCCATAATAAAGCCCCTCGTCGTACGCCAAAGTTTGCCCATAATAGGCACTAACCAAATTACTCATTATCTTGGACAGTTGTCGCTTCACCCCGGCCTTGTGGATCTTGATTTCAACGTCTAACCATATGTGATCAAAGATCTCCTGCTTCATTTCCTTTCCTTCAAGTCCTTCCGCCCGCAGACGGGCATTATAGATCCACACATGCAATAATGTCATCGCGAACCATGTCTGGAAGTTATCCGGAAGGTTGAGTGCTTATCGTGGCAAAAGATGAGCACATGGTAAATGCACAATTGACGCTAATGTCAGATGCATACCTTGCACAAAATCTGGCCGCTTTTCAAATTGGAGAGAGCACGCTTCATATGCATGCCGGGCAGAGTCAATTCGGCTCATTTTCCATTTTATGTAGCCTATTGGATTAATGAACTTTGAAACGGGATTCTGAAAAGGGAATGTCTTCAAAGTGCAAGATGGGTAAGCTTAAATACTGCTATCACTGTAAACACGCAAGGAAAAACCTGCCTCTCGCTCAGTTTGAACCCCACTGCCGCCGAAAGTGCGACTGCGGGCAGCAAGCTGTGCTGTTGGGAGAGTCACAGCTGCTCGCAAACAACGGCCCGATAGCCTTGAGCCATTTCGTATAATATTACTCAAAGGCTGCGACACTGGTCGGACTGCCATGGCTTACGTCTCGGTTGGGGAGGTGCCTCCAGGTTCAACATGAGCGAGATCAGCTTTGACATTCCATTACCATGGCAACGAGCTCAACATCAATCCAGATGTGCTTGGACGATCCTTTGTGTGCGCTCTGCCCTGCTCGAAGATGGCAGCCATATTGGGCGCATACTCGCGGTTTTTAACAAATTGGTACGTTCCTTTCCCTTTCTCTGTGCCGTACTTGAAGTGGGAGTGTTATTTCCTAGGGTTTTCTTAAAGTCGAGAAGGCTGACCCCGTTTTTGTTTGCAGGCGCTATACTTCGCAATCTCTCACTGCTGGGACTCTTTGGTAGCCGCCCTTTTATCTAAATGTGTAGTTATCGAATGTTGGGTACTCAGATATTTTATGCTTCAGGTTTGCGGGTGATCTGATCAGTCAGAAGCTTGTGGAGGGAGACCAAAAGGAACACCTGCGCAGGGAAGCTGACCGCGAAAAAGGGTCACTTGAACACACTGAGAGACCGGGACGATGGGAAGCATGGGGGGTTGATTGGAGAAGAGTGTTAACAATGACATCTTTCGGAGTATGTTTCGCTGGTCCTCTGTGAGTGTTCGTATCTAGGAAATCGCGGACTTGACATCAAGTGGCACTTTATTCAAGATATCTTTTCGTTTTTTCAGATATACTTTTTGGTATAGATTGTTAGACGACAAAATTGTCGGGTACTTTGAGAGAATGGTATGCTAGTATATATTACGCGACCATAACCGACAAGTGGAAGTTCGGCGAGCCTGACAACAAATTGTAGGTGAAACGAAAGATCCAATCAACCACAACTTTAAACGTACCGAAAAGTAACCTCAAATGGAAGATCGCATTGACAAAAGGTGACGCCGGTCATACCACTGATATTGATGATCGTATCAACTGATTGGCAAAGCTTTTCCATCGTGGTAATCAGTGGTTGCCGATATGGTCATTTTTGACCCGCCATTTCTCGGATTCTTCTTCATCAGCACACACCTTTTGTCTGGGTACTCATTCCAATCGGGTGTAGAACAGATGAAGCGGGACGTGCTTCCCACTTATGCTGTGGACGTTGCCGTATGGACGCCAATCCAACTGGTCAATTTCAGATGGATTCCAGTTTTATACCAACCAGTATGTGCTTAGTGTTTCATACGTAAATGATAGCAAATCTAACATGGAATATTGATCAGGTGGTCGTGAATTCTGTCAACGTGGGATGGAATGCGTATCTAAGTTATGTTAAGCATCGTGACGAGAAGCTGCCGTGAGATGTTCTTGCCGCCCTCGTCAACTAGCGTCCCCCAGGGGAATTGTACAGCATTATTTATTTTTTATTTGTCGGGGTTACGTACGGAATGCGGGTTGGAGATTAATAGATCCCTTAGAGATTCATTCCCATTGATATTGTATTTGTTACGCACTTCTCGGTCACTGTTCTCTTACCTTACTACATCGCACGCTCCTTCTTTTGCTCCCTCTCACGCGATGGTGTCCATGCTTTGACTTCCCGTAGCGTCTTGTTTGGAGTCCTCGCACTGCCTTTGTCAGCCGGTTCAGATATGTTGTGATTGCTGAAACAGACGAACCACATTTGCTTTACGCGGGTTTCCCAAACCGTGCCTTTCATCATAATTGTTAGGGCGCAGGCAGCAACGGCGGTGACTCCCATCAATACGAGAGTTGCAAACCAGAAACCGTACGCCTTAACAAGGGCCACCATCAGGCCAATCGCGATTGTAATGATCCCCCAGATGATACTGCTCAACCGTGCTTCATCCGCCCACCAAGGATTGTTCTCTTTCCCGTATCGCGTCCGCCACGTTCTCAACGAATCGCCCCTTTCCTTCCTCCACATCCTAATGGCATGTCTCCCTGCCCGAGTTTCGCGCAATTCCTTCACTTTTTCGGCCAGTGATTTTGGCAGCTCACTTAACGAAGGCACTGACATGCCTAAGCGGGTAGCATAGGAATCCTTCTGAGGGTTGGGAAACAAAATGGGAATACAATGGGACGCAAACGATATGTCTGCTGCTGTAAGCTTTGGTCCGCATATGTAGGGCTCTTTTCCTCTTGGTACCGATGCGCTTTGCTTTTCCAGCACTTGCTCAACTTTGGAAAATACTTGGCTCACTTCGTTTAGCGCATTGAGCAATGCTCGGTGAGAACCTATCCCGAACCATGATTTCATGACTAGACGAATTATGGGCCAGGCTACCGCGTACGCTGCTCGCCACGGTTTCAAGTGTACCGTTTCGATCAGATACTTCCTTGCCAGCCTATGGTCATTGAGGACCACGTGCAAGAATATGTGGCGTGCAGCAGGTGCTAGTAAGGTATCATACATTGTCTGAAAGTCTAGTGCGTCTGGAGGGGTGTAAAGGCGGAGTGTCGTGGAGAGGGAATGAGCGAACAGCCAGGTAAAAATGTCCACGGGTGAGCGTCGAAAGATCTGCAGATATTGTGATGGGAAGGCCCAGCCGTTGGTTGTACTGCTCTCTAAAAATGTGAAATCACGGCAGGGCTACCTCTCCTTTGCCGGATCTAAAGATCGGGACGTTCACTTGCTGGTCTTTTGGCATCGGTTGTGAAAACCCGAAAGTCGCCCATATATGTCCCCCCCAAGGATAGTTGTCCTCTATGTATGTAACACCATGTCGATCCAATGCCCATCGCACAGCTTCTGTATGTTTTATGACAATGTGGTTCAGTTTATTGCGCTGGTACGCAGCTGCGACTCGAAGCCCCTACCACAATATGTGTCCCATGGTACGGTTATCAACAATCCCTTTGGCTTTGTTTCGTCTGTTGCAAGCGTCTTGAACCTTAGAGCAGCTGCGACACTTTCTCTATCGTCCTCATCAGATGAAGAATACTCCTCGAGGTTATCCCACTTATCGTAATTGATACCCATATTTTCGTGACCAGGAAGTGGAAGGGAGCGGAGCGCGAAGACGCGATCCCCATCATTATTTGCTTACGAAATACAGTACGCTGGTTTGCAAGCACTTTGATAAATTCTGGTAAAGTTGCTTTTCAGTGTTTCCAGATACTTTCTTGGCGAACTGCAAGGGCGGTAACTGCATTGCGAGTGGTGGGGAAGCTTTACAGCATTTGGTTGTCATCTGAACTAGTGCTAGCCATAGGTTGCACCACGCATTACGCCAATGCGTTTGATACCAAGTACTCCAGCATCATCAGTTCCATCGTCTCCAAGGTCTGCCTTTCCCAAAGCTCCAATGGGTGATGCCATTCCACCCTCACATTATTGGATTTTTCGCTTTTCTGGAGGTCAATTTGATACCGCCAGGAATGTTGACCACACAAAAGAGTGCTGCAACGAACAAACCTCATGCAGCGTGCATCTTGATGGATAGAAATCAATTCGCGGCGGATGGTAATCGTTCCTTCGCGGTAGGAGGGTTTTCCAGATTCCCCTGCTCCGAACAATACTTGAGAGCCTGTGCTTATTGAATTATCGTTCAATCATGTCCAGCTGGAGGGTTAGTCGCGCGACAGGAACTGTTGCTACGGTAACCCACTGATGACACTGCATGACAGCTTTGCCAGCACTGCTGGAACTCGGCTTGGGTGCCCAACCTGGTCTTTTCTCGCCCCATCCCGCAACCAGTGCAACAAAGCCGATAGCGTAGCGTAGTGCCCGAGCAGCGTGAAGATGCAAAACAGGAACTTGTTCGTTACCCTCGAAACGTAAGCTTTTTGGATATTGAGTGCCATGGTAATTTCGGTGTATGAAGGTAACAGTAACCCACTCATATTATCTGACTGTCTTTGCAAAGTTTATAGCTGCGAGCACCTCGCGGTCGGCCAATTTTACGGCGTCGGCACTTCGGTGTAGGTGGTCTCAAACGCTCACTACTCGGGATGCCGCGCTATCCGGGGTGGAGAGAAGGCAGTTTATAACGAATTGTTATTGGCTCTATAATGCCTCGCCGAGAAGGAAATCTGATCAAGGGTATCACACATTGCGAGGAGACGCGACCCGACAAACGGTAAAGACTTCTCGTTTCGAAAGGCGACGGCTAGGATGGGATTCAAATCCGGACATTAACCGGCTCAACGAAGCTATCAACCGCGGCGATGCCTTTGAGAGCATGGAGGCGTTTGTTGAAATTGCCGATAGGCCAACGGGAGTGCAATCTATGCCAGCAGCCACTCTCCAACGTCTCCTGGAGCTTCTGGCTTTCCAGAGGAAAACGGATTTCAATACAAGGAGGTCATGGATGGCCCAAGTCTTCCCACCGGTATGGAGCACCTTTAAGCGCATGATTGCACAGAAAGAGCATCCCCCATACGAACTATGTGCAGCGCTCTTGACTGGGCTCTATGTATACCCAAACCGCGAGGTGGACAAGGTTCAGTGTACACTAGAGGTCTGGGAGTACATGAAAGCTGCGGATTTCGTGCGACTAATTGACACCAGCGTTGGTTGTACTGTCATCACTCTTCTCATGAAAACTGGGCATGGGCACGAATATTTCGAAGAGATGAAGACTCACGGATACGCTACTGATCTGCGTTCATACGAGACACTAGTCAAAGCGTGTTGCGATGTCAATGATTTCTCAAAAGCTGCAGAATACCTGGATATTGTGGAGGAAGAAGGACTAGCTATCAACTCGAGAGTTTACAACTATCTCATGAAAGGGCTGTCGAAAGGTGCATTTTGGAAGGCCGTGCTTGACCTCAAAAGGCGCATGGACGCAGCTGGTGTGAGAGCAAACAGTTTTACGTATACCATTATTTTGAATGCTAGCGCGGAACTTCATGGCCTTGACATGACCGAAACCATCGCAGAAGAAATGGAACTGGAAGGAGAGAGCTTGGATCAATTCCACTATGGAACACTCGTGAAAGCTGCAGGGAGAGATGATAATGTCGAAAGAGCTGAATATTGGTATAACAAGATGCGTGAGGCTGGGTTTCCTCCAAGCGGAAAGGTGATCAACTCGTTAATGGCTGTGAACTGTCGCGTACGAGACATGGATCGTTCCGAAGAGCTCTTCAATGAAATGCCGAGATACAACGTCAAACCCACGAATATGCATTATTACAACATGATAGCAGGGTACATCAACAGTAGGAATGATGACAAAGCTTCATTCTGGCTTGAAAAGGTGCTCAAGGACGGCATCGTAGTGGAAGACAGCAATTCCCCTTTCACCCCATTTATTCAGCGTTACCTGCATCAGGACGATGATGAGAGCGCGCGAAAGATCCTCGATCTGATAAAGCGAGAACCTGAGCTACTGGGGAAGTCAGACACTCCATTCGTGACGTTTATGAGCTATTACGGAAAACGCAACCTGCAAGCGATGCTAGACTGCTTCCAGGAAGTTATTGATGCTGGCTTGGCCCCGTCACCCAATTCGTTTAACACGATCATGGCAGCTTATGCGAATCTTGGTAAAGTGGAGGATGCTGAAAATTGGCATAAGAGAAAGATTAAGGCTGGGCATGCGGAAGACCAAATTGGATTGGCTGTCCTAATGACAGCCTATCGTAAAGCTAAGCGATGGGATGATGGGTACACGATCTGGAAGCGATTACGGGGGTCCGATGTCTTATTACGCGAAGAGACAGTAACTATCTTTATCAAGTTGTGCAACCAGTGCAAGCAGCTGGAGACCATGCGAGAAGAAGTCATTTCGTTGGCGACAGACTCGTATGAATTTACGCCGGAGAACTTTAAAGCTATGGTCTTCGCGTACGGTGATAATAACGATATAGAATCAGCGCTACGTGTGCTACTGGAGCTGATGCCACGAAAAGACAATGAGCATTTTGCGGAAGCTGGCATGTACGTTGCTCAATTGCTTGACAAGGCCGAGAATCACGACGAAGCAAGAAGGCTTCGGAGGTTAGCGATGTTGCATTCCAATAGATCTTGAATGAGATTATGGGCTGGATCTCAGTGATCACGGACAGTTGTGTGCATATTCACTAGATGGATGTTAGATTTTGCAGACATCAACATATTATTCGTTTCATGCGCGGCAAATGCACTATTGTATGATAGCACAGACGTTGGTAGATGCACTCCGAACCTGATTCGTTGTCCAACAAGAAATCAATTATTTGTAACTTATCGATTGCTGCCTTAGTGGTCTTCCTATACCAAATATTCATAATACCAATACGAGACTTGAGATAAATTCAGAATCATGGCCAATGCCACGATCATGAGTTTTGATGGCTTACATAATCTGCTGAAGTAATCGACTCAGATCACCAACCTGTAGCTAACCGACCCAATGTAAACTCTGTTGACTGTTCTTCATTACACAAAATTAGTTTTCGATATGTCCAATATTAGCGCCCAAGCTGGCGGTTTGAATGTGGACGAGGTAGCTCAACCACATGCTGGGACACCTACTGGTGGGGCCAGTAGTGGTCCTGTACACGGCGGAGAGGCAGATGAAGGAGGTGTCACTGTTGGTGGGGAGGGTGATATCGAAGGGGAAGGTGAAGGGGATGCAAGTAGAGAAGCTAGAATTGCAAGTAGAAAACGACGGATGGAAGCCAGACGATTAGCAAGGATGAAACCGGAGAAGATGGAGGGTGAGTTGTGGGTATGTTGGTTCATCGGTCCCTGTCTGCTTGTTCTCATTAGCTCGGTTATTGCATTTGGGGAACTTTTCAGATGCTTCTACTGCTCGAAGGACAAAGAAACCGGAGCCGTCACAGGCGGAGGCTGGTAAATCCAAATCACAGGTATCAGCCAGTAAGCAGAGAATTGAATCTACAAAGGTAATAAAACGATTTTGGTACCGGATTTTTTTCGCTTTCAAGTTTCCCTTGTCTCATTACAGCACACTGGATTTATACGTATAGCAAGCCAGTAACGATCAAGTTACTTCCGTTCGCGTTTCTCTCGTTGCTCGAGAAGACGGTAGACGACAGGAAGAGGCACGCAAGGTGCAGCAATGGAACCGAAAGCGAGATGAAGAGCGAAATCGTAGTTCCGAAATGGGGACGGAAATTGAGGATGCTTGGAATAAAGTTTTGGGAACAAGTGGAGGTCCTTATGAGCTGTATGAGGTAAGTTATACTCGGTTTAATTCGTTTCAGTTAGCGTGAGAGGGCAATTCTGGTTTTTGTACTGAATGGTAACTTTTGGTTTTGATCTCTTGTTTTTCATCTACAGCTTTTGACGGAGCAAAAACATGCATGCGGCAATCTCATTGGTGTAAAAAACAAGCTGATCGAGGAGTACGTTGCCGAACTCAAATCAAAGGATGACGAATATGTCAAAGAGTTGAAAAGACAAGCCGAAGAGATTGGTAAGAACTCTTTGCATGACAAAACTTTTGCAGCGCTCTTATAGTTGATCCTACACTTACCTGCCATTTGATCGTATCTGTCCGATCAGATGCCCTTCTCAGTCGGATGGAAGCAAATCACCGAGCGTTTCAGACGACTCTACGAGAAGAGCTGGAACAAATTGAGCGGGCGTTTGTGGAGGAGCGCACAGAGTTGATTGATGCTAACGTTAAAGACGTTGATACATTATTTGAGACACGAGCGGCGAATGAAGCGTAAGATGGTTTGATACGATGCTATTGTATCACTCTCATCCTAAAGACCTTACATGCGGAAATAGAAAATACATGGAAGAACGTGGCAATCGAGTGGAGGACCATGTCCAGCAACTTGAAGCTTTGCGTGTCCACGATGCAGAAGAGTACAATTTGGTGAAGATCAAGCTGGAGACTGATGTTCAGGTTTTGGAGCAACAATTGCAACAGGTGAAAAACAGTGGAAGCTGTTTTGTGCATAGTCTTGTTTGATGCTAATCATGACGTATAATCCGAAAGATGCGGGCAACATATCAGCTCAATACGGAAAAGCTCGAGTATAACTTTCAAGTCCTCAAAAAACGTGACGAGGAGAACGGAACCATCTTGGGAGCGCAGAAGAGAAAAATAACAAGATTAACAGTAAGCTGCAGTTAACAACCGCTTTTATTGATGGTGAGCTAGGGAAAATCTAAGCAGTCATTGCGCAACATAGGATCACTTAAACACCCTGAAAGCGAAACTATCCAAGCAAGAAAAAACCTATCAGCAAGAATACATGGGATTGACTGACGATTACAAGCGAATAACCGAGCAGTTTAAGGTCGGCATTTTGGGCTTCTTGACTGCGCAAGTATACGAACGTACACTCAATAATATTTGATCAACACAGGAGCTGCAAAAGAAATTTAGACATTTCCAAGTTGCTGATGGAAAGAAATTCCGGGAAGTTTGGCAAATGAACGAGGAAATGGCTAAAGAGCTCATGCGAAAGCTCTTACAAGTACGTTTTTGATGAATTTTATTTTGAGCGGGGGCGACATGGAGGGACCCACTTATTTAAATAACGACCACGACAGGCAGATCAAATCATTCACGAACAGCAACTCGGCCTTCCATGGTCACCAACACCATCCCCGGAAGACCTCTTCCGCACCGTCGACCCATCCATTTTCCACTCTTCTTCACCCTCTGCTAAAGTTGCTGCCATTGCCGCTACAACCAAAACACAACGTCCATCGTCTCGCGGCAACATTACAGCCGAGTCTTCAGCACCGTCTGCAGATAAAGCCATGGCCAGCACCGCCGACGATGATGAGCCTCGGCCATCAATAGCCGCCAAACTTCTTGCTGCAACGGACGACACCACTCCTTCCGCGTCATCGACAACACATCAACACCACCTAAGTCCGTCATCTGCCACCACGAAAAGAATGCTAGACCTACTATGCACAGAGGCATCATTCCTAGTCGAAGAAAAGCTCCAAAAACTTCTTGTCCCTCTTCAATCTTCTGAACAATCTCTCATGAAACTGGACTCGATATTCAAGGCGCTTGGCGTTGAGAGCATGGAAGATATGGAAAGACTCATGGGATACTTTATCAAAAGTTCCACAACAGATGCACATGGGCAAGAGGAAGTGGAGCTTATTGGGCCAAATGAAGTTGTTGGGGCAGTCCGTAAATTTGTGGAAGATAAGAGGTCGAGAAAGGTTGGAGGTCCTGATACTTTAACTGAAACACGAGCTGTTGAGGATGATTTGCCAGGTGAGCAGAGAATACCTACACAAATACACATTTCCCGTCGTAGATTTTCCTCACAAATCCACCACTGTGCGGGGTGTAGATACCGATCTTGAACCACCCAGCGACACCGAAGCCGCCATAACAAACGCAGATGGTACATCAAACACCCAATCACGGAGCGAGCTCCTCCGTTCATACTGGCAGCGCATGGCCAATGTCATTGATGATGATAAATATCGTGTTTGGACGGTATGTCCCCCCACCTGTTTTACTTCTTGACATCATGTCAAAAGCTGTCCCACTGAAACTCCATGTTTTACCAGGCCGTTCATGCTGCAATGACAAATTACAACGCAGAGCTTGTCGCACGGTACAATTTAACACAACAAGTGGAGGCTATCCAACAACAGAATGACGAGCTTAAAGGGTTGTTACGACAGTATATGGGGGCACAGGTTAATGATGAGCTTCATATCCCGCCTGCAAAGATTTTGATGGCACAAGCTGGGGTTCAGGTTGGGTGAGGTGGTTGGGATTGACATGGATTGATGTAGTGTGAAATCTTGCCATGTTTCTTGAGGGATTTATCTCGTAGATGAATTTTATGTCAATTGGATTCGTGCTGCCCTCCATTCCGGCTTGTGGCTTCAAATATCTTGAGAACATGAACACGAATCTAATTGTTCCACTCACATCCCCTTACGCATTTCCAACATAAAATGACTAGGTACAAAAAAACTATACATGTAGGACTAGTCAAGCTTTCTCGAAGTATATATAGATCGGACTTCTACTCGCAACAGGGGGTTCTAAGGAGGCCGTCCGGACACATCTCCCATGTCTGGCGTAGCAAGGAGTTGGTTGTCGGACATCCCCTGCAAGGAGACCGTCCAAGGGGTCTGTCGCGTCCGCGCAGCAAGGGGTTTGGTCGTTCACGTCCACGACGCGTCTTGCCAGGAGGCCGTCCAACGGGTTTGTTTGTCGCCTCGGTAGACACAACACGTTCATCTCCCATGTCTGGCGTAGTAAGCGGTTGGTTGTTCACGTACACGGACACCCCTTGCAAGGAGACCGTTCCAGGGGTTTGCCGCGTCCACGGTTCATGTCTGGCGTGGCAAGGGGTTTGGGACGTTCAAGGAGGCCATCCCAGGGGGCCGTGACGTCCGCGGAGCAACTAGCAAGGGGATTGACTGTTCAATAAAACCATTCAAGAGAAGGAATAGGATCGTCCCAATAGGCAACAGGTGTAAAGGTGCCGTCACCACCAGCAGCATCAACCCGTGATAACCAAGTAACCTATCATTTGAAAAACCCGGTCTCAGTCTGGATCTTGAAAGCGCTCATCGTCTTCTTCATCGTTGGTTTTTCGTTTGCCTTTGCCTTCTCAACGTCACGGACACGACACGTCCATCCTCCATGTCTGGCGTAGCAAGGAGTTAGTTGTCGGACACCCTTGCACGGACACGACGCGTTCATCTCCCATGGCTGAAGCAGCAAGGGGCTAGTTGTCGGACACCCCCTGCAAGGAGGACGTGCAAGGGGTCTATCGCAAGGGCGTGGTTGCTCATGTCCACGACGCGCCTTGCAAGGAGGCCGTCCAAGGGGTCCGTCGCGTGCGCGTAGCAAGGGGTTTGGTTGTCGGACATCCCCTGCAAGGAGACCGTCCGTCCATCTTCCATGTCTGCCGTAGCAAGGGGTTTGGTCGCGCGTCGGTAGACACGACACGTCCATATCCCATGGCTGGCGTAGCAAGGGGTTTGGCTGTCACACCCCGTGCAAGGAGACCGTCCAAGGGGTTTGTCGCGTCCGGACACGTCCATCCATCCTCCAAGTCCAGCGTACCAAATCTCACATCCACAACCAAGCCATCAAAGCAAACCTCACAAAAAATTAAAAAAACAAAACCAAGTATATTGTTTACAAAAAGTTTTCAGCGCACACGACAAAAAAAACACAAAACTCGAGAACAGATCGGTAATGCATTCACCACAATTTCCTATAAACCCAACTCACAAAACGAGATAAAATCATTAAGGGTACCAATAGGGTTTGATACACGGGTTTTGCTCATCAACATGTGAGATTCAAGTCTCACAGTTCAATCAAAGGGGCCTCTGGTTGGGGTGGAGGCGGGGCCTGCTGTACTACAGGTGCGGGAATGGGGTGCGTGGTGGGTGCGTACCCGACCGGTTGCTGGGGTGCATATGCCTGGGGCATGTATTGCTGTGGAGGGGTCGCCGGAGGTTGACCGTGCTGAGGCGCAAATGAATGCGTTGGTGGTTGTGTGTACGTATAAGTAGTGGGACCTGGAGCAGGTGGAGCTGCTGCTTGTTGTTGTGGTTGTGGTTGTTGCGGTGGTTGTTGTTGGGGTGGTGCAGTTTGCGGAGGGTAATTGGCTGGCGCAGCAGCTACATCACCTGGTCCCGGAACGTGGGATGGAGCAAAGGAACCTTGGGGAAGCTGCTCAGCGTTCTGATTGGCGTAGTAAGGGGTAGCTCCAGGTTGCTGTTGTGGAATAGCGTCTACTGGGTACTGCTGAGGCGCCGGTGGTTGCTGATATATCACACCCTGCTGATTAGGATCATAATATTGGCCGGGAGCAACTCCAGGTGGAACAGATGGCAATTGCTGTTGCTGTGCATCCTGTGGTTGATTCGGGGCCGGCACAGACAGAGGCTGCTGAGGTGGCGATTGCGGTATATTCTGGTACTGGTCGGCAGCAATACCTGAAGGTTGCGGTTGCTGCGACGGATCTTGATAATTTTGGGGCGGCGCCATACCCGGCTGGCTTTGCGGATATTGTGCATACTGGTGAGGAAGCGTTCCAGCCGATGCCTGCGCATGAAGTTGAGGGTGCTCGGGTTGGGGTGCACCGCCATAATAACCGCCAGCCTGTCCAGGGGTAGGAGGTGCCCCATACCCCGGCGCATATGAGCTTGGTGCTGGCGGGGTGTTGTATCCAGCCGCAGGAGGCTGCGGTTGGTAGGAATTTGGCACAGGAGACTGTGTGTATTGCTGGTACCCCCGCGGTCCAGCGACGTATGGTTGGGCGTACCCAGCCGCCGCAAGTCGCTCCTGGAGCATACGGTCATACTCTTTGGTGGCTGCAGTAAGCTGTTCATGCAAATCATAGAACGTCCCGTATTGCCGTGATGTCTCATCGAGATTACGCGCCAACTTTGGTTGCATTGTTGCAATTTGCGCATACAGTGTCTAAAGTAAGAACGGGGTGAGCATCCACGTAATGACTGACAATGACTACTCATGAAACGCACCTGAATCTGCGAATGACCAAGCACTCCCAACCCATGCGTCGCAACATCCGCCTCAGTTCGCTCAACAAGCTCCGAAAAGAGGCGGATATTCTCCAGCTCAACTGCACTCAGCTCGTTCGGGTTATATGCCGGAGGGCTTGATGCTGGTACCGAATCCCGACTCACGGGTTGTGAGACAGTTGCGTTCGATCCTGCAGGCGTCTTATATTCGTATGTTGGCCGATCGGCTGTATAATCTGACTTTACGTCCTGCAGTGATGCCGCTATAGCGGCCTTCAGATCCTCATCTTCCTCCTCATCACGCACGACAGGTTTAGGCTTCGGCTGTGTGACAGCTGCCGGCCGATATGAAGATTGAGATTTAGCCGCCTCCAGGGAGAGCGCAATGGCTCTTTGTATGTCTTCTTCCTCCTTCCTTGCGGCATCGTTGTCCCGAGGCATCGGCAAAGATGACGCCCTAGGTTGATGAGGAGTTCCCGGTGGCGACTTGGATGTCAGTTTTACATGGCATGTGTCACAGACACGCACTTCTTGCACAATGCCTAGATGCGGCAGTGCAAGAGTCTTGGCCGAGCATTGTCCACAAAAAGTCTGTCCGCAATTTCGACAGTGGTGTTTTCGATTGAAAGTGGTAAACTGTGTCCGGCATCGCATGCACACATCGCTATCCGTCCATTCGGGTGCCTATACAAGCAACAAAATGAGCATCCATTGAATTTGACAGTATTGCGGGGTGTAGCACCTTACCGTAGTTGTTTCAATCATCGCTGCAGAAGATTCGGCCCTTTCGACTGGAGGGAATGTAACTCCTAAAATTGCAAACATTAGCAAATTCTAGGAGAAAGTAGTATGATGTTACGAATGCCTACCGTCTTGCTTGAGAGATTCGTAAACTTCAGTAACGTATCGGAGATCCGATTTAGCTTTAAATGCCAAACCCCACGACTGTATCAGCGCCAAAATCTTTTGCCGTACGTCGGGATTGGTTCCAATCTACCATGCGTCGACATGCTGTTACTATGCATTCATTTCAAACGCTTCCAGCTTGTTCATCATGCTTACCGGTGCTCGTGCAATTGACACAAGATTGTCTGTAAATTCCCGAGAGGCAACTTCTTGAACGAAATGGTGCCCAGAGTTTTTGACACAAGTGTCTGTGAGCTAACAACGTACGACAAACAAGCCAGTGAGTCTTTACGCGCGACGGAGCCATTGACCGTTCATTTTTCGTTCAATACAAACCTTTAATGCGAGTAATTGAACGTTTGGATTCTTGTGGTTCACCCGTCTCTTCAGACTTTGCACAGCTTGCTTTGCAGATACTTCTTTAGCCTTGATTTTATCCGCAATTTCCAAATTTAGGACAAGGTCTTCGGTTCCGATAGGTAGGTTTTCGGAAGTGGCTTTGTCTAATGCACGTAAGTTCATTAAACAACCATCATTAAAATTCCAAGTAGGTGACACCTCAATGAGCACCACACATGAATTGATATTCTTACCGACAGCTTCGTCAAGTGGATTCGAGAAAAAGAAGGACATTTGCTTTGAAATCACAGCCAACAGAAACTGATAGAGAAGAGAAACAATAGCCTACGCAAGGAAAACGGTGTACAAAACGAAATGGTAAAACAGGAATAAAAGCAAGGGCTGCCAGTTGAAAATGAGATGTGTAGATGAGCAGCGCTTTTGGTGGGGAAACCTTGCAGGGGAGGGGCTGACTGCCACACTTGGCGTCTGAGTAATCAAACCACGGTTATATTTTGCACTGGAATGCGCAGCCAATGTGATGTCTAACTGGGCATTAATGAAATGTTATCGTTCACAAGGATTTGTGGACTATCTACAATTTTGCCTTTTTGCGAGCATCCTGAAGAACACCGTCCAATTTCTAAAGGGAGGAAAGCAATCTTAGCGTTGGTGTTCAAATCTTTAATTCATACAGTTTTTGAAAAACTCACCATGGCCAACATCATTTGACCCTTTACTTTAATCTTTCCGCTCATAAACAGCTTCTGGGCATTTGCTTTTCCCATGGCCAAATTGACAAAATCGTCATCAGCAATGAGAATGGTGGCATCGGCTTTAGCAGGTGCGGCACCAGCTCCAACTTGGCCCTGGCCATTTTTGAGGTCAATGTACCAAGAGGTAGACTTGCCCTCAGAGTTGGTCACGTCAAATTGGAAAACGGCTTTCACCTAAAGAGAATGTACAGTTTGGTTACCATCTTGAGATTGCCAAGACGTGCGTACGAAAACAGATTAAAAACGCACCTTTTGCACACGTGCCTTCCTGTCCTGCTCAGAACCAGCTTCGATTCCGGCTTTCAAGGTTTCAAAAATCTGGCTAGCCTTGAAACCAGGTACTGCCACTCCACCAGTCGCACCACCAGACGATGCGCTGCCGCTACCAGCATCAGCACCCTCCACGCCGACCAGTTCGACAGCAGCATTGGAAATGGCAAGAACGTCGCGCTCCACAACGCGGACCTGGAAGATGATCTTGTTTCCTTCCTTCCACATCTCTGTCTGAAGAGTCTCACCAGGGAAGACGTGCTTGCTGAACCGGACTTTGATGTTTTTGAATTTAGTAGCATCCGAGTTGGCAAATGTCTTCAGCACGTGCTTGCCAGCGATACCAAAACTGCAAAGTCCGTGCAGAATAGGTACTTCAAAACCACCGATACTGCTCATTTGAGGATCAATGTGCAATGGGTTGGTGTCTCCGCTCAATCGGTACAACGCAGCTTGGTTTTCCGTGGTCTTTTCCTTGACCACAGCATCGGGAGCGCGATTTGGGGGTTCGTTCGACGCGGTAGCTGCACCCCTGTCCTTTGGCGTCTTTGAGCCAACACCCTTTACGCCACGAATAAAGTTTGAAAACTCATTGTAGCAGATGACGTTGCCCTGCTCGTCTTTCGTGGTGGTGCCCATAATCACAACACAGCCTTTTCCTTTGTCAAGAATATCCACAATCTTGCCAGTTGTGGTGAGCGTCCCAGAGGTAGGAATAGGGCTGTGAAGTTCAAGGAATTGCTCGCCGTGAAGCAGGAGCATCTAAATTGCAAAAGGTGAGCAAATTAAAGTTGTTGAATAACAGTCGTAACTCTGACATACGGGGTTAAAGTTGGGAATAAAGTCACCAAAGGGCGTGTTCATCATGGTCGAGAACGGAGGTACAACGCCAAAAGTAGGCAGTGCGCTAAAGTTCTCGCTGTTCTCGTACACCCATTGCAGCTCTTCTCTAGTTGCTCCAACTCCCAGAGCGTAGAGGATGAGGTCCCTCTCGGTGTACTCGAATGTTTCAGGGCCAAAGGTCTGGTCGGTCATATTGCTCAAGAGTTTAAAACCAAAAAGGTAAACGTGCCTAATGGGAATGCGAGAGAGATGAGGAGGAGGAGGAGAACGGACGAAAAACAAACAACGAAAGGCTTCTTGGGAGACATCGCGATCTGGTGGCACAGCACTGGCACATGACACTTTCATTTAGACGCATTTGGTAATTGCATGTGAAAGGATCAAAAAGGAACACTTCCAAGTCTTTTGTTTTTATTCGTCCATCTGACAATGAAGCGATATCCCCGCCATCCCATTCCAATTCAAAAGCAAGAAGAAAGTATTTTATGCATTCGTAACGTTTCTTTCCATGTGTATTGTAATCACCATCCAGTCATACAAGCGGCCCGTACTATATCACCATATCTATGCACAGCTTACATCCTTGGTGCCGGCCCAATCAATGCATTAGACCCTTTCAAAGCTTGAATGGCTCCAGAAATCATCTCGTCCACAATCTCCTTGGCTGGCTTGACGTCCTCAATTGCACCCGCGACTTGTCCCATCAACAAAGGACGGTACTTTATCAAGAGAGATGGATCAGCATCGTCTCCTCCTCGTTTGCTCCGTTCTTCAACATCGTGTTGGGCGGGAATGATGCCCTTTGAGGTGAGGTCGCGGATCTCGTTTTGCTTGTATTGTTCCCATCTAAGTAGAATTGCGTTAGCATAGGCTAATTCATAACTTTCCACGACTTTGAAAGGATTTCACGCACTCATCAATGTATTCATTTCGAAGGACACGCAGTGGACGGCCGGTGAAAATGATGGTGCGGACAGTGTCGTGATAGCCTGCATCGACGATCGCCTTTTGGTGTCGCGGGGGAGCACCAGCCTCTGTTGCGCAGACAAAACGCGTTCCGACCCAGACGGCATCCGCTCCAAAGCAGAGCGACATGGCTAAACCGCGCCCGTCGTAAATACCGCCAGCGGCCACAACGGACACGGGAAGGCCTGTCAGAGGCGACTTGTGCTTGCGGCAGATGCTGCAGATTGTACAAAGGATCAGCTTTACGCGCAATCAACGGTACTAGGTAGGTAGGGAGATGGAGGCTTACTCTACTACTTTTGGGATGAGGATACTAGTTGCAACGTCGCCTAATGTGATCAAGCAAGAAAGTAATGCGTCAGTCCCCATAGCTTTCAAAATCTTGTTTGACGACGAAAGAAACTTACCAGTATGACCACCGCCCTCACCACCCTGTGCACAGATGATATCTACTCCAGCCGCCAGCGCCTTTTCAACATGCTTTGGAGCACCAATCATGTTCATCACGGGGATCCCCGCCTTGTGCAGCTTGTCGACAATCTCCTTTGGTGGGACACCAACAGCCGATACAAAAAGCTTGGCCCCAGACTCGATGATGATATCGATCAATTCGGGAAGTTGGCCATGGGTGTAATCGTAATTGGTTTTACGTGCATTTCCACCCACTTGTGGGAGGAGAAGGTCAATGCCGAATGGGAGATTGGGCGATGTCAAGTTTTCCTGGTTATTTTTAAAGTAAACCAAATTTTAAAAGAGTCTAAATGTGTAGTTTTTTACAAACGTCAAAAGTTGCCACTATTTTTACCTTTAGAACGCCAATCTGCTGCTTTAAAAACTCTGGCGTATAACCCAATCCACCAATAACGCCCAAACCACCAGCGTTCGACACTGCAGCTGCCAGTTCTGGGCCTGCTGCCACATTCATTCCGGCCAGCAGAATCGGGTGTTTGATCCCAAAGAGTTTGGTTATCGGTGTGGTGATTGTCTCTGGCATCTTGTCCAAGATGTTGTTTAATCGCGTGTGTGTGTGTGTGTGTGTGTGTGTGTGCTCTGACAAGTCCTGTGTAGGGAAGAAACACTTTCCAGTGTGCTTTTATGTCAAAACGCTCTAGTCGCGTGACAAACAATGCACATGTTGAGCGGTTATTTATTTCAACCATTTTGTTGTGTTGTAAAGGAGGGGAGGCTTTCCTCTGTATACAAGTGTTACTCTCTCAAGAAGAATGGGTGGCCCCTCTTACACGTTGTAATTGGACTCTTAGTGCGGACGCGGATGCGGATCTACTACGAGTACGACTAGAACAAGTAAACTCTTCTCTTGCCACTGGTCTGGTGATTATAACACACAAGTGCCCTCATAGCCAACATGGAAATCAGTGCGTAATGACAAACAGGTGTAAATAAACTCTAAACCCATGTTCTCTAGTCTCCTGTAACCACACCGTAACCATTGCAAATGCTCGTGAAATCCAAAAATTAAATGCTGCATATCAAATTCCAAATGTTTCTTCCTTTATTAGTGAATTCATCCTTCTTTATAACAAAAGAAAGTGAGGGATCCAAAAATTGACAACTCCACGTTGTGACGCTCACACACAGGACTCTTTAGTAAAAGGCGAAAGGGTCATTTGATCTGTGTCAACGTCGTGGAGGACTGAAGAAATCAGAGGGGGGAACGGGAAGCGTCGCCTTTTTATAGCCGAGAGGAATGGCGCAAGGGGCACAGCATCGGAAATTTAGTGGCCTATTGATTGGTTGTTGTTGTTGGCGGGGCAACTCGTTTTTTCATTTTTCACGGGCGCAGCAACCCAGTGCCCAGCCACCTGCGCCATGGCTTTGACATTAGCACACCCACACACCGACCAGCCAGAATGAACAAATGTCAGCCATACAAGCAATCTATCCAATGACAGTAATGGATATTCCTAAAACACGACATTGACGGTACGGTTGCCGTTGAGCAACTTTTCAATTACAAAGACCTCCAGCAGCCCTGCCAGAACAACAAGGGCAACTTCTCCTCCACCAAACCAAAAGATCCTCGCCTGTGTACTTTTCACAGTATCAAAGTGTCGATTCTCCCTTGTTCTGAAATATTTCTGCATGCGTTGTATTCCATTGAGGGCACCGTTGAGGTTACCAACGCTGTCGTCCAGACCTTTAACGTGTTGCTCTGCGGTCGCCTTGAGTACAGTAAACTCATTTTCAGACGAAATGTCAAGGTCGATGGTTTTCTGAGAAAATGTGGACATTGTATTCGAGAAGCAAAAGGCATGTTCGCCCGGTTGTTTGGCAGAAAAGATGAAATCGCCCTGCCGTTCCTTGCGGCCATTCAAGATGCGATTGCCTGCAGGGCCCGTCACTTCATAGTCAATGTCAAAGGAGCCGCCCGCTTGAACCTTTCAAAAAAAAAAAAAAAAAAGAGTGCATATGGGACCTATCCCGTTTGCGTTTGGAGATTTGGGCCTAGGGCCTACCGCAAAGTAAAAGCCAATCTTTTCTCCTTCACGACTCGCTTGGGTGTAAAAGCATGCCCGTTCGTGAGGCGCCATTGAATACGTCAAGGCCGTTGCAGCTACTCTCCCATCGGGCCATGCAAACAGAATTGCCAAGAGTAAAATCACACTTGTCTTCATCTTCCTGGTTTGCGGCACACCACGCTGTCTGTGCGTCTGCTACCAACTCCCCAACAAAGAATTAGGCGTGACATCACCAACCGGTTCAAATCGTTCTATAAATCCAAACGATCCAGATCTAATAATATCACGTGAAGATGAGTCAGCCGATCGCGCTTCCGATGCTCGCGCGATTTTCACACTTCATGGCGGATTGATACCAGTGTTCTTTTTTTTTTTTTTTTGGTTTGGGGATGTTGCTGGCTGAATGTGGGGTATTAGGGTTAGGGCTTGTATCGTCCCCCAGCCGGCGCCTGCTAGCGAACAAGGGCTTTTTATCGGAACGAATGACATCTAGTGTGGTGTTCTCTGGATCTTTAGCATTTCGGTAGCTCTCCAATTTCGGCATTTGCCGTAGGCAACTCTTTCAACAACAAAGGTCCACGCCATGGCCTTTCATCCAAGCTTACTTGAACCGATATTATCTTTTATCATTGTGCTTGGTTACCATGTCTGGCTTGTATACTCTGTCATTGCGGCCCCTGAAAGCACAGTTATTGGTTTAACAAGGTATATTTGAGAATACTCTTTTGGAACTCGCCGGTTTTGTGTGTTAGGACTTAACTCCCTTGTGTAGAAACGCGCGGAGAAAATGGTGCTATGTGATTGCACAAAAGAAAGATGGTGTATTGTGCGTTCAAACACTTCGGAACTGGTACGTTGATTGCAGATCTAGCGGGAACAAGAACTAGTCAACTTATTTGAACGGCTTTTTGATCATCAGGTTGATGGCGTCCTCGTTGCTGGCAACGGTTTCCGTCAGTCTCGTGGTTGGTTTGGCTGCATTCATGGGCCAACGCTCCCGAATGTCCGCATTCCCTGAAACCGACGACGGAGTCAGAGTCAAATGGAAAATAAGTATGTCTTGATTTCATTCCAGTCCGTTGACATTATAATCAAATTAACAAAAACATGTCGTTGGTTCAGTCATTCTAATGTCCTGCTTTGCGAGCTCATTCTTTTGCTTCACCCAGTCCATGCGATACTTTATCCACGTTGGGTTCTTCGCCACCGCCGCATTTGCCCTTCCTCCCCAATTCCCACCATACAATCCCCTGACACACGGCCCCGTTTCGTTACCGAATGCGAATGGAGACAGTGCTTACTCTGAAGCCAACGGAAATGGCGTGGCAGTGGAAGAAGGAGAGGACTCACTCTCGCGGGACGTTAGAACTCTTGCGAGTTTGCTCAATTTGGGTGGGCTCTTCCATACATTGGGTTTACGAGGCTTTTATTTGACATTCCCTGTGATTTTGTGGTTGTTTGGGCAATGGCTACTCTTGGCGAGTACCATCGTGCTCGTTATGGTATTGGTTATGTTGGATGTCAACTTTGCATTCTTTTACGGGCGGCGAGGAAGAATTCGCATATGACAGAATGCGTGGCGTGTAACGTTTGCAGGACCAGGTAGAAACAGTTGCAGATGGGGGCACTGGGTTCAAGAATAGGCTGTAACATATTGTATGGGTATCCCATTCGCATTAAATCATTAATCATTCATAATTTCATTACATCCAACATCGATGCATCGCACGATGGCCTTGAGATACCTTCACCCCGCTAACCAATTTGGATCGGCTTCCAATCTCAGTACATCTGCAGCGGCCCGCTCCTGATCCCGTACAGCCTTGGCTCGCTTCCAGAAAATATCACTGTCACTAAGTGCACCAAAACCTTAACCGATCAGTATTCAATCACACAAAGCATCCATTTTCACGTTACGTACCTGTTTTCACAAAGAACTGGCCACGCTCTGGATCCCTGAGCTTGTCGACAGATGGCATGTAAAGCCACATTGCGACGTTGGATATCATTCGAGATTGTAACAAGTCGATGATAAATCGACGGAATCTGTTGTCCAAATCATTAGCCATGACACTTTATCTGACTGCATGATGGACGTTGCAATTCTGACCAATGGGACACAGTCATCACAAACGGCCCTATCCACCGGCACTTTTTTCCTGCATCCGAGACAGGACGCTGTTGTTGGGGTTTGAAAAAACGTAGCAATGCCTATATTTAAATGTTGCAAATCATGTGAGACGCAGACGCAAGCGAGTAGTTGGCAAAATAGGAAACCAAAAACAAACCCTTGGCAGCTCCTTCCGGCTTTCCAGCACCAACCCTCGTATGGTCTCCCGTGAAGAGGGCAGTAACTTGTGAAGGGGGAAGTAAAAGCTCAAAGATGCGTGTCAGTTGGTTTTCAATCTAGACAGCCGTGTTTAGTTATAAAACTCAATAGACTAGCAAAAATGGATCAATCGATGCTTTTTACCTGATGCCGTACATAATAGAGGTAATCCAATCCCAGACCATTTTGAAGGGCGTACAATGGGTCTTCGCTTTTTTCGTGACCTTTTGTCCCGCCTGTTGTATACACGAATGGGATGCTAATCCAGAGTTTGGGTGACAAATGAGTTTATGTCGATAGGTAACATATATTCTTTCAGACGGTAGTACCGTTCCCCATCTTGGAATGTCCGCCATGGTTGACGTTTGCGGATGCGTTCGACGAGTTCTACGTGAATCTGTTTTGCTGGTATTGAATTGTTGCGTAAGCCATCTACTTGCAACGCCCAACGATGTCCAACAAGTGATGATACCTTGGTAGTCCTCTGTCTCGGTTCCCAACCACAATCCTTTTGAATAATCCCTTTTCAATCAGCACAAAACGTCCCGTAGTGGTAACTACTGAAAAAGTCTCCCACCTTTTGTAGCAATAAACTCCCCAATATCATACTCCCCTTTTAGAATGCGTCCAATGCACCAACGAACGTATTCAGCTGCAGTTGTAATATGACTTTGTCGTTCCTGATAGAATGGAATCAGTCCCATCCATGCAAGACCACCGCAGTAATCATCCCACCAGGTACCTCCTCATTGATACAATCGGTTAAAAGTTCCCTGTTATTTGTTTTTCCACGGGGGAAAAGAATTTCGAGAACGTTTGTCATCAATGTGCCGAGAAGTGGGATACTGTCGCGACGTTGCGATTCTATACCCTTTTTTATCGATGTCATGATGAGTGATTAGGGGAGTGCATGGTATGCTCTAGGCAAACATTGAATATTCACCTTGGCGTCAATCTTGTCTGGTTTGTCCGGGCGCGTCCATTGGAGACCTGCGTACCGTTTGCGATTAATGAGAATATAAGGAAAGTACACCTAACCCGGGATAATATTAGCGATCATCCCGAATACACTGAATGTAACCATCCTACCTTTTCAAACTCTAGTTGAATGGGATCAGGCCACAGCTCTGACATTTTCTTTGCAATTTGTTTTCCATACTCGATTGCGTCTTGAACAGATGTGTCTGACATTTGGACAAACACCGAGTCTTGCAATTGATGTCAGAGCACCTTTCTAACTCTTCCTATACCTATACATGGTTTTACCTGTATCTCCATACACAACCTTACAGTCCACTGCAAATCCATTGGCCTTCGTAAAGGTTTTCTCAATCTCTTTTATGAGATCCCCCAACATGGTTGCGCCGTAGAGGATAGTAGTTTCGGCAATCGGCAGGCATTGTAGTTTGGATTCGCGGGCACCAGTAAAACCTTGGTGAGTTTACCAAAAAGGTGAGTACCGACTTATTTCCTTGGTTTCTGTTTTCGAGGTTGGGTTTACCATAAATTGCGTTTGCTGACACTTTTAGAGCCTGCTGACGACCTACCAGTTTACGTTATTAGCAAATACAAAAAACGCAGAAAAGTTTACGGTTGGATACTACCGTGGAGGACAATCTTCATGGTCGGATCAGTGGTCTCTTCCATCCTCTTCTTGACTTTACGACGTTCATCCAGAAAATGTTCGAGAATGGCGGGCACAACCCCTTTTTTTAACTATGGCCGCAAACCGCAAAGACGCCGTTATCTATCCACTTTTCATATTTGAACAGCACAACGATGATACCTACATGGCTCTTGACAAACCACGCCTCAATAGGTCCTAACCCCTTCTCATAATCCGTTTCTTCCAACTGAGACCGGTCGTCAGCCATCAACAATGTGTCGTAGCTCAGATTATGTGCAATAATGATACTAGGATACAATGATCGGAAATCCAACACGGCAATGGGGTCTTTTGTATTATATTGTGCGACAGGTGCAATGTTGAGTGGCCCTTCTGTCATTTGGCCTTCATTCCTGTCTGTACGGGTCGGAATGACTGTTTTGATTTTTTTACAGTACCGAAAGAGTTGGGACCAGAAGCGGATCATTTGGCCTCTGTGGAAAGTATCCTAAAAAGTTTGAGATCAGCAATGACTCTGTCATTTAATAAACAACATAGACAGCTAACAGAAATATTCAAACCAGTCACTCTCGCCATCTCCAGATAACTAATCAACGCCGCTGATTTTCGCACAAGTTGCATGCAAAGTCTAACATCTCGATTGAGGTAATCAACCACCCGCCGTCGCGTCTCGGGGGATTCAAGCCAAAGTGCCGTCAACGTAGGTGTCGAGAGAACTTCTTTAGAAGTCTGTAATTGGAGTTGAATCGCTTCGGCGAAACTGTGCGTATCAAATTAGTTTTGTACTGGGTATTCCAAGGAGCAGGTAAACGTTACCTATATGTTCGTAACCGCTCGTCTCGTTCAATAATCTGTCGCATGTCCAACACGATCCGTCCAGTCAATTCCAGGATTTTGAATTCCCGATTTGACGTCCCAGCCATCCGTCTAACCCAAATCCAAAACAATTTCATCAAAAACACACATAGCTCACAACTAACACATAGTGACACCGTACCTTTGAGCTCTCACCCATCCCGCCCCATAAATCTGCTTTCGAGACCCCTTTGCCTTCAAATGTGGCAATCGTCCCAGGTACCCCCATTTGGGTACCTTTAACCTCTCTGCGCGATCCATTAACCCCATGATCTGTTCGCTGACATCGTATCCAGTGACAACGTCCGGATCATATGTATTCAAAAAGGATTGGAATGCCGAGAGCATGGCGCGTTCGGTGGGGTACATCAAGACTCGGGTAGTTTGTGAATTGGATGGCGAGCGAATACGTTCTGGTGTCGTCGAATGCGCAAAAATAAGGGTGGTGTCATTCGAGGATGCGGTTAGGGTATGTGAGGTGGTTGTGAGGCAGGATATGAAGCCTGTTATGCTGTGTGGGGCAATCGGTTGGGAAGGGGTGCTTGGGGTGTTGGAAGCGTTGCGTTTCTTTGATCTCGTTGCCTGAGGCTTTGGTGAATGATTTTTTGTATTCGAGTCTGGGTATTCGTCTATAAGGTTGGTTGCAAGCATGCATAGCACCCGTAAGGGAGCTATTTCCCCATGACGGTTGTCGCTCTTGGCGGCAAGTGTGTCGTCGGCCATAGGTTCATGAGCCGTCGCTGGGGCAAGGTCGGCTGCTCGGCAGATAACCTGTATCTGACACCGACTGGAACGCTGATGTGATTGCTGTACATGTCGGTATTTGTTCCCAGAAATAGCTACCCATCCACCTCCGACCTAAAAGTAACCGACGGTCAGTAACTACAACAGCGATGGAGATAGTAGACACATGAGAGGATATTAAATGACGATCGATACACACCATGCCAGTATCAACCATAACCCTCATCTCCGCCGTCAAATTCCACTCATAAACTGTGACATCATACAATTTGCCTTTCCCAAACCACTCTTTCACACCTTCCAATTCATCAGCCCCTTCCAAAATCTTTGCCAGACGACCCACCATGACCGGCTCCTGAACCTGAAGCTTCAAAAAGGAACTATACCGTGCTGGCTCATTGTCGCGCTGTACAGCATCTCTGTAATACATGAGTGGAACGACATCTTGAATGATTTCCGTTGATGTGATTGTGATTTTGGAGATATGAGGGGCTAAAACGTCCAGAAATGCTGGTATATCGTCATTTGTAAAATTTGGTGTGATGGGAAAATACAGATAGGGGTAAAAGTCGGTCAAAAAAACACATATAGAGTGACCCGTAGGTGTGCATCCAAATAGACGAATCAGCGGCGAGGAAGCGCTGGGAATGGGGTTGGCGGAAGGAAACGAGTCTTTGGACGCATCTTCACACTTTATAGTATATTGTATCAAGAAATGGAAATCAAATGATTCAAGAAGAAAACATCATATCTAACCTCTAATAGTTGAAATAATATATCCTGACTTTCATCAGGCTCATACGCTCCTCTTTCAAACTCTGGAAACTCTACAGGTGCATCCCGGTTCCCGTTGAGGGATTCACTCGGACGCTCTTCCACCCGCGTACGCTTGGCGGGCGGTGCCCCCAATCCAGTCCCGGTACTTGATTTCCTCCGTTTGAAAAAGTTTAGGTTTGACATTTCAAACGTTCAAACGCGGAAGGGAGGATGTGGTATTTTTGGTCTTCACGGGAGGGGCCCCACTTACACAAAGGAGTTGTTACCTATGCATACATGTATGGAAGCTTATAGATCGCCTTAATAACTCATGTAGAACTCCCAAGAGCTAATGCTTGAAGACAAGGATGGAAACGACGAGGTTGGGTCATTACCAGCGGACGCGATCTGCTGCGCCTCACGCATGCGGATTATGTAATGGCTGGGTTTTGTCGCATTCCTGCTTTTTCCATCATCGGGCGTTAACAAACGGCGAGTCACCTATAAGGGGGCGGTGGGGACAAAAGATCTGTGCAGATAGAAAAACAAGTTTTTACCTGCGGCGGCGAACTCTTCATTGACGCACTCAACATGTATTTTAGAGATGGCTCCTTCTCCTTTCCTGTCGACGATGGACTTCATCTGCAGGCGGTATAGTGAGCCAGCAATAATTTGGACAAGTCAGTGAAGAAGAATGTCACAAATCGCAGTGTCAATTTGCTACCAACTGACGGTTTGAGTGAGTTTGGGATAAAAAGAAAATGGTGGCAGAGATGAAGACGTACCATGAGTGGAAGGGCGTTGGAGCCAAGATCCTGTATCTTTGCATTTGGACTTGCTCGTGTTGAGGTCAACATTCTAGTTACTCGGACGAGTACAGGTCCAAAGGTCAATCTTTCCGGGAAAGTTTGGAGATGGATCCGCGATTTGGTGCTGTCGACTGTGGGTGTGAATGACGATGAGCCAGCTATTGACGTTCTGCGTTGAAATACCCTCCGCTTCAGGAGGTCATTCGAGCTCATTGCAAAGGGAGTTGAAGCATCAACAGGCTAGTGGTAGAGCAAAGACAACGACTGAAACAGCGAGGTGCAAGTATTGCAGCAATGTAGTCCCATACGGTAGCACGGACTGAGGGACGGTTCGAAAAGCATAGGAAGGACATACATACATTTCCGCAGGATTAGAGTTGAGGGTTCTTTGACCACTTTGTGACAGGATGGTTGCGATGACTCGTATGATCCCTCATATATGAATATTTCAGTCAAAGTACTAGTTGACTAGATCTTGATTGGATATCAATATGGCGTCTATCTTTTTCAGAGACCGCACTTTCCGAACATGAAAGGATCTCCGAAGAGGGGTTTTGGCATTATTGCCAGGTGAAAAACATTGCCGAATTTCATATGCATAGATATGTGTGCGCACCAAGCACCAAGTGCCAACATGCAAAAAGAACTGGATGTCTGCAACATGGCCAAGTATCGTCAAATACCAACATAGTCAAGACTCGAGCGTGGTACGATGGGAGACATGTAATTGAAGACCTGCCTTGTGCTGAAGGTTGGCACGACGAGAGAAACGGAACATGACCGACTTGTCCCTCTTAAGAGTACGCCATGCAGAACACTATTCAAGCAGTTCAGCACCTGGTGTAGGATAGCACATGCCTATAGCAAGGACATCCAAGCATCCTATCCTGCATATGCACATGCATGAACTTGGTTTGTCATCGCCCATTAATATGCGTGGATGTGTCATCACGTGTCTCATCGCTTTGGAAGTGTGTGTTGGGACCTTTTGCCAGCAGCACTTCCTTTCACTGCCATCCTAATCTTCCATTTCCTTGGCTGGCCTCCAACGGCGGTTTATCACAACGCACACATGGCCACACCACACTGCCTTTCCCCCAAAGAGTTGCTCAAACAGGCTGAAATCAAGGAACCACCCAATAATTACTCGTTCAAAGCATGGATCAACAGCGCCCTCTCTCTATATGACAAGGTAACGTTCTTACTAATTGTACAAAAGGTCTTTCTTAACACTCTTCGATAGGGAGACTTGGCGGCAAAGACGGGGGAGTTGGAGGCTGCATACGTGCATTTTATGAAGGCAACAACGTTAGTAGCATCTCACTTGAACAAATGTGGCCCGAACGCCAAGAAACAAAGCAATTCTTGTACTGACTGGCGCGTTGAAATGATACAGCATCGTCATGGACGTTTTGCCAAAGCATAGAGATTACAGGCCCATTGATATGTCGTTCAGACAAGCAAAATCGGCAAGTTCTTGCACTCTGTTTACGTGAGCACACGAAGCGGACAGCCACTGACTTGGTTCTCTTTGCGTGTGTAGAAAGTGTCAGAGTACATGGTTCTTATGGAACAACTCAAGCAGCAACTACAGGAACGCCATGATAAGCAGAGACAAGCGCTGTCGTCTTCCCTACCTACAACCAACTCGCTCGCAACGCCACCACCCTTGTCACAGTCACTACCCAACGGCAACGGGTCCAACGGAAGTGGATCCATTGGAAACGGATCCAGTTCGCAGCGCTCAGTAGTGCATCCTGATCGATTGCTGGCGTTATTAAAGCAGGGGTCCACATCTGTCCTTATTTTGGATATACGTCCCATGGAAGAGTACATTTTGGGCCACGTAAAGTGGAAAATGCGGCAAAATGGTATTCAAGGGGGTGTGGTGCATATTGAACCGGATTGGCTTGCATCGGATAGGTAAGTCACACCGTGGCAACCTTTTAGTGGCGTAAGAACAGTATAATTTATGAATCGTTCCATCTTTAACTTGATGTATATAGCCTTGATGCGGGTGATTTGGAAAGATATTTAACGTCCTTTGGCCAAAGCTCGTCCCTTTCCAAAAACCTCTTTGAAGCCCGGCACACTTTTGATTTAATCATTTTTCTGGACCAGTCGAGCACATCCACACTGGGATCTCAATATCTCAGACGATTGATGGAGGTGGTATGCAATCACGACAAAAAGAAACTAAAGCAGCAGCCGGCGCTGTTGGTGGGAGGTTTCGATGGATGGGATCGATTTGTGAAGCAGAGTGCAGAGAATTGGGGGGATTGGGTCGAGATTGGCGAAGGGTGTGGTCGGTTTGTGGTGGATGAGAATCAGGGCGCCAATGGAGTTACTGGACAAGTGGCACTAGCGAGAAGTGCTTATGAATATGTGCGTCTGGCTCGTGAATGTTTATCGATACAGTGGGATGGCTAACGCTTGATATTCGCTAGGTGCAATCACGGGCACAGCAAAATGCTTCATCTGGATACTCCCAAAAACCGCTTTCTGCATATCCTTCTGGACAATCACAACAACAGCAAAAGACACCCCAACCTTCACCACCCTCGTCTCGACGACCATCAGAACCCTTTCAGAACCGCACCAATGTCCAACTGAATTCAGCAACGAGTGCCATGCCGGTCATTGTACCCGTCACACAATCGTACCACCAGGCACCCCTATCCCAATTCCAACGTTTCAATGATCCATTTTATAATTTCCAACATCACGCGAAGCGAACCCTTGATCAGAGCGTGTATCCCTCTTCTCTTCAAGCGGTGGGACCCCGCAACGAGTCTCTGGCGGCTTACCCTGCAGTCGGGAAAAACGTCTCTGGTACCCAATCAAACAACACTTTCAACTATCCCTCCCCCGTTGCGTCTGTACCCACCGCCCTCAGTCCAAGAATACCACCTCCCCTGCCGGTCAAGCCTCGATCCAACAAGGATGTGGACCCATCCGCCCCTGCCCCCAACATCCCACCATTGGGCTACCATCAGATCATAAACACTTCCCCCGGTCTCCCCCGCCGTCCCCCACCCGTTGCCATTGCTCCACCTGCACTTACCATCCGTCGATCCTCGTCCCCATCTGGCTCACCCAGCACAGCACGATTTTATGGCCTTCCACCGGCCCTCCCGCCTAAACCCCGCCACCAGCTCCAATCGAGCGATACAAACAGTTTACAAGCATTTTCGCGATCGACAGCGAGTGAGCTGTCGTATTCGCAATTGGGCGGTTTCATGGGCATGGCTGGGCTAAAGAACCTTGGTAATACATGTTTTATGAATTCGGTTATTCAGTGTTTGGGGGGTACTGTACCCCTTGCGCGGTATTTTCTTGGTAAGTCAAAAGTATGTGCAGGGTATGCCCTCGTGGGTAATGAACACAGCTTTTTTTAGATGGAAGTTATCGCAAGCACATGAATAGACGAAATCCGCTCGGCACGCGGGGGGAAGTAACGGATGCCTTTGCCGAGTTGGTCAAGACCATGTGGTCTGGACAGGATGGTAATGTCGTGACACCGACTAAATTCAAGGTAAAAGAACGTTTGGGCAAGTGTCTTTTTTTTCCTATACGATCAGGCGTATTAACACTCCACAGGAAATCATTGGAGCTCACCACCCTTCCTTCCGGGGTACCGAGCAACAAGATTCCCAAGAATTTCTTGCATTCCTCCTAGACTCGCTTCATGAGGACCTCAACGTTGCGCGCAAAGGAAACGTCGTACCTGACAAGGAACCCGACGAGGACGAGGAGGGCATCCCAGATGCAGTCTTGCTTGATCGCGCATGGAAACGGTACAGAAAACTGAATTGGAGTATTATTGTGGATTTGTTTCAGGGGATTTTGAGAAATCGGTTGCAGTGCCTCACATGTGGAAAAGTACGTGACAAGAAAGCATTCACTTCGACGTTTTTTCTCAACTTTTTGGTGTTTTTGTTTCTAGACGTCCACGACATTTAACCCCTTCATGTACCTGACCCTCCCTATCCCCTCCCACAACCAAGCCGGCAAGAAAAACGGACCAGTCTACCTCCAAGAATGCCTCGACAAATTCGTTGAAGAAGAAATCCTCGATGGCGATGACGCATGGCGATGTCCCCGATGCAAAGCACCCCGTCGATCTACGAAACGTTTAACGATTGCGAGACTCCCCACAGTCCTTTTGGTGCATTTGAAAAGATTTTATTTTTCGGGACCGTTTCGGAATCGGGTGGATACTTATGTTGAGTTTCCTGTTTCGTATGCATATACACTGTTTATTGTTCTTTTCTTCTATTGTGTTGATTCTTTTTGGGTTGATAGATCGTTGGATTTGACGCGGTACATGACCCAACGCACGGGATATGCACCCGAGTCTGTTTATGATCTTTACGGCATCTCCGTACGTTTCCAAGAGTTATTTTTCACGCCATTTTCATCCTTTGCACTGATTTACGTTTCTTTTTGTATTTTAGAACCATTTTGGTGGCCTTAACGGAGGACATTACACCGCGTCCGTTAAAAACAGCTACAAAAACAAGTGGTTCTCATTTGATGATTCGAGATTTTCTGGTGTCGATGAGTCGTCTTTACGGGTAACGTTTCCCGTTTTTGTATTTTAGTGTTTTTGAGTGTTTGTTGATGGTTTTGGGGGTTTTTTTGTAGACTCCGGCGGCGTATATACTATTTTATGTCATGAATGGCCGGAGGACGACGGATGATTGGTGGAGTGGTGGTGTGGCGAGGATGTAACGATGTGTGTAGATAACTTGCGCGCGAGTGGGGTATTTTCTTGGTCCATTTTTTTTTGTTTTCTAGGGATTGGAGGTCATGTTTATGTGAACAATGTGACGGTGGTTAATTTTGCAAAAAAACAGACGATTTTTTGTTACATGTGTCTTTTGTCCTTTGGATTGGTTTTGAGTAGCCGTTTTTTGATGGTGTCGATCGAAAGGGGAGAAGGATGGTTGCATTTTGAGATGTTAAAAGGGTTTGCGTGTGTTTTATGTTTTTGAGAGACTGTTGCGTATGCTGTCATGTTGGTTTTGGACTTGATCGACATCCAGGTTTACCTTTTCGAACAAGCAGATTTAGTATATTACCAAAAACCCCACAACGATGAGAATACGGATAGCGTACAAACACTCTAAAGTTCTATGAGACTGAATTCCATCAATTATTCTACGTATTGAAATACTTGCTCGCATAAGCCGCCATTTTGTTTCTCGACTCAACTAGCCCTCCATCTTGTCTATCCACAACAACGACATCCAACCCCCCAAAATTACATTTCATCAACCTTTCCAAAGCCGGCAAGAGTTCTTTACCCGGCGCATACGTTCCGGAATTATTATCCATAACCACTTGCCAATCCTTTCCTAACGCACTTGGTTCAACAGTGAGATCCCACCCCCCAAGGGGCCTCACATGGAATTCACCCGCAAATCGGACATACTCGGAACAATTTGAATGTAATGCATGCTTTGATGCAAAATCCACTAAAAAAGCCGCACCGGTTTCTGAGAACCTTAGAGTTTCGTCATCGATAATGTAGGTGTACATGCATGGTTTGGGGATGGCTGGATGGGGGATGGCGGGTTGTACGGCCCCCGCATTCCAAAATAAAAGTCCCATAAAGTCGTATCCGTTTTGTAGGATTCCACCGCCATTGCCTCCTGTCCTCGCATACAACATGCGATGCGCAGCTTGGATCCCACTCTTGACACCAAAACTCATGGGAGAGCTAAAAATGGTTTGAGCGGCTTTGTAGGCTGTATTCCAATGTTGTTTTTGTGTGGATGAAAAGTAGGTTTCTATATTGGTTAGATGGATTTTCCAGGTTGCGTAGGGTCTTGTGTCGTTTTGGCGGGTCAGGGCGCCTAGGAGGGGTGAATAGTGGATTGTGTGGCGGACTGGGCCGGCGAATGTGTAAGGGGGGACGGGTGATGCTGGGGTTGTTGTGATGGACAATGTGATTGTGCCGCGGTGTCGAGTGGAGAGAGTCAGTGGGAGTGTGTGGGTAGTTGGTTCCAGAGGAGTTTGACACTAATGGCAAAAAGGGTCGGTGAAGGATACAGAGTGTTTGGGTGTTTTTGTTTTTTTCTTTTACCTTTCCGACGATCTCGTCATTGGGGACATGTAAATCCTTATCCCATACCGAAATGTATAGAATAGCGTTAGAGGGTACGTTATTGACTTTCCAGGTTTCGTTCCAAGTGGGTGTCAAGGTATTGCTGATACATGTTGAACTAAATATAGGCAACATGTCACATTTTTCACCCGTCTTGATGTGTTGCTATTGAGTGAAAAACGTACCAATATGATATACAGTTATCAATCGTGGCTCGAAAGTAGGGATCTGCGGTGCCAATGATATCCATCTTTGGTAGATCCTGGTACGATAAAAATAAACAATTACCAACAATGTTTTTTTTTTGCTGGAGTTGAATGAGTTGTACGTACCCGTGCCCCAATAAATGTTACAGCGACATCCACACCATCGCTATAGGGTGTTCCCTGCGTCGGGTGCGGGGGAGTCGTGGTCGACTCTGCAGGGCCGCTCGTGTCGGTGGGTGCATAGGCGGGTGGACGGGGCGGAAGGGCGGGGGGGAGGTCGTCGGAGGGGAGGGAGCTTGTGCGGGGAAAAATGTTCATTTGTTGGATAGAGGGCCGAAACCTCCAAAGATGGGGGAAGGAAATTGGGAAAGAAATGGAGGACGTTGGGATAAGACGATGCCGCGAAAACCTCAACGCGAATGCACAGCACGTGTCAAGTGTTCAAAAGCACACCTCCACAAAAAGTCAACTGTTCAAAATTCCGTTCTAAAAATGTCCACCTGGACATGCACCCAGTGCGAAACCCTCAACCCCCTCGACACAACAACCTGCAACACATGCACATTTCGCCGCCCCCGCAAAAAATCCCACAAACAACCCGACGACGAACTCGTTGATTACCACCTCCAAAAACAAATTGAAGAAGCCCGTCGAAAATCCCTTGCAGACGTCCCGCTCCCCCGTCCCGCTGAATGTCTAGTCGAAATCACAAAAGATGGCACGGCGGTTCCTGTAGCGGGTTGGGAAGTCAAAACGAAACGTAAAACAACGAAACGGAATTTGGAAACCGATACAGATGACGATAGAGACGCTAAATACTCTGAGCGGACTCGGACAAGGTTGAGAACCAAAGACCGTGAATCCCAATCAACCCGTCCCAATGATTACCCTACACGTTCAAAAGTAGCCCAACGCTCAAATGAGCTTGAGGCCGATACCCTTCGCAAACGATCAACACAATCAAAACAGGATATACCCAAAGCCGCCGACAAGCGCAAAACAAGGTACGCAAAAGTCAACAAGTTCAATGTTTATTCCTTTCTCTAAACTCTATACAGTTATCGGGACCCTCCTTTGGTATCTAATCAGTGTACCAAACAATGGGACGAAAGCGGAGGTCCTGTGGACCAGTTGTATAAAGTCACTTGTGGAAATGTAACGATTATGGTGGGGTTGAATGGGAGGAATGCTAAACAGCCGTGTTGAGCTTGCTTCTTGATGGGCACTGTATATAGTTTGAAAACGAATCCACAACATGTTGAAAAGTTGTTTAAAAACAAAAAAAGAAGCGAAAACGCACACACTGGCTATCAAAACAAAAACCAAACATGCCCGAATATGTATTTTTTTTTTGGAGGTTCTTTTGCTAAACCTGTACCCCATCCGTTTTTGCAGCTCGCAAACTCTTGATCTCCTCCTCAGCAGCCACCAACCTCCGATGAGCATCCTCAAGCGCAACCTCCAAAGCCGTATAACTCTCCAAAAGCGTCTCCAAATCCACTTCCAGCTGCCCTTCTTCACCCGATTCCATAGCCTGTCGAAGCATATTGATTATATGCTGCGTTTCGGATTTGGTGGGTGTACGCGGTGTTTGCGTTGAGGGTGTTTGAGGGATTTGGAGCGTTTCTTTTGGGAGGGGGGTGACGATGGGGGGTGGTGTTGGTTTGGGTGGGGTGGCTGTTGGCCGATCGGTTTGACCGGATTGGAGCATGAGATGAGGGGGTGGGGGTAACGAGGGGGGAGGGAAGAGAGAAATAAGCGGTGATCGGGCGCCGCTGGGTCCCATCCGTGGCATGGGTCGACTGGGAATGGGGGACGCGGCTGCGCTGCCCCCTGCAGAGGAATGAGTTGTTGAACTCGGTTTGGATTCTTTAATGTCCGGCGTTGATGTTTGCGAGGGGGGAGGTGTCGCGGGGGGTGTACTAACTGCCAAAGGAGTCGATTCCGCTTCTTTTGGGTTCTCAACCCCTTGTGCCTGCCCAATCAATACCGTATCCACCGTTTTTGAAATCCCAGGTTTGGGCGTACTGGGCGGCGGAGGAATCCCTGCACTCCCCACTTTTCGAATCCGATTCAACCTTGCGGTTGCTCTCTTCCTTGACGGGGCTGCCGCAGACTCCCGTTTCGTCGACCCAGATGCTGAAGTTGCTATCGATGCACTGGACGGGGACTTTATCATGTGTGGTTCGGGCGTACCGGAGCTTAATGGTGTGCCAAAGTAGGAAATTCGACGATCGACCTCTGCGGATGCTGAGCGGAGGTGGGGGGCAAACATGAATGTGTCGCGGCGGTTGTTGGTGCCTATTGTGAATAGTGTGAGATCTCCTGGAGGTCTATGGTGATGGTGATGAAGCTACACTTGCCTGGTAGTGGAGACAACCCATCTTCAACGGGGAGCGGTTTCGGAGGAGGCGGAACTAATGAAAATGACAATGGAAATCCGATCAATCACACTACCAACAACTAATATTTGGGGGGAGAGGTAAAAGTCAGAACAAAACAACGAAAACATACCAATCATATCATTTGTAAACTTTTTAATCAACTCTGCGATATCCACATTTCCACTCATACTAGCCAACTGCAACGGCGTCTGTCCACTCTTATTTGTCCGTTCCCTTTCACACCCCCTCATGACCAACCACTTTGCACACTCTTTAGCATTCCGCGTCGCAGCAACATGAAGCGGCGTATTCCCAACCGCATTCACAGTGTTGAGATTTGCCCCATGGTCAATGAGAAGCGACGCAATAGCCTCGTGGTTATTGAAACACGCAATATGGAGCGGTCCTTTACCGGTTTCATCGTAGATATCCGTATCGGCTCGTGCGATGAGGAGACGCAGGACGCATTCGTGGTGTCCTCCCACTGCAGCGTAGTAAAGGGGTGTGAGGTTTTGTGCATCGGGACAATTGACCCATGCTCCATAGCCGATTAACGTCTAACACTCATGTGAGCATCGAATGATCCAAACAAACATACGTACATGGATGTCATACCTGTAAAGCAGTAATCTTGTTATTCTGAGCGGCAACATGTAATGGTGTTTTCCACCCGTCTCGTTTCCCGATACGGTAATCCAGCAATGCACCGTTTTCAATGAGTGTGGAAATCATGTCCTTGTCATTGTTCATGACGGCAATGGTGAGGGGTGTATCTAACCGTCATAGTTAGCATTTATTCAAGATAAAGAAAACAATACAGAACGTAACGGTATTCATGTGAACGTTTGTACATACCTCCAGCCTCGGTCCAAAAGTTTGGGTCAAAGCCCTTTACTCCCTTTTCCTTGACTTTATCCACACTGCCTTTCTGGACATCCTCTACAAACTTTTTCTGCTTTTTCTTGCTGTTTAACGATGGGGATCCCCCTCCTGCATCCGAATCTGCAGTCGCAGACGAAGCCAGTATGCGATGTTTGGGTATAAATTCCAAAAAGGTCTACCAACCGCAAAAGAGTTCAGCATTCATAGCACCGTTCCATATAGGAAAGAGAGAAACCTTCAAACTCACATTTGATTCACTAACATACGTCCCTAGCTCCCGTTTCTCATCCAAAAACTTTCCCTGCTTCCCACTCTTGACATCCGCCGGCAAATACAATCCAAAATTCAAAGCCTCGTCCACCGTCGATGCCATTTTTTCTATAATCTGCTTCTTGATGGACCAGACCATGTCTTTTAGGTTAGCTTTGATGGCTTTTTGCCAGTCGTGGGATGGAAGTGAAATTCGGAGGACGACCGCTGCTGGCGGTGTCGTGATTGTTGGAGTCGACATGACGACTTGCTTTCTCTTTAGTATTTGAGCTCGTCTTTTTTCTCAAATCTCTGTCGTATGTGCGTTACAATAAGTTGAAAACGCAACCCATAGAAGCGCGCAGTGAGGATGTGCATTATACTGGTGTTTCTATGAATAGTCACATTCTACGGGTATTAAAAGATGGGATAAACAATGATTGAATACATGGGCGGTTCGTGGCTTTAACAAAAGTTTATAATGCGGCGAGGACGTAGAAAGCTGTTGGCTGTTGAAGGTGTGTGCGGTGGTTAGTTGTCTTTCCTTTTTTTATCTCGTCCTTTTGCAGCATAGCGGAGATTCATGCGCACTGCGGAGGCTTGCATGGCTGCCCATTGCAAACCCATTCACTTTTAAGCGAAATAATTCTGAATAACAACATCATCTTCATCTCAAGGCTTCTTGTAACGATAGTCGAGAACTTTCTTCGCAGACCTCTCTGGTGCAGTCCGATTTTGAAGGGATGTCTAGTGGCAACCGCCATATCTAGTGTTCCTGTGTAGTGTCCACAGACAGCAGAGGGACGTTTGTCGGATCATTACGTAATGCAAACTCCGTTCCTTTCAGAATGCTGTTCTATACGGTAGTTTATGGATTCGTCCATGTCTGTGTGTAATCTGAGTTTCATGTTTCTCCAGAGTATTCCGGTTATTGGCAATGATGTCTCAGTTGCAACCTTACTGCCTGATTTCCAAACATTCACACACCCTATTCGTTTTGGGGTCCCGGTGACCCTAATTCATTGCAAATGTAGTCCATTTTTGTAGCCCATTCCGTCGGCACTCTATCCTTCCAGTGTGCCTGCATAGTCCTTTTGCACTCGGTCTACTTTCATAGTCCCCGCTCTTTTGCAGCAACTGGCACTCACTGTTCATCTTCTTGTTTGCTTGTTGGGTGCATTCGTTCGTCACGTGACCATGATCGTGCTCTGATGATGGCCCAGGAATATGCTCCAAACCAACCTTGGAACACTTTGCTGACAACAAGGAAAGGCATCTTCTACAGGAGTAGCGCGCATTAAAAGAAGGGAGATGCGCAGCCTGACGTCACGGTCGTTATGTATATCGCAGATAGCGATGGGTCACCACCTGTTTCCGCATAAATAGCGGCGGGTTTGGCGATTTTCCGTCCATCACTCGGCTAGTTGCGAGAACAAGATATTTCTAAAAGCATACTGAAAGGTGCCAATGTAGGTGTATTTGGGGTTCATAACCTTGTCTGAAGCGAGGCACTAAACACAGCTCCTCTTGTTCTACTGTAGCACTGTGAAAAGCGCATAATGGAAGCTGAAATTGTCGAACTAAAAGAGGAAGTCGCAATCCTCAAAGCAAAAAGGTTAAGCGATTAGAACAGTGAGCGGAGCACCACCTGGAGGGTGATCGTACCGCGGTGCATGACCTTTTCCCGGGTTCCAAACCGGCAGAACCCAAGTACGTGACCAAAGAGCAATACAAGCGGTCTCTCTGCACGATCGAGAAGCTCTGAAGATATCGGAACCGGCTGCCTACGAATCAATAAAGAGAGCATTTTTACTCCACTCCATTTTGCTTACGAGGATAAGGACTCGAAATCAAAGAGTCCAAACTGTCCCTGGAGCCCATCGCTCAAGGAAGCTCTGTTTTAACGAAAGAGGTGACACAGCATGGGCAGAGCGGTGCTCTTCTTTTGGTCGAATATTCAGAGGCTAAAGGCGAAGCCAAATGGTATCCGGTCTGCGCCCTCGTTCAAGACATTGATCAGACGCATGAGAAACCAGTCAGACGAGTTGTGTGGTACAACTTTGAAATCTGGAAGCCACTGCTGGACCGGATACTTGAACGGATAACTGACGAACAAGGTGCCAAAAATCAAGCCAATTTCGACCGGGCAATGGGCATTGAAGGAGAAAGGTAGCAAGGAGGAATAAGCGCAGGCAAAAAAGCGGCACTAAGACAGAGTGAGGGTTTATCAATTGGCTCAAGATGTGTAAAGGGGGCAAGGAACTTGGGTGCATGGGAGGAAAAAAGTCACATTTGTACAGGAAACAGTCAATAGTATGAAGAGTATTGCATGTATTGTCCAGACCGGGGTTCGCAGAAAGTGATCTAATCCACTCTCACTCATTCCACATGGTTTTCATTGGCAATCTGTCCATTACTTTCGCTGTCTCTACCCCACTCCCTCCCATCCAATCACGTGACAATATCCAAGAGACAAAAGACTTAGCCCCCGTAGGGGCATCCACTCAGTTCTAGCGTGTCATCCTTGCGCAGGGGCCATGCTAATCTTCTCTGTATCGATTCCAATTTTAATTGATGTCAGAGGGCCCCGAAGGACCTTGACAATTGACTAAGGAGTGATTTGGTATTTATAGTGAGAATATCATTGTTGTTTACAGACTGTGGGTTATGTGTTTCAGAATGTTTGTGGGTGACTGTGTGGAATGAAAGACATGTGAGATCAGATGACGTTAAACTCAGCAATGGAGTGCTTAGTACTCTTGTTCATGCGCACTATGCATTAAACCAAATGTCCATGTAGATGGAGTGTGTGCATGTGTGTGTATGTGTGTAGAATGTATAACAAATAGATTATTCCCTCCCAATAGCATTCTGAATGTATAGAAATTCCACTTGTGTGTGTGTGTGTGTGTGTGTGTGAATATCCCAATAGAAAAGACAAATGTCAATTGTAATGAGTGTATATGTGAGAGTGTGTGTGTGTGTGTAGATGAGAGAGAATTCCCCTTTACTTGTGTGTGTGTGTGTGTGTGTGAATTACTTGTTCTCTCTCTCTCTCTCTCTCTAGTCTTGAATCAACTAGCGTTTGTGTGTGTTGGATATTCTCTCTCTCTCTTTTGTATTCAATCAATTAGTGTGTATATGAGAGAGAATATTCCTTTATAAATGCATGCATTATTCTATATTATTCTCTCTCTCTCTCTCTCTCTCTCTCTCTGTGTATGTGTATGTGGATGGAGTGTGATATGTTTATGGAACAAGAGAGAGGGGATAATAACAATCATTTATATTATTTGTGAGGCGTTTCTTTATACGCGCTTCTTCTTCTTGTTTCTCACCATCATCATCATCATCATTGGTATTCTCACACACACTCAATAGTTGGATTATTATTCTCACAAACACACTTGCTACCGCATTACGCATTCTCCCTTCTCCCTTCCGCACATGGACAAACCACTCAAGGCACGCGCACTCTGGGACTATTCTGCTATAGAGGACAATGAACTGGATTTATGTGTGGGTGATTATATTGATATTATAGAGTTGTGTAATAGTGACTGGTATGAGGGGAGTATCAATGGAAAGACGGGTTTCTTTCCTGCCAATAGAGTAGAGTTGATTCCCTTTATTCAGGTATGGAATTACTCTTGCATTCTCATATTCATTCACTCATTTGTTCTTTCTAGGAACGCTCGCCTGCTGCGGCTGCTGCGTTTGCGCAAGGCGCTGACAAGGAAAATCCATTCGAGGACGACAAGGTCATACCCCCTCTGCCCGCTCATGCTCATCCTCCCGGGCATCCCCACGATGGCGCAAACACACACGCGACACACGAAAAGGACTGGAAGAGCGTCGCGCAGCCAGACGGTCAAACGTATTTCTGGAATGCACATACAGGCGAAACCGCCTGGTCTACTGGGAATGGGAGTGCGAGTGGGAGTGGTCGGACGAGTGCGAGTACGAGTGCTTGGGGACAAGAGGGGCCCGTAACGTCCACGGACGGCTTTAATGCAAGTGGCGCTGATCGCAGCGCTCATGGAGAAGCGCCCACGGAAAAGGATGCAGGGACAAGCGACTTGCTATCAGACCTGGCGCGCGTCATTGACGAGTTTGATGCTGGGCCCGTGAGTGATGTACGTTGTTCCTTTTTTTTTGCATACACAAGAGTGACTGCGTTTTCATGACACGCGTCCATCTTGTAGACCTCTATTCATTCCTTGACGGGGAGTTTGCTTACGCTGCCGCCACAGAAAATGGAGAGTGGGAGTGGTGCAAGGGAGGTGGACACACCCGTGTCGTCACCGTCGTCGGGTGTCCAAAACACATATGGGGAGGGAAATGGATTGCACGGCTCGCACGGACTGCAGGAATTCCACGAGGCAACGACCGCATCGGGCTCGCATCCAGAGTCGACACCCTTGTCGTCGTCGTCTAGATCGGGCTCTGCACATGGACAATCACAAGAAGAGACACCCTTGTCACCGATATCAAACTCTAACCAAGACGAACTCTGGAACGTTGTCCCTCCGCCACCTCCACCCCCACCCCCCCTCTTTCTCGATGAACCCGACGAGCCCGACACACCCATCACAACCGTTCCCCCCGAAATCATTCGCCGCGAAGGCTACATCTCCCTCAAACAAAAGTCCCCCCCAAAAGGCACATGGACCACCACATTTGCCATCCTAACCGTCGGATTCCTCATCTTGTACCCATCCGCCAAATCCAAACGTAAACCCTCGCGTGTACTACGGTTATCGAGTGTACAGTTGGATGCCGTTGGGCGACAACATACGAAACGCAAGCATGCGTTTTCACTTGTTTGTGATGAGGGGGGATTCTTGGTTCAGCCTGCCAAAGACTCGGAGGTGTGGGAGTGGATGGATGCGATTCGGGAGGCGAGTCGGGAGAGGTCGACTCCAAGTGAGGTGAGCATGTGCGGAAATTTGTTTTCCATTTCGCATTTTAGAGTGTCTTGCTTGCACGGGAGAGTATCGCTGGTTGTTTTTGGGACGATCCCTAGCCTGTGGCATTTCTCAATACGTGTAACGCCCTTGGCCACGTTCTTACGCAAAAAGTGCCCTCTGTCTTTTATTTAGTACGAAAACGCCACGTCCAAACTCTTTGCTGCAAGGGACGAATCCGATTCCGGAAAACAAGGTACGAACCTCACATAAAACCCTCGTTACTCGTACTCTTTATAAAGTGCTTTCGTTTCGTATCATCCAGATGATGTAGCCAAACCACGGTCCCGCCGCCCAACCACCAGCCGCCCGGACGAAGATTCCGGAAAAAGTAACGTAAAGTCCAAATTGGGGGCGTTCTTGTTCAAGCGGGTATGTGTTGCATTGTGTTTTGGATGAGGGGTTATGAGTAACCAGAGTGTCTTTTAGCCGAGTGTGGATAAGTTGAAGGAGAAGGGGATTATTAGGGATGAAGGTATGGTCGTTTTTGGTGATGCGGGTGTAGTTGTTATTTTTTTGCTTATTTTTTTGTGGGTTTGGGTTTTGTTTTTGTATCTGCGTACGTGCACACACACACACACACACACATACACACACACACACGCACGCACAAAAAGACCAAGTATTCGGCGGCAACCTCGCAACCCAAACAACCCCAACAACTCCCATTCCCCCCGTCATCACCGCCTGCATCACCCAAGTAGACCGCCGCGGCCTCGAATCACAAGGCATATACCGCCTAAGTGGCAACGCGAGCACGGTGCAAAAGATTCGAGTTGGATTTAATTCAAGTGAGATTTGTCTTTTGACTTGTGTCATTAGGTCCATTGTTGATATTTTTTTTATTTTTTTGTAGAGGAATCGGTGGATTTATCGGATGAGGGGTTGGATATTAATGTTGTTGCGAGTGTTTTAAAATGTGAGTGCTCGTTTTTTCGCTTTTGGGTTGCATGAGTAAATGTGTTTTGTTTAATGCTTTTTTTGGGTTTTTTTAGTGTACTTGAGGGAATTACAAGAACCCGTTATACCATTTGCGTTTTACGAAAAGTTTATACAAGCTGCCAGTGCGTACCCTTCCCTCCACTCTTCCCCCTCTCTCCCCCTTTTTAAACTCTTACCTCCCCCCTTTTCATTTTACAGAACAACCAGACTACGACACCCGCCTCTGCGACCTAAAAACCCTCATCCAATCCCTCCCCCTCCCAAACTACACCACCCTCGAATACCTCTTTCGACACCTCTCCCGCGTCTCCTCCCACTCCCATACCAATAAAATGGAACCCGCCAATTTGGCCATTGTGTTTGGACCTACCCTGTTACGCCCACCCGATAATATGGCGAGTATGGGATCTGAACTTATGAATATGTCTTGGTGTAATGCGGTTGTTGAAGGGGTTTTGGTGCAGGTTGAGTGGGTTTTTGATGGGGATACTTGTTGAAATTCATATATACTTTTTTTTTTTTTGTTTTTTGTGTGTGGGGGGGTTTTTTTTTGTGGGGGAATAGAGGTGTGTGCTTTTGTGTGATTTTGATGGACTTGTGTGTTTCTGAATATTTTGCAGGTTTTGTAAAATGGCAAAGTGAACATCTTGCGTATCAAGCGAGCATCTCTAGAGTTTTTGAGTGGTAAGCGTATTTTGAACGACGACGACGAGTCCATCGCATACACACATTTTTCAAAACTCTAGCATTTTTTGGGAACGACCATGTACCCAATGATTTTGTGTTTTACTTTATGTTTTCATTTGGATGAAAGATCATACTCTATCATTGTAAATTCACTCTGTTCTCAGAAAGAGCAAAAACCGTAAAAAGAGAATGGTTCATAACGCCCTCGGTATCGGTCAATGCAGTATGGAACAAAAAGCGATATCTGGATTTTGTTTAATCCTCTCAAAAAGAATCTTTAAACATTCACCTATCATTCGTTACACTTTCACCTTCTCATCAAACCCCTTCAAACTTTCGATATCCCTCAACCGCCGTCCAACAAAAAAAACGTGTAAAACACCTAGGTCGGAACTTTTGCTTCTCACATCTGTGACTTGTCGAGTACAAACTCGAACCTTTTGATAACCCATGTCGCAAAAATGCATGTGCTCATTTTCCTTTTTCTCTCCATACGGGGTTTTTGGAATAGTGGTATGCAAAATATCATCTATTATAAAAACACACAACATTCGGCCCATCCATTGTTTTATGCCTTGACCTTCTCATCAAACCCTTCAAACTCGATATCCCTCAACCGCCGTCGAACAAAAAACGGTAAAACCCTAGGCGGAACCCGTTCCGTCACACCCACAACTCGAGTCCGAATCGGCAACGCAGCAGCAGCAACTCTTAACGCTTTATCCGCAACCTCCTTTCTTACACCCTTGACTTCGAGTACAACCCTTCCTTCAGCGACCCACGTCGCAAAGTAATCCACCGCTCCTTTTCCTTTCCCCATACGAGTCTCAGCTCCTTTGGACGTAACAGGCCGATCCGGAAAACACCTCAAAAAGAATTTTCCCCCCTTCTCACCCTTCAATACCCTCCTCATACCCGTTCTCGCACTATCCAGTTGAACATCACTCAATCGACCTCCTTCTAATGCTTGTAACCCATACTCCCCGTAATAAACCGTCGTGCCACGTAGTGACCCCCCCGTATGCGTGGGGTAAAAGCCTTTATGCGATTTCTTGTATTTTAACCGCCGAGGACGGAAATTGGCTACCGCGTGCCGGATTGGGATCAGGAATGAGGATATTGGGGTGGGTGCTTGCGGGTGGTAGGGTTTTAGGATGGGGGTTTGAAAGATGCGGGTGGTCCATTGTGGACGGAGGGATGATAAAATGGACATTTCCAATTGCTGAAATTCACACCCAATTCAGTAAGATGCCTTTACAGTTTTCGTCAATTCCGAAATTCTCCATCTTCATAGAAAATCCCAACGTGATCTAAACACATGACTCTCACATGATCGTATCACGTAATCGGATGGTGTCAGCGTAGATGGATGGTCGGAGTGTATCAGCTATCATGTAGGTACAAAGAGGGACAGGTCATCGTACATGTATCATCTTACACATGTATCCAACGGACAGTCTACAAATAAAAAAATGGGTCAAACATTTTAATAGTTTATTGTCTTTGGCCTTAGCACTACCATTCGCAAACACCACCAAATGCAACCTGTATCGAATATGCGTGATCATCTCTTGCAAAAGTGAATTAGAAACTTGTCTGTGAGGGTGGTTTTCATGCCCAAAGATACTTGTTGTTGTTGGTAGGGCACACCCGATACAATGCAAGAATGTTTTTGTCGACCCCGTTGTAAGTTCTGCTTTTGTTCTTTTTGTATGGAATTATAAAGGTTGATTGTTGTCAAAGAATACTTTTTTGCAAACGTAAAAGACCGAGAATGTAAAAAACTAATAGTGAAATGTTTTTTTTTTTGCTCCTCCCGTTCCTGTTCCCATTGTTGACATTGTTCCATCAACAAATAATTCCACGACGACCCCATAAAATAACAAAAAGCGCTACAGCCTGGTTGTCCCTAGTCAAGAACTCTGGGTGGTGGAGGAACTCTAAACTGGTGCCATATGTTTCGGTATATCGGGAAGGGACATAATATACAAGCTCCCAGGAGTGATATTCGTTCTTTTTCAACATCTTTATAACAAGTTGTCTGATTTTTTAAGCAGTTATTGTTCGTTGCGCTTGTCCCGCTATATAATCGTCAAATGTCTTGTCAATTTTCGCCTGTATCCAAAAGAAGACTGGTCATATCTTGAACGGAGATTTCCACAATTTGGCTATGCTGTTTGGAAAATGGGGTAAACTCTGACCAACAAACTTTAGGAAATCACGCACAGCATGGACTGATCAACCCAACGCCGTAACGCCCGCATCCCCAACTCCTACTCGGGTTCACCTTTAAAAGATTCTTTTTTGCTTCTACCCCAACCTATCTAACAGAAAACCCCCTCCTTTTAGGGATTCCGAGGACCCTTGCACGCATTAGCTAAAACCTGCCGATAAGTATCTTTAAACTGTCACTCTTCCATGATCGAACGCTTGATATGTCATATCCCCCCAACCTCGGAATATTGGCTGTTCATGCTAAACTTAAACTAGAAAAACGGATTGTTTGTATTTTTCAGTGTTCTTTTGCATTGCCATGCCCCGGTTCAACACTTGATACTCCAACTAATTCTTTAATTCGTTACGTTAATCCATAACGAGGGTTTTGGCGACGGTTTTAGCGAATCCATGTCCCCAACCGTTCCAACTCGCTCGCTAACTCTTACACGAAACCCTAAAACGAAACCCTTAACCATATTTTTCAAATTCACACTACTACACCCACCAAATACAGAAGGTCCGAGCCAGTCAGATTCTCTGCTTTGAGGTCGGGATACCCTTCTTGTAAATGTAAGCGGCTCAGGATAGCATGTGGTATACCATCCCAATATATAAAGGGTCACCTCAGCAACGAAATCATCTCGCAAATCATTTACAAATCAGATCTCAACCAACCAAACGCAAAAAAAAAACGATTATAACAAAATCACCATGGTCAAACTCCTTGCCGTTATCATCTTTGCCCTTTCTGCTACGATCGCGAATGCCGCCAACTGCGCCTGTCTAAGCGAGGCTGGTAAAACTCTTCAAGGAACCACTAGATTATGCTGTACGGATGGTGCCTTGATGGGGGTAACAAAGTGCATCAATGCTCCACCTACGATGCAAGACTGTTGCAGACCTGCTGCTTTTCGATGTTTCTAAAGTGCTCCCCGGTTTTGTATGTTGTGTAGTTCAAGTACAAAGACGTTTGTAAAATACAAGTTGAACTGTTAGGTAGTGAATGTAGAAACACTTTTTGTATAGTCAAGTACATTCTCTGGGATTCTGCCCACTAGATACTAAAAGCACAATGTGATCGTAGCTAGTTTGCAGCCAGCTTGTATATTAAATACATGCTCACCATTAAAACAATACCTTGAATCATTGTTTTTATTATTCGATTGAGATCCACTCTTGTAAAGTATTCTGTTCAATTACATGTTTGGGGTAAGGACACATACTGGAAAAAACGTACGGATTCATATCTCTCATCGTGGTGGTTTGAAAATACTTGCTGCATGTAGTGAAAATAGAAACTTACAAGTGCTTCCAATAGCATATAGGCATATAACCTGCACACTATCCAAAGCATGCAATGGAACACTATCACACTCAGTCGCTGATTTCAACCAAAACTACCCACATTCGAATGCCCACGTGAATCCGAACGCGTGTCATAAACTGCCTTTCCATTTCAACGCTTTCGTTTGGACTAGCCATCATCTTGTGTTGTCTTTAAACATTTTCATTATGCTATCCCACGCAACATCCTGTCCCGTCCAAGCACCCGTTGAACACCGGTTCTCGCCTTACACCGATAACGGAGGGTAACGTAAACATTCACGCCCATCCCTACACGAAAAAAGACGGAATAATGATTGCTTGGGGCCCGTAGGACGACGTTGGCGATTGCAGGAGATGATTTCTGTGTGATTGCCGGTGATACGCGCCAGAGTGAGGGGTATAACATTAATACCCGGTACGCACCCAAAGTGTTTCAATTGTAAGTTACAATTCGATAAAGTGCGAGATTGCTTGTTCTTTCGGTTACGCGTTATTGACATTTTATTCGAGGTCGAATGGAGCTGTGCTTGCTACGGGGGGTATGTACGCTGATGCCGTGACGTTGATGAAGAGGCTTGAGCAGCGGTTAGAGGTGTGTACTGCCGGAAAAAAACTAGAGTATGCTGAGTGATTTGGTAATGTGGGTACAGTGGTACAGGCACCAACATGAAAAGGAAATGTCGTGTGGAGCACTCGCGCAAATGCTGTCAACTATTTTATATCATAAACGGTTTTTCCCCTATTATGTGTGGAATACGTTGGGGGGTTTGGATGAAGAAGGTATGTTGTTCCTTTTTTGCCTTTGCGTGCGGTTGGTGAAAATCTAAAGTTCTAAATATACTGGTGTATATAGGACATGGAGCGGTATACAGCTACGATCCCGTGGGAAACTATGAAAAACATAAATGGAATTGCTCTGGGTCTGCTGGACATTTAATTCAACCGTTTTTGGATAACCAGGTATCGTTCGTACGACACTTTTGTTTGTCGTTGGTTTTCCCTCATGTATTTTATTTCTAGATTGGCTTTAAGCATCAATTGGCCAATGCCACATCTCTCACGATCCCTCAAGTGCTTAAAATCACTAAAGATGCTTTCACGTCCGCCACGGAACGGGATATTTATACGGGCGATTATTTGGAGTTGTTTGTGGTGACCAAGGAGGGAATTACCAAGGAAAAGTTTGAGTTGAAAAAGGATTAATGAAAAAGTTTTTTCTGTGTATGCCTGTGTGTGCCTGTGTGTTTTTTAAGTGCCTGGCTTTATCTTCTCCCCTTGAACGTATAGATCATGCGAGGAGAATCGCGAATCATGTATCACCATGCAAATAGGACTTCAAAGCTAGCGCTATGCGTCCTTTGTTTAGCCACAAGGGCCGGCTGTCCATTTGGTGCGTTTGACTTTTGCTCAAAAATGCATGCCATATGTATGGGTCGTACATCCATTTTAAACAACATCTATCAACCACATCCGCTTCTCACCATCTACCTCTTGCCACACATCTCACACTGGCCTACACTCCTTTTTCAAGTCCACCACCAAAAACTTTTCTATCAACCCTAAAAATGCCTGCCATCCACACAACCCCATCTCACCACACCCCAAGTCTACCACTTGTCCATTGTACAGTACCTTTACCCCCTTTTCACCCTCCCCGCGTGTCCAGACTTCAAATACAAGATGAGAAGCATAAGGAGGCCACAAAACCGGCTCAAAACCCAACACACTCAAAACCCCCGAAATAGTGGTATCATGGGCAGAATAATAGTACAGTTCTTTTTTACCTTCCTCCATAGTCTGCACGAGTTCATCCAACAATGGCCCAACCCGAAGCCCAAGCTCAACCGTCCGTGTGGCATTATATTCAAACCGTAACCACCAATACGCCAGTCGCACCACCTCCTCTTCGACACCCAACTTTTCCTTTCCCCAACAACTCCTACATTGAACAATATCAAACCATCTCTCCAAATCCCTGTATTCTACACCCATTTCATTCGATAACCCCTTTGCAACCCTCTCCGCCCTCTCCTGATACAATTTATATTCCCTCGTCCTCCTCGCCGCCTTGTAAACCTCCACTACCCGCGGACACACCAGCGACAAGGATAACGTATCCACCGCTTTAGGATAAATATACAAAGGAATCGCATCCCCTTTTGGTACCAACCCAGTTAAAAACGCCTGGGCACCTTGAATTGTCCTCCATACGTCCGTACTCCGCGCCATCACAGGCCATTCACCATAAATATCCGCAAATACTTTCCCGAGTGTGTGCATTTGGTGTATACCCCGCACAGATAATTGCCCCGTCATACACGTTCCATTCCATAGATGCGTTTCTGGTAGTGTCCGGAGTATGGGTCGGGCGTTTGGGAGGATTGATGATGGTAAGGTGAGGTTGTCAGATGGTTGAGGACATGTTGTCCATATTTCTGTTGGGATGTGTGTAGAGGGTGCGCGGTCGCCGTGTCGGGTTATGATGTAGAGTTGGTGTAATGTCCATGGTGGTGGGACCTATCACGCCTATATTTAAAATGTTGTTTTTCGGTTTTGGTGATCGTTAGTGATTTTGAGTTTCACCTACTTTGTTGTATACAGACGGCGATGGATACGCTGCTTGGCAGTAATTGTATCCTGATGGAAACAATGGTGTGTCCACATCCCAGTAAGTTGCATCCCAATCAAAAAGGGTATGATAATAGTAATAGTAAACGCCAAGACATGTGCTAATGACCGCAACACAAATGTGAAGCAACATTGGTCAAAAAGATGTAAAAACGATGACGGGGTGTCCGAATTCATGTCCGACAGGGTATTGTAAGCATCCCCCCCTCTACGCGTTTTATAGACTTTTGAGCATCATCTACTGCATCAGCCATTTACATTTCACTTTTTTGTTTTTCTATTATCATCATGTCATCCTCTCCATTTCAAGAAGACCGTACGTATCCACACTTTACATCTAACACAAAAAAGCAGTCGACACTAACCATCCTCTTAGTCCTCACATGCGCCATATGCTCCGACATTTACACCAACCCAGTCAAACTCCCCCAATGCCCCCACATTTTCTGTAAAGAATGTCTAGAACATACTCTTCAGTACGTACTTTCCTCCACCTCTCTCGTCTACACAACCCTGTAACTCCTCTCATTTTAGATCCTGCGCACGGAAATGCCCCCTTTGTAATCGGTTTGCAGGAGGAGGATACAGAAGAGCACTCCCCCAACTCGCACTATCACAAACATGCGATGCATATCGTAAATATCTTGATCAAACTCGTCCGGTATTGAAATCGACGTTTACGGGTGGGTGTTCATTGGAGACGTTGACACTCAAGACGGGAGAAAAGAAACCACGAAACGGGGTTCAACAATGTGAGATTAGTGTACCGTGTGAGAAATCGGATGTCAGACTACGAGGACGACCGAAAGGGGCTACGAAGAATCCTGAGCATATCTCAGCCGGGACTACAAAGAAAACTGAACATATCTCACCCGGGACTACAAAGAAACCCGAACATATCTCACCCGAGACGACAATAGAGGAATCGAATAGCAGATTACGAGGGCGACCGAAAGGGACTACGAAGAAGCCTGAGCATATCTCACCCAGGACTACAATAGAGGAACCCATTACCAGATCACGAGGACGACCGAAAGGATCTGTCAAGAAGCCCGTCGAACATCCACCGCCCATTCTTGTAGAAGATACAAACACCAGACCACGCCGCCATCAAAACATGTTAAAACCCCAGACAGTACCAGCAGATCGACCCCGACCATCAAAACCAGAGTCCAAAGACCATAAAAATACGTCTCAAAACCCTTCCAAACGAACCACGACCTCCACAGACACTGAAAACAAGCCCCCATTGGCCCTCCATATTGAACTTCGCTCTCGGAGACAGTTAAAGCGCATGGCGGACCAGTTTGAACACACCTGAACTCTCTCTTGGGAAATTCAAAAAAAGACATCTAATCAAATATATATGAGGTTGCAACATGGCTCGCGCATCATCTCTTTTGTTTTTAAAAACATATATCTAATTAGGAGGGGGTTGGTTCGGTATTTTCTGTTCTTCTCCTCACACCATTTGTCAACAACAAAGAAAAAAAAAGTAATCCAAATCACCCAATACGTTCCGGTATGAAACCACATGATATGGCAAAGACATGAGTGTTTTTTGAAATATTTTTTTTCTCTCTTTTGTGGGTTTGGCTAGTGGTAGGACATGTTTAGATGGCTTCGGTCAAGAGCCGGTTGAGCTTGCTGATCTTGGACGAGACGGACAGGTCAATGGTCTTGTCTCCAAAGTCAATGACGAGACCACCCAAGATGTTGGGGTCGACCTAAAGACACATGTTAGACTGGCATCGTTCTAAAAAACGAAAACACAAAGCATTTACCTTGTTCGTGAGGATCAATTTGGCGTCCTTGTCGAGGAGGTTGCTCTTTTGCAAGATGCCTTGAAGTTGGCGCGAGGTCTTGGCGTCCAATTCCTGTTTCGAGGGTCAGATATCGATTAGTAACGGTGTTTCATCTCTTTGCCCGTCCGTTTCTGTAGGATCCATGTCATTTCACATTGAGCAGGCCAGCCAACTGGGAGCGTTGGCTTCGATCCTTTCAACCCTCCTCTCATTATGTCTTCCCACCCCACCTAGTATTCATTCCAACCCACCTTTGCAGAGATAACGGTAACTGGAACCTCGCGACGGTACGCAGCCATCAACTGCTCAAAAGCCCCCAAAATCTTGCTGGTCTGGTCCAAACGACCATTCTCAGCCAACAAGTCAAAAAAGTTGCGAGTAATCTCCGACACACGGCCTTGGACAAGACTCTGCACAATGCTCTTCTTGGCCTTCTTGTCCACAAGAGGCGATTCCAACAATGTCTTTGTCTTGGGGTCCTTGTCCAAAGTGGCCTTGAGTTTGACGAGCTCGCTTTCGACGGATTCCAGTGCACCCTTCTTTTGGGCGGCAGAGTAGAGAGCTGTGGCATAGCGACCTTCGATACCGTGGAGAGCCAACGGGATTTGAGACGAGGCGGGGGCACTGGCGTAGGCACGGACAGCCTGTAGGCAAAAAGTGATGAACGGTTAACCCTCGGTTTTTCTTGTCATGCCCCATCATAAACCGTTAGAACCATCATCTCAACCTACCTGGCTCAACGGCGCACTCTTGACCAGAGCCGCAGATCTCCTGAATACGTTCATGATGTGCAGATTACGACAAAGGAAATGTTGCGAACCTATCGCGTTTCGTCCTGCTAAATGGGCCCTTCCCTTCTCCAAGACCCTCCAATGTGGAAGACGTCGGGCCGTCCTCGTTGCCATGGATATTCTCCAACTGTCACGTGGTGTCACGAGACAAATGACTGCGCGCAGCTGGTTGAGTCTTTGCATAAGGCCAAGATGGTTTTGGGCTTCTTGCATAGAAGTTAGATTTTATCCCTTGACCATGGCATCTTCAGAGCACGACTATTACGCCCTTTTGGGTGTAACATATGAAGCGACCGCTCAGGAGATAAAGAAGGCATATCGAAAGAATGCCTTAAAGTATCATCCCGACAAGGTCGGCGCAGATAATGAGCAAGCAGGTATTGTTAATTGGTGAGCACATGATAACTTTAGTTATTCAACTGCTAACAATGTCATCATTTGACATGTTCAAACAAACACAGCGGAAATGTTTCATCTCCTTACCCTCGCATCCGATACTCTCGCCGATCCAACCAAAAAATCCGCCTACGACACCCTCCACAAATCCCGCATCGCCCAGAAACGAAAACTAGAGCAAATGGACTCTCACCTCCGCAAAGCGCGTCAAGATCTCAATGACCGCGAACAAGCAGCGAAACGCGCCAAAGATACGGCCTTTATGGCGGCCGTGCAGCGTAAAAATGAGATTGATCGATTAAGGGAGGAAGGACAACGGAAAGTACATGCAGCTGAGGAGCAACGGAGACAAATGTTTACGGCAAAAGTGGACGCTGCGAAACATGAAGCAAATTTGCGAAAAGTGCGAGAAGGGGCCAGTGTCATGGACTGTACGCTCAAAGTCAAGTGGAAAAAGAAGTATGCGGATTTTACCAAAGAAGATTTGGAGATGGTTTTTGGAAAGTACGGAAAAGTAGAGTCTGTTATAATGTCCAGTAAGGGAAAGGGAACGGCCATGGTCATTTTTGACTCTTTACTGGATGCGGTATGTACCATATTCGCGCATTTGCACTTTTGTTTGGCGCCGTCCCTGGACTCATCGCTTTGTTTTTTAATTGTTAGAGGTCCGTCATGAAGGATCAAGCATCTCCAAATTTCCGCAATCTTCAGGTAGTTTGGGCCGCTGGTGAGGAGCCATCCATTCTTAAGAGTCTAGATTTGGATCCGCCATCTGAGAAGGGCACAACACAAACGGGCACCACATCCGAAGAAACCAAATCAGCTGGATCTGAATTTGGATTCGGATTTACTGGATTTGCAGCTGGTGATGCAGATGATGATTATGAAACGATTACCCTTCTCAAAATGCAGCAAGCTGCAAAGACGGCTAGCACATGATTGGGCATACTCGAAATGTCTTTTGCTTTCATCCCTGTGCAAAGATGGAATGCCTCGACAACGATATGCAAATCGAATCCCTGTTCACGCGTCATCACGCGTGATCGGGCTAGAATCCATTTGCAGATATCATCTATTCACACGCACTCCATGAAGGTAGTTCACATGGTTCCTCGAGGACCAAACTTATCCAAGGCCCGTACACCCTGTTCCTGCCACTCTTGCTTCGATACCCAGAACGCCTCTCTGTTCTGCATAATACCTGCCAACACGGCACCACCCAAGAAAACGGCGTGTTTACGATTCGGTGGGTCTGCGACCTTTATCTTGAATTTCTGTTACGACAAAAACGGTTATCATGGGTTGCGAAAATTGTGCTAGTTGAACGCAACAGAAACTTACACTCAACCGGGATGTGTCTCCCTTCAAGACTCGCTCCAAGTATAGCTGCTTTAGCTCCTTTTCCATGCGACTGGGAAGACCAGGGTACATAGAGGTTCCGCCAGATAGTACAATTTGCTTGAAGAGTTCAGGGCGGATATCAATGTCAGCTGATTGGATAGTGTTGAATAGGAGCTCTGTATCACAATCAATAATGCAATTAATGCAGTGCCTCCACTCATTCCACGAGTCATTTTCTCAATATACCTGCAACTCCAGGGGATTCAACATCTACGAGATGTGGTGAAAAGAGAGCCTCGGGAGCTTGGAAACGCTCTGCACCAACTTTGATCACGCGACCGTCCGGTAGCTATGATGCGTGAACTTGTAAATGATTCGCATGACTCCTATTCTCAACTCGCAGATCACCTACCGTATACTGCTCTACCAAAACAGTTGTATCATTGGCTAATCGTTGTTCTAAATCTAGGTCATATCTGCGATAGATAGTACACAGTGAGCTGGGGTTCCACGTACCACGCGAAATGGAATAACAATAGCATACCCAACGTAACAAAGCTTCTCTTTCAGCGTACGGACAGTTTCAAAATCGGCCGTTCGGTTGAAAGCATAACCGCGCAAGAGCAAAAGCTTGATGAGATACCGTGTGATGTCGCGACCAGCAACGTCCAAACGGCGGATCAAGTGAGGAAGTGCGTATCCGTCATACACAGGTACAATGTGCGTCACACCATCACCAGAGTCTACTACAACTCCGGTTTGCATTCCTGATAAAGCCACAGTTAAATATATGTAATCTGGAAGAGATGCATCAGGGTTAAAGCATTCATACCTTGAGCGTAGAGGGTCAATACGGCCTGAATCGCAACATACACTCCATTGAAGCCATAGTGTTCAAACATCGTTTCACACATCCTTTCCCGATTGCGCTTTGGATTCATTGCCGGTTCAGTCAACATTATTTTATGGTCAGCGTAATTGGTAATCTTCAATTTTTCTTGAAATGTGTAGTCCCACAGATGAAGCATATCGTCCCAGTTTCGTACAATGCCGTTCTCCATTGGATACGCCATTTGGAGCATGCTTCTCACAGCAGCTGCCTCATCCCCAACCATGATATCTTTCAACTGAACATCTCCAATAGCTTCTTCCGACCGAATAATGGGACGTCCAATTACAGCCGGGAATATTGCTTCAGGAAAATTGGCACCAGCAAAACCGCATTTGACAAACTGTAGAGAAGAAAGCGTAAGGAGGTGTTGACTTGATTGACGCGTCACAACAATGAAAGAAGCGCCAGTAGGCGTGGCACCACCCAAGGGAATGCCGTAAATGTATCAAGAATTGGATAAGAGGCCCCTGCTTACCCCAGTCCCGTTATCGCAGACGACGATTTCTCTCGTGGCCATGGTTAATAGACGATCAGGAGAAGGTGTGGGTCTGCTAGTGAAACGGATGTCTCTGCTCTCTGCTGGCTTCCTTCACAATCACAACACCTCACAAGAAGATTGCAAACTAAGATAAAGGGCTGGACGAGGCTGGGTTACACTGTGGAGTCCAGATAGATGGCCTGCTGCCTGTTGTGATGGCGATGGCTAACAGTCAAGGCGCTTGGCACGCCATCATGCGCGGAACGCCACGACATCCTATCACTGTGCCATTCTAAACTGGCACAGCCACTGTGTTATTTAGGGAAACCATGGGGACGTGAAAACCGACATCGAGAAATCTGCTGGACTGAACAACTGATCGCTGGTTTCCAACACAATGTCGCTCGTTTCGTGGAGACGAGGCCCCGCTCTCCTTCGGCAAACGTGCGCTGCCACATCCTTCCGTCGTGCGTACGCAACGGTTGGAGCAGATCGCGCATACGATTTGGCTTTGCAGGTTTTGGAGTCAGAACGTAATGCAGTACGAACTCAGATCGCGGAGCTCGAACGACAAGAGAAAGATGGAAAGATTGGAGAGAAAGAACAGATAAATCTGACCAAGAAGCGCGTGGAGCTTGCCTACAGCGATTTGGCCAATCATGCCGCCTTTGCCAGTGGAGAAGGTATATCAAATGATGCTCATTGGGATAAAGGTTGCGTTATTGAACTAAACTCTGCTACCACGTTAAAAAGTCGATTTGACCAAGGACGTGTTCGCCTCAATGCACCACCGCCGGTGGCGATCCTTTTTGGTTCCACAATTACTCAAACTTGAAGAAGAGCACCGGGTGATTGGCGATGCCCTTCCTGCGCGCATTGCACCGGAAGTCAACTTTGAAGTCAATTTCCAAAACACCAAATGGCTCTGCCCTTACGGCCAGCCTGTTCCACCAGTATGGACGCTTTACTCACCTGAATTAATTATCACCACGGGTGATGATAAGCTCCGACACTTTACGATAGCGTTGGTGGATTTGGACCGTCCCGAGCTTGAAACGCAGTCCTATGAAGAGTGGTGCCATTGGCTTGTAACCGATATTCCAGTACAAAACCGTCTCGTAATTCCCGGTGGATCCTCACCTCTTCTTCAACCTGCATCTGACAGCGTCCAAAAATCACTTGCTGGTGCGACCTTTGTTCCCTCCCAACCTGCCCAAGAACCCAATATTCCCGGAAATGTCGTCTTCCCTTACGTTCCCGCCCACCCTCCGGCATCAAATCCGCGTAAAGTGCATCGGTACTTCTTTGCGGTGTTGGAGCAGCCTACACCGAGTTTAAAGATTGATATGGAGAGCGTGAAGCAACAGGCGATTGCGGTGGCTGAGCAGTTGAAGAAGAGGGAAGGCAAGAAGGATATTCCCATGTGGCAGAAGAGTGTTGAGGGCGAGGGGGAGAAGAAATTGATGGTCCGGGAGAGGTAGGTGGCCCCATTGATACGATAATCAAATGAGACATCTGACATATTCATAACCTCGCAGAGGCGTCCTGTTCCCTACTACCAAGTTCATAAATCAGTATGGTCTCGAGCTGAAAGGTCATGGCTTCTTCACAGCTGGTTGGGATATCCACACCCCTGCCGTATTCTCTCGATTAGGTAAGAACTTCGTGAGTATCATTGAGTTTTGAATGAGAACTTGAACTAGTTGGGTCAGGTATCCACGAGCCGGTGTATGGGAAAATTGGCAACCAGACGCCTACTGAAACTGTGCGACAGCTCGAGACAGCAACGGAGCTTGCGGCCAGCTTGCCAGCACCATTGGCATCTCTTTCCACCCAAGCCCTAAGAAGTCTCAATTACGCCGAACGACCACGCGTCGCCCCTGCTAGATTGGCGACGCAGCGTGGGCTGGAAGCTGAAGCTCGGCGAGACAAGGAGGCCGCTGCAGGTCGGAAAAAGGGCAAAAAGGAGGTGGCGCGTCCTCCAGCAGGTCTGAAAAAGACCCCGCGGTTGACGGCTCTTGGTGCAGCTGCCATGGTCAGAACCAAGGAAGGCGATATCGCACAGGGTTACAAAGGAGAGCTTGTGCGAAGTGTGAAGGAGAAGCGGTATAGGTACAAGAATGTGTAGATAGCCTAAACTCTTTGCATGCCCATTATACATGAACTATTTAGAAGTTAGGTATTCATCGCACTAGATACAGCCTAACAAAATCCACATGAATCAATATCTATTTGAAAGTGATCATGGCTACTACCAGTCATCTACGATATCTTCGTCCAGATCCAACTTGGATAGGTCTGGCAGCTCGTGGATTCCGTTAGAGTATTCTGAGGCATTTGAGCTTCGTGTCGGCAGTTCCGTAGCTTCCACTTCGTCCACCAAATCAACATTTACATCCTTCTCTCCAAACGCGCGAGCACTGGCATGGTAATATCCTTTTCGGTAGTTGCATAGGGAATCAAGCAGATGCCGGTGATGGGAAGCTGTGTCCATACGAGCTTCAGTAAGTATTCCGTCATTCACGCCATAACTACCATGACTCGTTAACCATGAGTTCGTAGGTGACTTACAAACAGCAGTATTCCATTGACCAGATCCTATGATTGCTGGAGACTGTCTCTGGGACCGATGGCCTCCCGACACACCATATCCCTCAGGACCTGTCACCACCGAACGGGAGTGCTGCCATTGTCCTGATGTCCCGCTCCACGAAGTCCGAATCGTTCGTTGCGGCGATCGCATCATTATTCCAAGGAACGGTAGTACATCCGTGCACATGGCTGATGAAGAATATCGGCCTAAAGTCGGAAAGTAGTCAGGTATAAACCACACCTCTGCAGAACTCTCTACGCGTATAATGACCTGTCAAATGCATGCCTGGGTTATTTGAACCCCCTGCGCAACCTGCTTTCGTCCAATCAAGTACCGCCTCCTGTATGCCGCTTTTAAATTCTAGTGTTCGTCTTCTCACCGCCCAATCCTCTGGCCTGTGCATCTGGCGGAATCTTTGAGGGGGAACGGGATGGGTGTGGGCGAATAGCAAACCTCGGGATGCGACAGACGCGGCGTACGAAGAGAGTTGCATTTGATGCTACAGATGATATTTCTTGAGGGTGCTGTACCTTTCTAGAAACCTCACAGACCATTACCTGCCAGTTTCCTGCAAACAAATCTGAGATGCTGAAATATGCACTGGATGTCTGGACTTCTTCTATCTCTACAAAGAACGATAGACAGTTCTCATGAAGAAAAAGTCCAAACGCTTCCGAGTCAAGATGGGCGCGTTCGAAAGCTTCCTTTGGAGTTGAAGTGGCGTCAGCCCACCTCTCGGAGAACAACTATTACCCTTAAAAGCATGTACCTCTGGATTATTCGCCAACGGCGGCCGAAAATGCTCGCTGAGATGGGAAGGTAGCTGCTCGGGACTTGACTGTGCCAGCATGCTATTCATATCGGATGCTTCCTTGGACGGTAGCTCATCCCCTGTGTAATAGCAAAGTTGAGATTCATCAGAAGTTCATCTAAACCTTAGTGTCATGCATACGTTTGTTGTAGAGTATCTTTCCAAGTGAATGAAAGAGTGCCAAGTTGGTTTCGCGCGATCCGACGTAATCCAATTGAAGATTACTGAATGTTTAGACGTCAGTAGAATTCACATCTGAAGAATTTGACTATCAAAGATCACATACGAATTTTTGACTTTGGGGGTCCGGTTCTTAGCTCGCGCGCCTTTCCGAGCAGTAGCCGCACTACTTGAGTTGGAGCTGATCCGCAATGTGAGAAACTGGAGGGCATTTATCGCGCAGCGGATATCCCCCCCGCTTGATTTTGCAATAACCTCAATGCTCTCCTTGTCTGGACGCAGGGAGGAGCGCATCGGCGAACGGAACTCGAGATCCGTAATCCGCGTAAGAGCTTTCACCAAATAAGTTGGAGCAATCGGATTGAAGCTGAAAAGCAAGGTCATTATAGAGACTTCTACCAAGAAAAAAGCGAGCCATTATTTACGCACCTTATTTGTGTATACGCACTGGATGCGCTAACGTCCGCAGGTATTAACGTTCTTACGCTTACAACGTCTGTCCTTCCGTTACTCCTCCTCTCATTGCCATGCTCCACCACAGTAGTATCGGTAACAATAAATACAAGAGGAAACTGGCTACGCGGAGAGCGGATATAGGCTCGAATCGCTGTATGGAGAGCCGTACGGGTGGAAAGATGGGCGACATTTGGAAGGTCCTCCACTAAAATGATCTTGCGTGTAGTGGCGCTCGGGGAATGGGTAGGGATAGTCTCTGCATTGAGGGATGCTGAACTGACAAAGGTAAGGGCAGGTGTCTTACTAGCAGACGCTAGGAAGTTTTGAAATTGCCGAGTCAAAGATATATATCCCGCCTGCCATCGTCGATCTTTGGATGGGGCAACAAGATGAGTAGAGAACAAAGGATAGCAAGGGTCCGTCTCAATACCTTCGTCGACATCCGCGTGCATATCGTCTTCATTTAGCTTTATCATGTTTGTATTTATTGGGTTACTCCATTCAAGGATCTCAAAGTTCATTTCCTTAGATAGCGTCCGTAGGACTGCAGTTTTGCCCGCTCCAGATGGACCCGTTAATACAAGGAGCTTCGCTGTCTAGGCAGATCATCATTAAATTCGTCTTTGCTAGCGCGCTATTGAGATGCCTAACAGCCAAACGCACTTGTCCCTTGCTACGTCGCAGTCCATCTGCAGTGGACAGGGCATCGACGAGCCATTTTTTCACGTCGGAAACCTTCTTGTTATTCACAGCAAGTTCATTCTGATCCATCTAGTTTAGTACACCAATATGAGTGGGCTTCAATTAGAAGACAAAGCTTACCTCTGACAGTGGGTGGTATTTGTCAATCCACAGCTGCGTTTCTAATTGAACATGTTCTGCAACATGAGTTCATCTGACCATATATCTACAGATGAAACAATCCCCTCTAACCTTGTTGGGGGCTAGATGCACGACGCTCTGGCAAGGGAGCGCTTGGGATAATCCAGCGCTGGGATAATTATTTTAAGGTGTGATACACATTACACTATCATAGTTTGGTTACCTACTTGAAGACCTGATGGTGCAGTGGTTTGCTCTCGCTGGAGGTTGGCTGCTTGATCATCCTTCTGCAGTTTGCGTCGCTTAGGGACAGCTTTGCTACCTTCGTCCGTGGAAATTTTCACCTCGCAGTTGACCTTCACAGTCTCCGTTACCAGTCGCTTAGACCTCCGCAGAATTTTGTCTTCAACAGGCGAGAACTCCGCGGTTGTGGTTGGCATTGTCTCATGTAAAGTTTCATCTTTTTCTGTGGCATCTCGGGAAGAATTTGAAGGTTCAGTAGAAGGTGGAATGCATGATTCGCGTGTTATCTCCAAGGAGAGGTTCTGTGTATTGGCATATGACATCTCTTCCATTGGATCAATCAGCGTTGTGGGTTCTTCCAAGATGGTTTCATGGCTTCGAAGTTGCTCGACGGGTATCGCTTTCTTGATTTTCAGCTTTGGGGTCTTGTCCTTAGAAACACTCTCTCTCTTGCGAGATCTCACGACTCTCTCCTTTCTGACTTCTTCCACCAGTAACGGGGTTTTGGGTCGGTCACCGGTGCCTTCGTCAGCAAACGCGGCATCTGTCGCTTCCGATGGTGCGCGTCGGCGCTGGCGTCGTAAGGATCTCAACGACAGTGTATCATCTTTCTCAGTAGCATTTCCCTGTCGGAGAAGCTCTGATCGCTCGTCCACAGTAGTCGCATCCGAATCGGAAGAGACCACACGGCGGGTTCTCCTTCGAACCTGCGAGTGCGTTTCAGCCTTTGAATTCAGCAAAGTTGGCCTTTACACCCATTCTATTACTCATACATCTGTGGAAACCTTACCATTCAAGACAGAATAGGGCTCCCGACTCTCATAGATCGCGATTTAAACCTGAATTATAAGCGAGGCAGAGCCAAAGCCGGAGTTTGCTGGTTCCAAATGGAGTCAATTTTGGTTGGAGCCGTTGGATCTTATCGTGCTGAGATTCAAATTCATTGGACGCGCACTTGCTGCCTGACCAACCTTGGAACAGGGCTATGTCCATCCCGACGACACCGTCTGAATCTCCATCAGAGCAGACGTTCGAAGAGAAGCTGCAAGAGTATGTAGACGCCTTACTGCGTCTGGGGATCAGCGTACACGATTTTGAACCTGAGAACGCCGAGTCACTGTTTGACCAAATGTAGGTGTGACGAATCGTAGGTGGGGGTCTCAGGCCAGTTGCGGAGTGCCGATTCACGCTAAGCGAATGCGACGAACGGACATGGGCACTGGGGAATGTCTAGTGAATGGATGACTGTTTTGGGTCGATTGCACTGGAAAAAAGTGCGAGATCCTTTTACAATGTTCAGATCCGCTTACCAAACCCCGATTTGATGACAGAGACGGCCTTGTTGACGATCTCAACGAACTCAATGCTCTCAAAGAGCAGGTCGATATTGAAGTTCCTGGAAATGTCCTAGAGTAGGTCATTTGTACCATTCACAATGCGCTCTGGTGCACGTCTAAAGCAGCCGCCTGACATAGCCAGGTGGAGGATGGCGCCAACCCGGACATTCTCGTGAGAGATTGGGCTCAGACGCTTGTGGACAAAAATCAAAAGACGCACGGTCATATATGTGCTCTACAGGTGTGTTCTTCCCAGTTCGTGATGGTGTACGGTATCACTTATAGGGAGCCGACTATAGGAGTTACATGACCAAATACAGAATGAAATGAACTTGCATTTTCCAAATCTAATTCCCGATCACCCAAATCCGTCAATATCAGAACCCATCCCTTCATCACAATCACTTCCATCCCCACTGCATGCCATCAAGTCGGAGGTTCCCCAGCTATCATCGACAAAGCAGGAACCAGTCACATCAACTCTTGTGGAGGATACAGCACCCACGTAGTGGGCTTGTCCTAGCTGCTTACTATCCGTGTTCCAATAGTGCAAATCTCTTACTATGGGTAGGTTCAAAATTAGTGTCGCCTCTCTACGGAGGTGGACGATACGATTTGCATAATGTCAATACTTAATGGAGGGTGCAGTTGCAAATACATCACTACTTTTGCATATACTGTTTTGTAATGAAAGAATCGAGCATCCAACAAGGTTGGCATTTGACCTTTGAGAAACAATTACACGTTGGATCAAAATGGTGGATTTGCGAATGTCGCGTCTGGTTAACCACCAACGTCCACCTCAGTCATTCTGCAAGTCTTTTTGACATCCATTTTACTCCTCATCTCCCCAAAGACTTTTGAACCAACATCAAAAGCCAACCTATGCAGCCACGATCGCCATCTGCATCCACAAAGGTGCTGATTAGAACACAGAGACAGCGCTCTGTCATATTGAGCTTAGTCGGGGAAGTGGTAAGTTGCCATCTTCTGCATTTTGAACACCTGTTTTCGAGCACTGGGCAGAAAATTAAACCACTAGGTTACTTTTGCTGAACGTAGATAATGGACTGGGCAATCGTACCGTTTCTGAACGGATTTTTTTTTGGCGCTATTAACACCTTGACACGACGAGCTTGGAACGCACGCCGTTTTGCGCGGACAGGGCAACCTTCAACCTCGAAAGCTGGTGTGGCGGTCGAGATGGCCAGGGAGGTTGTATGAATCATTTCATTTGTGGATATTTAGATGTAGATACTGGGATGGAATATATCAGTGTATTTTGTGGGCTATTGTCAATTCGTTCGGCCACCGTCATTTTGCCAGAAGTGCTCTGCGAAACCGTGCTCAAAAGTTATACATCGCTGACACCCTTGCACCGCTACGAATTCTGAGTGTAAGGATAATAACAAATGACAGAAATGAATGGCCGATGACATGTTTCCGATCGCTTCTGATATTTCACGACAATAACGGATTGCGTCTAGTAAACAGATCATATGCTATGACCTATCTATGCATTACAACGTTGGTAATGCGATAATACGCTCAGGTGCATTATCAACCCCATCATTTGGATCTTACCAACCCTATACGTAACGGACATTACATCCGCAAATCACGTCCATGCACACTGATGCGACAAAACAAGAGATGATGTTTCCGATGTAATGCGAGTTTAGACGTTACAGAGACCGAAAGAGCATGATGATGTAGTGCGAGAATAGCCGATGGATGCCCGGCTTGTATAAACATCATATGGAGATATTGAATGGTCTACACTTTACTCTTCAAAGCGCGGCGCAATCGGAAGATAATATGACAGAAACCATTGAAAGAGCGACGTGAACCTACTCAATCCCAATCGCCAAATAACAGAACACATCAACACCGAATACGTTGTCCAGCTAAATACACTAGATCATCTTCCAAGATTTGAGTATTTGAATGCCTTTAAACATCTCGTTCCTCCATGGAATCGAGAAGGCTTCATACGTTTCCTCGTCCATCTGCTGAGGCCATTTTCTCCGCTGGAATAGTTCAAGAAACTGGAGCCACCACGTGAGCCCGGTTACGGTGTCAAACATGTTGTGTAGATCGGGTAGGATATGCCTTTGGTTTATGAAGAGTTCAAACCCCGTTTGGTCGTTGTAATATGTGATGAAGAGCATATATGTGCTCCAAAATCTGTACCAAGGCTGTTTACATCCATATAGTATATAGACTGTAGGTAGTGCTAATGTTATGTCATCAAAACTCATTGCGAGCATGCTCGGTAAATTACCGGAGATCATAATTAGATGAATTTGATTAATTCCTTTGTATCAGCCATCAAAGTTACAACGATTAGGACCGCTTCACATCCCAAAGATGACATCTTTTCGTGGCTTGGGAGCTGCAAAAGTGGATGACGAGGAGGTGGAGGATTACATGTCGGATGCACTGTTGGCAGGAATATCGTCACAAGAATCTCGATCTGCTCCGGTAACCTACACCAAACGTCGGGCAGAGAAACTGCGTCGGCAAAAGGAGAGTGGAACCGTCAAGCCTCTGAAGGAGATAGGTTCGTTTGTCGCCAAGCGACTCTTTCTTTTTGGATACGCAGCTTGACATCTTCCATTGTCATAGAGCGAGAGAGCCGCGAACGAGGACTACAATCACAACTCCCAGAAGAGAACAAGGGATTCCAAATGCTGGCGAAAATGGGATACAAGTGCGTTTCCATCCATCGTCTTGTCCGCGCCGGCCGTTCAGTATCTAAAGTCACGGCCGTACTCTCATCATTAGCCGATCTTGAATATTGTTCTCTTGTGTAGGAAGGGGATGTCCCTCGGCACCACGCATGCATCAGAATCGAGAGTGGAGCCTATCACTGTTACTTTGAAACAAGGTAGGTACCTGAAATATCTGTAGGTTTGAAGCCCTCTTCTAACCCAGCCCCTACCATAGACAGACAAGGGATAGGACTCGCAGACCCTCTGGCTGTAAAGCGTCAACGAAGCGAAGAACAACAAAGAGCACTAGAGCACGAACAGGAGGAAGCACGGCAGGATTATCGAATGTTGATGAACAAACGATTTGCAGAGAAAAGACTGATGGCTGACCTCCGTAAGGCGCGTTTGCAATGTGAACATCTGGATCGAGCAAAGGGAATAGAGAGAAACGAGTTTTGGTTCCCCGAGAAACGGCAGACATCAGTGGATGACAATGGAAATCCACTGGAAGAGGAAGAAGAAGTGCCAACTGAGTTTGATCTAATGGAGGTACGTTGGATGTAGCCGGTTTACCGTTCGGTCTATAGCTCACCCCTTGGCTTTTCCCAGCCATCGTTGCAATTAATGGCCGTCACCATTTACCTGCGCACACTGCACTACTACTGCTTATGGTGTGGTGAGGCTTACCCGACTGCAGAAGATCTTGATAATACTTGTCCGGGGGATACAGCAGAATCGCACGACGTGTGAATCTCGCATTAGGACTCTATGGTTGGGGGATCCATTTGGATGTCCGTAAGACGGTAGAGGATGATGGTGGTTCTAGTAGATAAACTATACAATGATCCAGCTTTGGTAGAAAGATGTAGGAAAGATAGTCAGGCAGCGTTCGCATAACAGAAGTCTCCCGATACCATCACATTTTGTACATTAATACACATTCCGTTTATGAATTGTTCTCATCGTCGTCGCTCCCGTAGCCAGCGGAGGCGAGTGCTGCTAGACCCTTAGCATCCTCCTTCCCATTCTTATCTACCACGGAGTCATCGGCGGCCGCCGCTTCTGACGCTGCTGCGCCCGTGCCACCACTTGTCGCACCCGTATCTGCCTGTCCCGCATGAGCATAATACCAGTTCCGGTATGCTTCTTCATCATATGTGCCACTGTTACCCGTGCTCTGATAATACGCCTGCCAGTCATACCCTGTCTGATCCCCAACATATCGCCACGCGGTTCCGTCCCACTGCCATCCATTGTAGGTTCCATCTGCACCAGCCCTGCCTTCACTGTCAAAGACAGTGTTACTAGCGTCCCTTAGGGCAGCGGAAATTGCACTTTCTTCTTCCACTTTTGCGGCTTTGGCGGGTGGGGCTTCTGCGTAATAGCCTTCGTAGTCTAGAATATTTCCTTGATCGCCAATCACGGGCAGTTTTTGCTGGAGCGCTTCGGATATGTACGCCTCCACCTTCCGCTTTTTCTCCTCCTTGACGCGCGGATTCGGGTCTTCCGTGGCCCATCGGACATTTAGAATCTGCAATCATTGTCAGCCAACAGATCCACTTGCAGTACAGATTGTGCACGTACCTCATTACTGTCTAGCGACTGCCCGTACATCGCCTCTCTCGCAAACTCGGCATTCGATCTTCTCACGTAGCGTACAAAGGCCACAGATTTATGTGGCAAGATATTGACTATGAATATTCTGCAGTCAGCGTCTCGTGCAGTCAACAATATGCCTGCCGGCAAAGCGAATACGTACTATGCTCAATCTCTCCCCATTCGCTAAAGTGTCTTCTTACCACCTCCTAATAGTGGAAAAGGGCCTTCAGATATGTTATCCTCAACATCAAGCCAAGCGCTAGCATACCTCCATTTCAGATTGAGGTGCCTTTATATTTCCAATATACAGTGTGCGGTTGTCCCGTTCAAATGACCCAACTTACATACGGTGTGCGTCAGTTTTCGGCCATAAGGTGGGCCTTTCGATATTTTGACATACCTCCACCCATATCATCTCGGTCCTCTCTGAACCGTTCCCTTCCAAATATATCATGCGCTTGAATCTCTCTGTCTTCCGGTAAAGGTATCCGGTGCCAGTACTGTTGCAAGACAATGCTGTATGATTATCCCGACAAGTTTCGCAGTTCATCGCAATCAGATACTCACCGAACATGTATGTCCCTTCATACAGCAGCCTCGAGCAAAGTGAACACAGAACGATGAACCCGTTTGGGCCTTTGTGTATCCCATGTCCCTCGCGATTTTGCAACGGTGTTCGGCTTTCTCCAATCTGGGTCAAAACATGTGAGATGCTGAAGAGCGCAGCAACCACAACTTCTTCATAACATACGCATTTCGCTTTCGGCCCTCTCCTGTCCATCTATTGTACCAAATGTTGTACGTGCCTGCTTGGTCGGCAGCGACAGTCGCCTTCGCCGGGGCGGACACCTAAGCGCGACATTTCAAGACGCAAAGTTTAGATGCTGCTTCATCGAGAATGATGACTATCTGAATACCTGTTTGCGTGCTGGTCTGTCCATAGAGAATGCGAGCGTTCGTGTACGCTGGACAGAAGAAAAGTGGGAATACAAGAGTAGATCGCCGGAGGAGCTCCTGTTCGACGTCCTTCCCTTGTTGCTATGGCATTCCGCACAGTCATCTGGTGGGATCTTTGGAGCTCACGTATTTGCTTGTGGAGTGACCATAGGAAATCCTCTATGGGTAGTATTGCAGAGCACCTTAGGATTGCTGCATACTTGGCTGGAGGTCAGCAACCTGGTAGGTAAAGTCTGCTTTTCTGATGGTCAGACTTGGTGTCATATGCTGCGTTTTATTTAGGCTCCACCGACAATCGTGATGCCGTGAGTGCTATTGAAGCCCGCTTGGAACGAGCAAAATTACCAGAAGAAACCACAGGCATATCACCAACCGACCTCAAGGCCCGCTTTGCTTTAGCCTGTCTTCAATGCCTAAAGCGCGTAAACGACGCTTTATTATCCACTTCAACCGATGGCTCTGACCTCGGAGCCAGAGATCAAAAGCTCCTGGATACACTTCTGCAGATCACAATTTATTTGGGAATATATCCGTCACTGGAACCTAATGTAGGACTTCCTCTCTCACGACGCACACGTTTCCCTTTGTTGGATATTGAAGGTCTGCCTTCGCCTATTATCAAGATTATGTATTTATTAAACAGCTACTTAATGAGATCATTTTTCCGATCCTTCCTCCTTCTCTTTGGCTATTGTTCCTTTTTCATCTGCTCTTTATCAGGTGGAACAGAATCTGGTGTCAACCCACAATTCCTATTTTATGTCACCCGAGAATTGGCGTCGATAACTTGCCATGATCGCACCTTCCTAGCGACAACAATTGTGAACAGGTACCTTGCCGACTTGTATGCCGCGCAATTACAGTTGGCCTTTTCGCCCGAGATACCGGCTATGTCCATGATGTTTAGCGGCGATCAAGAGAGTCTGAAATCTGTAAATATGCGGGATTACTCCCGTCAGATGTTGGATGAGCTATTTGCAAGGTTGGAGTGCGGAGAATGATTAGATGATCACAGCACGGGATTTCTTACATTTTGAGCGTTCAAGAGTCTCGTCGTTGTCGTCATTGGAAGCCTTCTTATCGCTTCTTCGGGCCAAACCACCACCTTGGTTCCGCGCACAATGCACCCGGCTTCTATCACAAGTCGTCCTTAGACCAACTGGTGTTCAGACGGTCTTTGAATGCTTCCTACCATCCACTCCAGTTGCTGGTACCGTGTTTGCGTTCTTATGCGGTGGACCACTTCTGGCTAATGCTTGAGCGGTAGGCGTCCTCGATACTGCACAACTGCAGCATGTCGCCCAGCTCATTTCATCAGTGCCCAAGCAAGTAGCGTCCGTCGAGGTAGGCTGCTCCATGCACGTAGTCTTGTCCTCATGGCGACTGATCTTTGTGAAAAGGAATACTATTCAATCATCTCCCCACAACTTCTGGACCTTGTTGAAAAAGTAGAGTCAACAAGACCCATATTTCGCGCGGCTATATACGTCACAGTTCAGATGATAAACAAACACCCACATTTCGGGAAGCAATATCTGCTTAACCCGCTTATTGCGCCCTTACTACAATTCTATCGGTCAGATGTGTCGGATAGGAAGGAAACCCGTAGGTATGCCCACTGTTGTCTGTTTGCCTTAAAGGACTCGGCTTGCTAATCGGCAAGGGCAGCGAACAAAACGTAGATCTTCATGGCAGAGTCATTCTTGCTGATGAAGAGTCCGTTCAATGCGCAATAGATCACATTCGACAACTGCTCGTTGGAAATGAGATCAGTCACACGCTCATGAACGCCTTGATACCCGGTACGTGCCGGTTTCCTGTGAAACAGAAGAAGAAACCATCTCTAAATTTTGACCAAAACCTCAGTCATAGCACCACTCTACTACATTCACGACTTTGCGACTCAAAGCGGATCGAACGTGAAAGTTGCTGTCCATACGATTCTGCTCACATTTTTCCGAACAGCACATACCGATGACGCATCGTCTGCACTTTGGCGAACTTTAATGGATGTTCCGCGCCAGGCAACCGCTGCTATTGCTGCTGGAGATGCGGGAGGTGTCATGTTGGTAGCAAATGAAGAGGGCAGGTGTGTGTCTTTGCACCTTTCAATATGTACAGGCGTCGCCTTCGATTGATAACAGTTATTATTTAACAAAAGAGTAACTGTCGATGTGGACCGATTGCAAGAGCTCCTGGATGAAATAAACAATGAGGAGCTGATCGCCGAATTCTTTCTGAAACTACTGGAAGTCCGCGGAACACAGACTTCAGATGATCCTGACGACGAGTTTAAGTAGGAAGCCCGAGTTACCTTGAAGGCGATTTGCTTGTTCTGCTTATTCTGATACGCATCTTTGTCATGGAAAGTAAAATCTTCGCCACCGAACTTATCCTGGGTATCATGAGTCGCTTTGGTGAAGCTATATTGAAGAAACCACGGCAAATCATCATTTTTGCAAAGAACGCACTATTGAGCGGCGAAGAGGAAGTCGTATCAATGGGACTTGGCCTTTTAAGTGCTGTCTTAGGGAACGGTAGGCTAATTTCACTGCTGTAGCGGGTTGCATTGGTAACCTGTATCTCATACATCGGATGCAGAGGAGACTGCCTTGGACCCAGAAACTCGTCCAGTGTTGGATGAGATCCTGATCATATTACAAGCGCACAGTTCCCACGACGCCGTCGAAATAAGAGAGATGGCTAAAGAAGTGCGAATCCAATTAATCACACGAACGTCTGCTTTTGGTTCTTTCGGTAATGCGTACAGTTCGTCAATAGTATCTTTTGTGACAATTGAGTTGACCACAAGAAAAACGGTCAGACACGGAGGAACCAAAGAACAACTCTGCCAGTATTCTCCAAGACGCCCTGAAAGAACTTCAGGATGATCTCATTCCTGTTCGAGCGCATGGAATGCATCAGCTTCGCAGCCTTATCTTGGCGCATGATCCGATTGTAGAGGAACAAATCAGTACCATCACGTCCTTGTTTCTTGATCAGATTGCGGATGAGGATAGGTATATCTTAGTTACTGCTGCTTCAGACAACAAAATCGGTGACAACTTCTCGACCATTTTTTGGTAGCTTTATATACCTCAACGCTGTCAAAGGCCTGTCGGCGCTCACCGATGTGTATCCTCGCGCGACTCTCGCAAGTATCGCAGCTCGCTATCACCTATCTACTCTGAACCTCGACTACCGACTACGAATAGGTGAGGCGCTATTGCAGACAATTCAACGATGCGGTGAAGTGTTTGGAAAGTATTGTGGGTATTTCAACGGGTGCAGCTGCTTGGGGGACAATCCAGTCAGATGCTCACGCAGTTCGTATCCGCAGCTCCAGAAATCCTTCCACCCATTCTTAGAGTCATGCACGACCCAGCAAAAGAACTTCGGGCCAGCGCACTCTCTCTTTTAGCATGTGTTGCGGAGACAGCTCCGTTGGCTCTGCTACCTGTGCTATATCAGGTGATGGACTATGTGCGGAACCTGCTGGTTTTCGAGAAAGACGTGGAACCGAGAAGAGGTGTGTTGAACCGCGTGTGGTACCCTTGCCGGACTTGGCTTAACATTTTTGCTCGCCCAAGGTGCCATTGTAACCCTCCTGTCACTCATCCGGGGGCTGGGCGAGAACATTTTAGCCACGTTACCGCCCGACCTAGTGAAGGAGATTAGCAAACAGCTCAGGATCACAGAGTCGACTGACGCAGACGAGCTAACAAGAGTTCATGCTCGGACTGCGCTGAATGATATAAGAGAGATTGTTAGGGGTGTGACTGGGTGATTCGCTTCGGGTAGCATCCTGATTATGGATGACTGACGTTTAATCGCATTCCGACGTTATGTGCTCGTCAACATCATGTAATTGAATTCTTCACAACCTACACATTTGGAGCCTTAACCAATCGGTCATTTTCTCAAACTATGGTACAGTAGAAACAAGCATATCTATAACTGATCTATCAACTCTATAACTGTAACAACAACTCCTCCTCGCACCGAGGACAGGCATAATAGGTTCAATTTTGCAAACTATGGAAAACTTTTAAACCGCACTAAATTTTGCCACAAACGCCATAGGAATCCACCCAACCTCGGGTTTAATTTCGGGTGGTGAGTCTGCTTGCGGCTGCTGCTGCTGCGGGGGTCCGCGGCGGAATCTGTCCGCAAAGCCTCTGGAGGATGATGGGCTTTCGACAGAGGGACTCATAGGCTTGTCAGTCCCGTCCTTTTTTTTACGCTGCAATTTTGTGCCATATATCCAGGTTCCTTGGCGTTTGCGGACTTCGATGACGTCGCCCTAAAAGCAACACAATTGAGAATTGATGTGACCCACCAGAAACCTCGAGTCACGGATACCTTTGTTAAAGACATTTCCTTTGCGCTTCTCGCCGTAAAATCATGAATTGCATACACAAGATCTGCCGCCTTCGTTGATGACATGACTCCTACTAAACTTTCGCTCGCTCCAACCACACTCCCCATTTGGCTTTCTGCATCTCCATCCCCACCCGCCACATATACGGCTGGAGTACGAAGATTTCCCCCGTGACGACTCACTGGCACAGATGCAATTTGTGTGTTCTCGGCGGCGAAGATATCGGGATACAATGACGACAAGGTAGAGGTGAGATTCTGTGAAGTTGTTGGCTCTATGACCGAGGATCGGACCGTGGCGATAGGTTTAGAGGTAGGAAATGCTACACGACGCTTTTCTCTTTCGATTGTGCTGCTGCTGTTGTTGGATTTAATGATAGGCCTTGGCGGGAACTGTGATGAAGGAGTAGTAACTGTTGGCGATTGCTCCTTCGGGGATGGTGCGTCATTTTCATTTCCAAGTCGTGAAAATGCGGGGAGAGAAAGCTGTGGTGCACTGGAATTCGACGCGGCTTCCTCAGCCGCCGTGCCCGACGATGCAGGTTCCGTAGTATCATTTGCTGTAAGTGATGAATCCTGACGCTCAGGAGCTCCTATCGTTGCAGCTGCTACCGCCCCCGCCAGTTGTGCAACTGCCCGCCCAAAACTGGCCGATTTCATAGCTTCTTCATGATGTCTCTGGTCGGGGCCAATATTGCTATCTAAGGATCCACGCCGTGACACGCGACGAGATGGTCCATCCGAAGTTTTAATTGAGTTGTTGCGTTTGCTCGCGCTGAACACTGTCTCCGTCAATATAGCATTGGCGTCAGATTTCTGGTCTTCCGACAGCTCATCAGCACATCCTGCTGCACCGGCGACGCACTGCCCAAAGAGGATCGCGAGACTACGTAGCAATGTACTCCACTGTGCCTCCATGCTGCGTATGTTTCGTGCTTCTTCTCCGAGAATCACATTTTGGTTCACATATTTGAGATCTTGCAGCTCAGCGGTGTACTGGGCGAGATTTCTGACGGCTTGTTGAATTTGTTCAGGGTTGCGATTCCGTCGTTTTCGGGTGTCAGTTTCTGCCTTTTTGATTTTGTCCTGAATTTCTTTTCCCATATATGCCAATCGCTTTTCGTTTGCCTTTTCGGATATACCAATGAGTATTGATCAGCTCCTACATGTCAGCACAAACAACATGCACGAGACTTACCACAACTGTGTTGGCATGTTCTTCAATGCCCTTTTGCAGAGGGTCTTCCAGCTCTCTTTGAACACGATCACCCAGCTCTCTTATTCGTTTGGACATTGTCAAATGAAGTTCGCCACAGCGCTTTAAGCCATCTATCATGCAGAAGAAGGGGAATTGGTCCGGCTGCCAAGCCCAAAAGTTTGGCATCAACTACGGATTTTACCTGGTTTTACACCGCCTCGTATTCTCTCTGCCTGTTTGACCGCTCGGCATCTGCTCAAGTCAATGACAGACTCTGACATATCCTGCATAACGCCGGCCAAAGTCCACAAGGCCATTTTGTATTTGCCAGCAACCTTTAGCACAGACTGAGATCTCGCAATAACATCCTTAATATCCTGGCGGGATATAGAGTCATTGGGTTGGCCGAGCATATTGCTATAGTCGTAAACGGAGGAAGTCGAGGAAGAGAGGGACGACGAAGACGGAAACTTTGATAGCTCGGGTCTTTTGGGAGACTCTGGATGGAGCGTCCCCCGAGACCCAAACAAATTGAACTGTGGACGTGGAATGGTGCTTGATTTGTTGGGGCTTTCAACACGTATCTTCACCTCAAACCTATGGGACTTGGCTGCGAAATGACGACCTCTTGGATGATGCCAACATGCCCTTGTAAAAAACTGAAACTTTGGCTGACGAAAGTGGGCTGGTTTGGGCTGACGGACCGCGCCGTGATTGATCACGTGTATTAGATTCCATCCATTCTCATATTTGGTTAACATTTGAAACCTGTGCTGTTACACAAAGCTACTAAGCCCCTACGAGTGGGGTCGGTTGTGGGGACAACAAATTTTCCAGGGTAATTAATCACGTGAACTATCCACGTGGTTCGGGATTTGTCATGCATCGGATCTCACTTTGATCACTGTGGAAGAACTTGGACCTTGTTCGCAAAGGGCACGGAATGAACACGACGGAAAGGGCAGCTACTGAAGAAACGTCCACTGAGGGACGGGGGGACGTAGAGTCAGTAACACCCACGCAACCGGCAGCAAATGAGAACACCCCCCTGCTCTCCGGTGGCAGCAATGCGGTTGCTGATGGCGAAAGACCTCCGGTTGCAAAACCTGCACGCCTCTTGTACTTGGACCACATCCGTGGTCTGCTCATGATCTTGCAGTCGATTGATCGTAAGTTAAAACAGATGGTCATGTTTGTTCTTTCCAGTGAGGAGCTGACAAGGGCATTGGTAGACTCTCGGCTTTTCTTGTCGCGCATCGACATTAAACACGAAGAATGGTGGGAGATGCCGGACTACCATGGATCTTTGTATCACTGGTTTGTGCGCTTCCTGACGGCCATCTGTGCACCAGGTATGTGTACCTGGTCGTCCAACGTCAAAGTTGATAAGCATTGATGGATTGACATGCGCACAGGGTTCATGATGACCATGGGATCCAGCATCTTGCTATTCACAATGAGTCGCTATAAACTGGGTTGGCATTGGTCTGCCATCTTGAAACACTTTCTCACACGCGCGATTGTATTGATCATTGTGAACTCGATTATGTATCCTTGTAAGTGACCAGTACACTGGTACGAACAAAGGGATGTTATTCTCATCTGTCGCTGCATTTCAATAGCGTGGATGCTGGTAACGACTGTGCTATTTGCCCTGGGATTCGACATGTTCCTTGGCTCTTGTGTTGTCGCATTCGAGTCTTTGACCTCAGAACGTCTTGCATCCTATTTATCGCGGACGCGCCCAGCACAAGACGCGTATAAGATGGCGGTCTCCGTATCGATCGCTGCCTACGGGATTTCTGCAGCTGCTATCACGTCACTCGCTAGCTTTTATACGCCCAGCGTCGAACACGCGAACGACGAAACTAACTGGCTTTGGCGACTCTTGTTCTTGCCGCACCTGCCACCAAAGGATGGATGGCTATATAGTATGTACCCACCAATCCCTTGGTTTGGTATGGTATTATGGGGAATTGCCCTGCAACGTGCCGTATCCGTTTTCAAGCTGAAGCCAAGAGACGTGGGAATCGTGAACGCGGTATTTGTCGCTGTGCACTATGGCTTTATTTCATTGCAGGTGCACTAAATGTCAAATGAACTTTGTAGGCATTGGCTGTGGTTATGTGGATCATTTTTATTCCGATTCGTTTGAATGAAGGATATGGAAATATCAATCCGGGGGAATTGCATCCTTCGCCGCGCCATTCATTTATCAATTTCTTTAACCTTACCAAGTAAGGAATTTTGTCATTGTTTTTCACAGCATTTGGACTTGAGCTGAGCTGTAATTCTTAGGTACCCACCATCGGTTGCATACACAACTTGCACGCTCGGCATCGTGCATGCCCTATGTGCATTATTTATTCTCGCGGAAATTAGATTAAAGGATACTATATGGGCTTCAGATCGTAATCCCCTCGTCGTTTTCGGTCGATCTGCCTTCTTCTTCTGTAAGTTCATATTTAAAGGGTCTATCATAATGCAATGTTTTAAATCCCATTTTTTTGTATCGTTAGACGTACTACACTTTTATGTATACCGGGGCTTCCGCCAGGTGCTTTCTCTTGTCGGCGTCATATCTGGCGGATCGGAGTGGCAAGACCAAGAGTATAATCTCCCAGATCCTTGGTATTGGTTGAGCTGGGTGGTCGGCCTTGTCGTTCTTTATTTTGCCTGCGAGAGATATGGCAGATTCAAGGCGGGCACCTCACCCGATTCTCTATGGAGATTGTTCTAAAAATAATGAATATAATAAAATATTATATTGGGGTTTACGTTCGTTGCTTTCGACAAAATGTTGAGTTTGGAACGTCGTTGAGTTTGCACGTGGTAGAGCGTGTTGAATTTCAAAAATAAAAACGCGCGTTGAGAGCTTCCGATATATCGTAAAAAGCGGGCAACCGCAATTTGGTGTTTTCCTCGCCAGCAAACGATTCCCAGCGGTGTCGCTACTTTCATAACGCTGCATACCAGCATGACGTCCCAAAACACAGCGGTGACGGCAATAACGTCCTACTGCCTGTCATCCATATTAATGACCTTGACCAACAAACTGGTCCTCTCAAGCTACGATTTCAAGCTCAACTTTCTTCTCCTAGCAATTCAGTCGGTTATATGTGTTATCACATTGGAGATATTTGGGGGGTTGGGTCTGGTGAGCAGGAGGAGGTTTTCATGGGATGACGGCAAAAAATGTAGGTGGTCTGCCATGGTGGTGTACTTTGATAACGGTCTTCTGAGGAACCAAAAACCATTCTAAAACCAAACACTCTTCATCACAGGGTTCATCGTCTCTGCCTCTCTTGTAGCCATGATTTACACCGGATCCAAAGCCTTACAGCACTTATCCATCCCTCTTTTCACCATTTTCAAAAACCTTACTATTATCCTCATTGCGTACTCGGAACGCACGCTGCTAAAGGGACCACCCGTCACCCGTCTGATGCTCGTCGCTTTCCTCATGATGGTCGTATCATCTATCATTGCAGGGTGGGCGGATTTATCCACTGGAAAGGTCTTGAAACCTACAGACAGTGACTCGGACATGGAATGGATTGTTGCGTACGGGTGGATGTTGTCTAATTGTTTGACGACGGCGGGTTTTGCGTTGTTGATGAAGAGTAAGATTCGGGAAGTGGGATTCAAGGAGTTTGATACTGTGTTTTACAACAGTAGGTGTCTGCTATTCCTTTTATGTGTTTGCTGTCAAGTCTGTTAAGCATGAAATCCATCGCAGATCTTCTCTCGATACCTATTCTTGTTGTTGCATGCCTTCTTCTGGAAGGCGGCGAAGCCCAAAAGTTTTATGAAAAGTACTCTGACCCTGAACGACCTTCTGGGGAGGTGTATGGCCTTGCCATTGGGATCCTCATGAGCGGAGTAAGCAGTTTTGGAATCAGTTACAGCACCGCCTGGTGCATGCGTGTTACCTCTTCGACAACATATAGGTATGTGGGAGGTTGTCTACTAGCAATACTGGTCGTCATACGGGACAGCTCATGATTGTACTCCATAAATTGCACAGTATGGTGGGTGCTTTGAATAAGCTCCCCATAGCGGTCGCTGGAATGATATTTTTCAATGACCCAGTCACATTCGGTGGTGTGGCTGGTGTATTGATCGGTTTGTGCCCAGTTCCTCTTGTATTATGGACATGAGCCCTCTCTCATATGGCATTCTCTTTAGCTTTCTTTGCTGGAATCGTATATAGCCATGCAAAGAGCGTGCAACCCACGGCGGGAGTGAAACCAGCATCAGATTTACCACTCCCTGTCAACATCAAAGCGGACAGAGATAGAGGACTCTATAAGCTTGCAAATGCTTGAATCACTAGTGCAGTCACACATGCACACTCTACTGTATATTCTAATAAATTATTGCCGTGATCAAATGAGGTTCCGACCCGAAAATATGCAATCATGTTTTATGAAAATCCACATACGGCGATACAAGTAAAAGAAACAATCCCATAAAATATATGACCCTCTACAACTTTGCCTTGCCAGAGGCGAGCTTCAAGACCGCATCAATCTTGCTATTAATTTTGCAAGAGCAATGGTGAGACAATCGGAAACATTCATAAACGCATAGAGAGACAACTTACGTCGCAAGTCCCATGTTGCCCTTTATCTTGATGCGGCCCGCCATGAATGCCTTCTGGGGTTTGAGCTTGCCCGCAGCAAGCTCAAGGAAGTCCTTGTCGCCCACAAGGACAGTCATGTCAGCCTTGCCTGGTGGACTACCTGCGCCGATAGCACCCTCGCCATTCTATGTTTGAAAGGGAAAGGTCAGCGGCTGTCTTTCGCAAAGCCCAAATAACAATCACCGAATTACCTTGAGATCCACAAACCATGTCTGCTTCTTTCCTTCGGCGTTTGTGATTTCGAACGCAAAGATCGACTTGATCTGATGGAGACGAGACGTTAGAAAATAAACCCAAGATTAGCCCTAAAGAAAAGGACCGGTACCTTCTTGACTTGCGCGGCCTTAGCAGCGGGAGAGGCGGCTTTCAAGCCAGTCTCAATCTGCTCAAACACCTTGGATGATGCAAAGCCAGGAACTGCCACACCGCCGGCAGGTGACGCGGACTCGGTCGTGACAGGTGCCGCTTCACGCTTGGCCTCAGCGGCCGCCGCGGGTGTAACATCACCTGCAACGTTGTCAAAGTTTGCTTGCACAGCGGCGAACGACTCTTGCGTGTTTGTGGGGTAGGTGGCCCGGCCATCGTCGAAGTTGGTGATTTCGGCCCATTTGGCGGCGATGTGTTCGGGAAGGAGAGGTTTGTTCACGGGGAAACCAACGCCACCAGTTCGTTGCCAGCGAACCTTTGCGACCCATGCAGAGCCGACTTCAAAGACACCACCAGTCTCGGTGTTGCTTTCGTGACCAAGGTAGGCAACCAAAGGAGAAACGTATTCGGGCTTGAGAGCCTCCACCATTTCTGGAGGCATGACCGTGGCGGTCATACGCGTACCAGCATTGGGGGCAATGGTGTTAACAACAATGTTGGAGCGCGCACCTTCCAAGGCCAAAGTGTTGCTGAAGGCGACAGTACCCGCCTTGGCTGTGTACATACGGCGAGGTTACCACCAATGCTTGCTGAAGAGACACGGAGTATTTGTTCACTTACCAGCACTGTAGTTTGCTTGACCAAAGTTTCCGTAGAGACCCACAGCCGAAGTAGTGTTGATGATTCTACCATACTTTTGCTTAACCATATGAGGCCAGGCTGCCTTAGCTACCTTGTAGGTACCACGAAGGTGGACGCGCTGCACGAGGTCCCTATAGGGTGAAGTAGTATCCAACATCAGCGCCATGTCCATAGGCACCAATTGTCTGACGATTGATCCTCACCAGTCGTTGTCAGTCATACGAGCGAAGGATTTGTCACGAAGGATACCAGCGTTGTTGACAATGATATCAACGCGTCCAAACGCTTGGATGGCGGTATCAACGACCTTCTCACCATCCTCAACTGAGTCGTAGTTTGCAACCGCCTTGCCTCCCGCAGCACGGATCTCGTCAACAACCTTGTCAGCAGCAGATTGCTCAACACCCTCACCCTTGGTGGATCCACCAAGATCATTAACGACAACGGAAGCACCGAGCTGAATTTCAAAGATTAGATAGGGTGTCGCATTTCTTAACAGTAGACATGAGTACCTTGGCGAACAACAATGCGTGGGCGCGGCCAAGACCGTTTCCAGCACCCGTCACAATAGCGACCTTGCCGTCGAAGCGGAGCTCCGAGGGGTTGGGGTTACCACTGAGTCCCTTAGCTTGTTCCAAAAGCCCAACCCAGTCAGTGTCCATGATGGAGGTGGGGTATTGTGGGTTGTTGAAACTCGTGATCTCTCCCCATTTTGCGGCAACGGACGAAGGAGTGAAGGAGGAGTCGGCCTTGAAGACGGCTCCAGGGGACCGCTCCCATCGGAGCTTGGAAACGAACCCGGCACCAACCTCGAAGATCGAGCCAGTCTCCTCGGTAGACTCATGGCACAAGTAAGCCACCAGAGGTACGACAAATTCAGGCTTGAGGGCAGCAAGGATCTCGGGAGGCATGACAGTTTCCGTCATTCTCGACGCTGCAAGAGGTGCAATAGTGTTCACTCGAATGTTCTTCTTTTCGCCCTCCCGCGCCAATGTGTTGGAGAATCCAAAAAGCGCCAATTTCGCTACATCCCAGCTGGTTAGTGGCATCCTAAACGACGATATGACAACACACTTGCATACCCGCAGCGTAGTTAGCTTGACCAAAGTTACCGTAAATACCGGCAGCGGAAGCTGTGTTGATGATCCTAAAAAACGATCAGTCTCCTGTTGTTGTCCACGCAACGTCATGAACATACCGGCCAAAACCTTGCTTCTGCATGTGGGGCCATGCAGCCTTAGCGACTTTGTATGATCCACGCACGTGAACACGGTGGACAAGATCCCAGTCTGCATCCGTCATACGAGCAAAGGATTTGTCACGCAAGATACTTGAGACGCATCTTTTAGTCGATCTCGAGTCCACGTACGTAACGGGCCGAAATACTTACCCAGCATTGTTTATGACGATATCAACACGTCCAAAAGCATTCAATGCCGTTTCCACAATCTTGTCACCATCCTCAACAGAGTCGTAGTTGCCGACTGCCTTCCCACCGGCAGCTTTAATTTCGTTCACAACAACGTCGGCGGCCTAAAGACGTAACTTTAGCACACTAATCTTTGTTGTTTTCTAAATGTTTCAGGCACCAACCTTGTGGTCGCCACCCTCATCTCCAGTTCGGCTTGAGCCAAGATCGTTCACAACAACCGAGGCACCTACATCAAGGTTAGATCAGACAAGTGGCACTACAAGGATGATAGAAACACTGGGGTACAAACCTCGGGACGCAAAAAACGTCGCGTAAGCCTATATGTGAGGGAAATCTACGTGAGCATGCCACACAAAGTCAATTATGGCATTTGTGAAAAAATGACCTTGCCAAGACCTGGAAAAGACCTGTGAACATGGCTTAAATGCAGACGCACGAGACAACTTTACACACCTCCTCCAGCACCGGTGACAATAACAACACGGTCGTCGAAGCGTAGTTCAGACATGATGGGAAAAGCAAGTGATGAGATTTGGCGGATGAGACCAGTAAATGTCTTGTCCTTTTGATCACAGTTCAACCTACGTTCGGATCAGAACGGGATTTCTGGGGACGCCGCGTGATCCATAAAATGGGTTGATTTGAAAAGCCGGTTAGATCCACAAATTCCCACGTGAAAACATGTCGCGTGACCAAATAGCCGAATGAAAGATTTAGTGTGTAGGTGATTGAAAATGGCACTAGGACCCAGCATTATCCGGATTAATCCGGTTAATCATATCACCTAATCAGAACCCCCATCTATCACTCAGATTGGTGTGGCATGTAGCGGTGTGGCATGTATTGTAATGTTTTTTGTTTATTTTTAAACTGTGGTGAGGCGCATGCTGAAGGTCTATAAAAGGGGACCTGCTCCCTCTTCCGTCTTGTTTCTTTATCCCTCGACTCTCAAAGCATCTGCCAACGCTCAACTCTCAAGTCCATCATGAGAATCCTGCTCTGGTGCCGACGACCTCGTCCGCCTGACAAATACAACATAACCCCTTGCAAATGCTGCTACTACTATATTGCTACGATCGCAGGTATGCATTATCTTTGTATTTTCCCACGCGTATTATCCAGTCTCATTATTCTGATTTTACTAGTATCTGAACATCCTCTGACTAAAGAATTTCGGAATCAAGGGCTTAGTAGGATTTCTCTCGTGATGTGGGCTTAGTTACCCGGTTAGAACCAACCGTAATGCCTTGCATGTGTAATTGGGCCTAGTTGTAGTTGGTTGCACGTACCCCAGTTCAACCCAGGCTGGAACCTGTAGCGAGTTAGGATAGGGGTGGGTTATGAAGGGTTGGACAGGCTGGCTAATTGTAAATTAGAACCGGCTGTAGTGGGTTGGAGGGAGAATTTGTCTCTAGTGACATTTTCTACCACCTGCACACTAAGATGTATGGCTTTTGCAAAAAAGATATCTACAAGGCAAATGGGCTCATGCAAACGTATCTACAAGATGCCTACTCTACCATCAATTTTCCAGCAACAGGTCTAATCACAACAGCATCCTTTTCACCAACAAAGGCCGCCAAGTCCGCCAGCCATCGCTCGGCTTCCCCCCCAAATCCCATCAGAGCCATGAGGAGACGCAGCGAGGGACTACCGATTTTGATTTGCTGGGTGAGATACACGACGCATCCAGACGATGAGGAAGGTGCAGGGGATGTGATCTCGATCGTCCATGTTGATGTGATGGAGCTCAGATAGACCGAGATAGGCCATCGCGCATCACTTGGTAGAGGTTGATGCGAGCGGACTTGCAGCGAGTTCTTTTCCTGATTATTTTTTTAATTGCGGTAAGTGAGCTTGACAGCTTGAGCAAAATCAGGAATCAAAGATGGCCACACCTCCTCGATGACTGTTGTCAGTGTTTTCCTTCCCCATTTGCCCACCTCTATCCATCTTGACAATGCATTCCTTTCCATGATCTCTCCATCTGGCCTGCCCGCTTCATCTTCCTCCAAAGGTTCTGAAGCTCCAATAATATCTCGCCGCCACTTTGAGTACTTTGCCCAGTCAGTGAGACAATTCCACACTACCGCAGGAGGTTGACTTGTCAGCTTTGTGGCCCGCACAACCACAAACTCATCCTTCATAATTCTCCCAGCTGCATAAAAGAACAGGACAACATCGACCGCAAGGATAACCAACAGGGTGGGAACCAGCCAATACAAATGGCGTGTGGCAAACGCGGCTGCTAAGAGAATCAAAGAGGTGGATGGGTCTTCCAACGTGTCCTCCCCAAACAACTCATCGTCCTCGTCATCATCTCCTCCGACCGAACACTGTACCGTCGTCGCAAAAACCAACCCACAAACCAAAATCCCCAGGTAGCGAGCTGAAATGCTCATGTTTAGGTGGTGGATGTAAACTGTGAGCTCAAAAAGATCGAAGATTCTAAAAACGTGACCGCTGACTTCACCAGATGACACAATCGGACCTTTTGACTCTGGCCATGTTCCATCAACCTCTCGGCATTCCCTGGCAAATAAACATGGGCAGCACAACAATAAATCCAGACGATATCAAACTGATCGTTTCAGACGTTGACGGGACGCTTTTGGACTCGCACCACCGTCTCCATCCTCGTACACGATCGGCCATTCTTCACCTTCGAAAGACACGGCCAGACCTCCCTTTCATTATCGCAACGGGTAAACCGTACGCAGCACTCGCAGAAGTACGAGAAGAACTGGACCTATCACATTTCCCTTGTATTCACCTAAATGGCTGTATGGTTTATGGTCCCGGGGGCTCTGTCATGCGACAAGACGCACTAGATCCCACCGTTGTTCTTCAGATAGTAGACATCTTACGCCCTATGAACAAGTCTACTTATCTTTATGTGCAAGATGAAGTGTTTGAGGTAATTAAGGATCCTGCGGGAAGGAACGGAAGGGCTTGGATCGATGTGCTTCGAGGATTTGGAGAGGATGTGAAGCCTGCGCCTGATGGGATCTTGGATCATGTTCGGGAAGGGCAGGTCAAGGTGCAAAAGGTGGTTGTACTTGCGGATGAGAAATATATTCCAGGTAGGCCCTACCGTCTGACACGAATGTACTCTTCTGTTCAATGTCCTTACTGACACGTACTTTGGAAAATCTGGAGATATCCGCAAAAAACTTTCTGCATTTCCACCTGATGCCTGCTCACAGACCAGCGCCCTCTCCTACGCCATTGAACTGATTTGCAGTACATCGTCAAAAGAGTTGGCCTTACAAACATTGATAGATTCGTTAGATGTCACCCCTCAGAACGTTCTGGCGTTTGGCGATGGTGAAAACGATGCTGGTATGTTAGCTTTGGCAGGACATGGAGTAGCTATGGCCAATGCTATGGACATGGCGAAAAAGAGAGCCAGATACACAACTGGAACCCATGATGACGGTGGAGTAGGAATGTTTCTAGAGGAGGTCTTTAACATAGAACCTGTAACTAATTCCCGTAACCCGACGATTAACTAAAGTAAAGCAATGGATAAAAAGCCAGCTCCAAAAGCTGTTCAAAACCCCGTCGATCTACTCGACGCAAGACTTGCCTTCCAACACAGTTGGCCCCATTTGCCAATTGCGTCTAAATTACGACACGTGATATTTCGGACTGGCGACCCCATTTTTGCAAAGTCAATTGGCAATCGACGAATCGTCCTCTAACCCACACCGAAACGTCAACGTCAACGTCGACTTTGGTATGTATGAATGATTGTTGAGGAGGGCTGATGACGGAGGATGCATAACGATGGGTAGAACGAATTGCTGGATGGATGGGAGAGACGGATGGATGGATGGATGGGCGTAGACTGGAATGGGACCGTGCGCGGCATCCCATGCGCGAGGAATGGCAAGAGGCCGACATGGGACAAGTACGAGAATGCCGAACAGATTGTATGGAGTTTGTGGATTAGTCGGAGGAACGACAGTGAGAGACGAGCGGAATAGTAGATATGGAGAATTTGTCTGCGACCTTTGACATGGATTCTGAACAGCTCCCATTCCCTTTCCTGACACTTTGCAGGCCGGAAACCCCGATAGTCATACACCATGAGGTCCATCATTCAGGAAAATGACATCCCCATCCCCGAGGGTGGTAAGTACTTGGCGATTCTTTTGATTGTAGCGTTGGAATTCGTCTTGTGACGCAAAATGGATTCCAGTGACGGTTGACGTCAAGGCCCGACTTGTCCGCGTGAAGGGCCCCCGCGGTCAGCTCGTCAAGGACTTCAAGCACGTCAACATGGAAATCCTCCGCCTCTCCAAGTCGAAGCTGAAGATCAAGGTGTGGCACGGTGGCCGTAAGCACAATGCGTGCATTCGTACCATCTCTTCCCACATCGAGAACATGATCACGGGTGTGACCAAGGTGCGTGGGCGGCGGGAAATGATTTGGCACTCTCACGCTCTACGGGTGACTGAGATTCCGATGACACTTTCAGGGCTTCGAGTACAAGATGCGCTTTGTGTACGCTCACTTTCCCATCAACGTCAACATCATCAGCGATGGTGCCGAGGTGGAAATCCGTAACTTCTTGGGAGAGAAGCAGATCCGCCGCATTAAGATGCTTAATGGTGTGAAGATCGACCACTCCACCGCCCAGAAGGATGAGATCATCCTTACTGGTAACGACATTGACAACGTTTCCCAGTCCGGTATGCATCGACTTTTGAAGGGGGGATTTTGTTGAGAAATATGAGCGCATGACTGACAACGATCCTCTCACTTAGCCGCCTCCATCCAGCAGTCCACCACCGTACGGAACAAGGATATCCGTAAGTTCTTGGACGGTATCTACGTTTCGGAGAAGGTGCGTTTTACTTGGTTATTGCCTCTGTTGGAGCTGTGCTTAACCGCACGTCTTTTACAGGGTCTCTTGGTCAAGGATTAAATGTATATGGGTTGGGAGTAGGTCGCATTGTACACACGGGATTCGACTTGTCTCAGCTTGTATTGGAACGGGGCCGCGATGGTTGTGGATTGGCGGTACTGTTTAATATATTGTTGAATGAAAGCAAGACGATGCACAATTGATCAACTGGGAGACAGTTAATGGTCTCACGATATTATTCACCATGTCACTGTACTAATTTGCAGCCACAGTGGACATCAGCACAATCATTCTACTAATGTCTCCTACTAAAACCCAAATGCCTAAACAAAGCTATACAATATCTTCCCGGGTATTGCTTGACTGTGTAGTTAGATATGTCACCACATCTTTATGGCCATTGATTCTAGCTAATCGCATAGCCTCTCCGCCATTGGCCCAAACATCCGCACCAGCATTTTCGCATAAATATATAACGTTTGACAGTCTACCTTCCTTTGCGGCAACCGCTAGTGCAAGGCCAGCCTGATATCGAACATCTGCACCGGCTTCAACTAGGGTTGCGCACACTGCCACCTTGTCCGCCGCCGCTGCGACGACCAATGCTGATTCGTGTGTTTCCCGAAAAATGGTATTTGGACATAGTCCACCTTTTTTAAGAAGGAATTCCACAACATGGGGATGCCCAGACTGGATGCCACTATACAAGACGACGTTATCTTGTGCGCGTAAATCGAGTCCATGCTTCATTAAAAGGGACAGAGTAGGGACATTTCCGAGGGTTGCGGCGCGAGCTCCAGCCGCACACATCACCCTGTTCCGTCCATGTGTAATATTGCTTGCAAGGTAGGAAATAACTTCAGAATTTCCGTACTCGACCGCCCGCACCAAGATGAACGACGTCACAGTGGCCCTCTCCTCTTCGACCAAGTATCTGATAACCGGAATGTGTGATAATCCAGCCCTAAAGCCTTGTTCCAATACAATCGGGTATGTGAGCCGCACTTGGCGGGGTGAAACACCTTGTTGCCCGCCATGTGCAAAAGTATCCTCACAACCATCACCCACATCCTCATCATCCCATTTCCAACCGCACACACGCTGACTTAATGCTAGTAATTCAGCCACAAGGGCCACTTTCCCAGCCCAAGCAGCCACAACAACCGCATCCCTCAAAGCAGGTAGCGACGAGTCAATTTCTCTGCATCTGTTCAGTAATATGCGAATCACTTCAGGAGTACAGATATGCCAATGTGAGCATTCTGCTAGAAAGGAACCGCAAGCTGGTTCCTGATAATGCCGAGCAAAGAGAAATGACGCTCGAGCGGCTGACGAAAACGCAAGCGCATTGTAACAGGAGCGGGAAACGGTGACTAGTGCAGAGTTGGCAGAAAAGAGGAGGATGAGTTCTAGGAGGGGAGTGGGGAGGTCGTGTAGGTTGGGTCTATGGACTGAGCTGGTTAATGTATGCATTGGTGGTTGGACTAGGGAGAGTCGGGGACCTGACAATTCTGTTCACTTGTCTTGGCTCGAGCGATTACGTGATGCCAATCGAACACGTGTTCCGATCGGGGGTAACGATAAACAGTATCTAGTTGACGGGATGTTTTCCATAAAAATAAGAGACCTCGTAATACAAAAAAGTTAAAAATGAATTGATGCTTGAAGTTGCCATGCTATGCTATGTACTAAATTCTATCATGCTGCATCTTTGTCCCCTTTTTTCTTATCGTCGCCATTGCGGTCTTTTTTGAGCTTATCAAATGCTGCCCTGAAGAATCCTTTTCCCGTCTCTTCCTTGCCTGGATTTTTGTCTCCTTCTTCAGAATCTTTTGGTCCAGGGTTCGACGATCCTGGGTTTCCCTTCTTACCAGTGCCTTCGACGTCAAACGCTTCCTCCAATAGCTTTCTCTGTTTCTCGGTCAAAGTCTTTGGCAAAGCCACGTTCAGAGTGACCCATTGGTCTCCCCGCTCATCGCCCATTCGGTCAATCTTTCGTACCCCCCGCCGTCGGAGGCGTTTCTTTTCCATCGGCTGGGTACCTGGAGGTACTTGGAGCTCTACTTCCCCGTCGATGGTTGGTATCCGAATCGTTCCTCCCAAAAGAGCCTTCTCAAGAGGTACGTCAGCATTGACAAGCACGTCCGCACCGTCACGTTTGAATGTTGGATGGCTTTGCACCTATAATGTAGGCACACATTAGATTAAACGCAAAATCAGGCTGCTTGTGACCAGTCACGTACATTCAACCGCACAAAGAGATCCCCTTCTGGACCGTCACCTTCCAGCGGGGCATTTCCTTGACGCGGCAGCCGCAATTCCAACCCATCGTATACTCCTGGTGGGACTTTAACTTCCACCGTTCGTTTCTCCTTAACACGACCAACACCATCGCAAGTGCCACATTTCGCGTCCGCAGGAATGCGCACACCCGTTCCGCCGCACGCTTGACATGTTGACGCCATATGAAATCCTCCTCGAACAAACGACACCTTTTTGCGGTGGAATTATGAGGATTAGCTGGTAGCGCACACATATCGATATATGAAGATCACAGTACCTGACCAGCACCTCCACAAACGTTACACCGTTGTGGTTTATGCCCTGCCTTCATTCCAGATCCAGTACACGGTTTGCACTTTACGATGCTCGTAAATGTTATCGGTTTCGTTGTCCCCTTGGCCGCATCCATGAAAGAAACATTCATCGAAGTCTTGATATTCCGGCCCACCGCATCAAAGCCACCGCGACCTCCCATTCCGCCCATGCCAGGCATACCGCCAAAACCACCAGTGAACAGCTGCTCAAAAATGTCTTGCGCATTTCCGTGAAAGCTGCCACCGCCACCAAATGGACCACCTCCAGCACCACCTCCGAATCCATTGAAGCCGCCAAAACCGCCGCCAAATCCACCGGCCCCCGTGGGTCCTTCACCGCCTATGCAAAGAAAGTTATGGTCATTAAACCTACCCAATCCCAACTGTTGGCAATATTAACACTACCTGTGAAGGCAGAATGGCCGAATTGGTCATAATTAGCTCGTTTCTGATCATCAGATAGGATCTAGGGCAAAATGAATCAATTAAAGCGATCATTGTGATCAGAGGCGTTTAAGTGACCACATACATCGTACGCTTCTTGTATTTCGATAAACTTATCCTTTGCGTTCGGATCTTTGCTCGTGTCAGGATGATAATCGCGCGCAAGCTGTACAATCGAAGATAAATCGCCGTGAAATCGCCACAAATATGAGATCTAACCATACGGACCTTGTAATATGCTTTTTTGATCTCATTCGCTGAAGCGTCTCTGTTGACTCCTAGAACCTGATAAGCGTCACGCTTTGGAGACAAAGACGACGCTACAATGCGGAGCAGGTTAAACAACATTCCATCAACAAATGCAACAGACGTGAGACGTACGTGTTGAATGGAATGTTCGCTGTCATGTAGAGCATTGTGCTTGAGTTGACAAGGTTGATAAATAGTAAACATTAACAAACACAACCTACCTTTGTACTTGAGCCAAGCCCTTCGAAACCTCCCTTACATGGCTGATTGCAGTTACGAAGATTGCCAGTAGGTCGCAATGGGCGTTCATACTCCCGTTGCCGAACAGAGCTGATGCATCGCGCTTTTGCAACAAATGGTCGCCCTGCAACGTTCAGACAAGTAGAAGTTCGAAGTAGAGCTTTATTCACATGAACCGTAGCTGTCGATGTGCAAGTCATGTTGAAATGGAACCCCAGTTTCCGCCTATGCTGTAGTTGATGCTCAAAGATCGGTGATCTCGTAAAGTTGGGACACTTGAACTTTCAAAGTTCCGACCCTTGTTGCTATGACACCTGGAACCTTCACGAAACGCGAACACGTTTTTGTATTAGGTAAGCGATCTGGGAAGCAATGTTCTGCTGTCTTTCGGGTCCGACTACCCAAATTCCAGCTATTAAGCAGCGTATGAACATGATATTGCTTAAGGGTCAATCTGAGTCTATAATGTTGGGGAATGTTGAATTCATTCAAATATCCGTAACTTTTATGGAACATTCTACAACCATTTACCGAAATAGAATATCGTGTGGGGTTAGACGCCAGTTCCGCTTGGTGACCATCCGTGTGTGCCTTCCTTCGAGCATTGGGCTCTACAAGCGGAGTGTCGCTGCGACTTTTAACTAAAGCAGTCCCGTCAAGGCATATTGTGATGCTGTTCAGAACGACATAGATGGAGAGAGACAGTCATGGAATGATCAAGAGGGAGCGCGCCTCGTCGCTATCCATAATGAAGTGGAAGCTTACAGGTATTCGAAAGCATTCCCAAAAACGAGGGCATGATCCTCGAAAGCTTATGCACGGAGTATACCATGGATCTCCGTCCTTTTGTCCCGTGGATTGGTCGATTTAGGGCTTAGCTTAGTGGGAGACATATCCAACAGCTTGCAGTAAGTTACCGTAGGAAATGCTGGACATCGCCAATTAACCTAGGATATTTGCTAGCAAGATATTTATTGATAGACTTCTTCACATGACATTGGAAAGCAAATACAAATTGCAAATACAGATAAGCGATCAAAATGATTGACTTCCATCACCAACCATCACTGGAGTTAGAGCTTCGCACGCTGTCGATCGCGACAAGCTCTGATTCTGGTCCAATACCATAGTAACTTAACAACTTGTCATCCTCCAATTGCCTTTCGGCAAACATCAGCGTCATGTCGGTTTCCATCCAGGCTTCACACGAAAGCATGTCCTTCAATAGATTGACGCTGTCTGATTTGCGCACTTTAAACTCGAATCTTTTTCCATCCACAGTCTTTACGAAGATCCGAAAGGCTTTCTTTGCCTCTCGTTTTCGCTTTGTGTTTGTCTTCTGCGTGTCAGAATCAAGATTTTGGACGTTATCAGCCGCCGGCCAAATCTCCTCCTTCGGTTTTTGGTGAAAGTTCGACAAATACAGCTGACATGTCCTATTGAATCTCTCCGGTCTTTCCGCAAAATCTTCATCGGGATTATGACCAATAACTTTCCCGCAGAACGCTTCACACTCTGCACCGTATCGATTGGTATCCAAAATATGACAGTGCCAGGCGAGTTCAACATATGGCGAGGGCGATAACTCGGTCCCATCGTAGTCTTGAACACTTGCTTTGAGAATGAGGAAGCGAAGATATTCGGTGACAATGGACATTGAAACGGGAAGAGTAAAATCATGGCAGCGCATGAGGCGGGAGACGATGAGTCTGTAGTCGATGCGGCCAAGGCGAGACTCCAGCGTAGCGAGGTCGGTTATGAGAGGGGAAGGGATATCGACGGGCATTTGGCCTTTCTTGTTATTATCCTTGACCATCATACTGATATCCTGAAGCTTGAAGATCAGAAAGCGATAGACTGCGTCAAAAGGTCAATGTAAATACGAGTTGTCCTTTGGCGTCCGATGGGTTTATAAACGAAATAATCGCGGAAGCTTCAAGGTGACATAATGTGAGCTGGAGGCTATCCGTCGCTCGGTTTCTCCCACGCGACAGCAAGCCCCGCTGCAGTATTGTCCGTGTGCCCGTAGACAAGCTGTCAAACTCACCCTCGATTCTGGCAATACTCCCATGTGTGGCTTGCAGCTTCGAAAGCCCCTACGGAGTGCGCAACATCAACATATCTGACGTTCTTAACTGGCGTCAATAGAAATCATGTATTGTGTTTTTAAGGCGCTACATCATACGCTATATAGAAAAATAATTACATGTACACGAATAAAAATATCTATCTCAGAACAATGACTGAACGAGTCAAGGAGTGATGGCGATCTACACCGGTCGGAATCTGCATAAACACAAAAAGGAATCAGTTTACCGATTAACATCAAACAAGCAAAAACAGGCTACATACAATGGCAAAAAATTGCCTACAATCGCCAGCGGGACGTCAAAAATGTCCCGTTTGATTGTAAAGCAAAAGGCACAGGGTACCGGTCGACCAGATGGTGATAACAATGTACTCGTTGTCATCACCGACTGTTGTGAATTGTCGAATGCGATCAAACTAAACTTTTCCCAATACTCCACCGCAGATGAATTGTCCATCAATTCATAAATGTAGCTCTTTTTCCCAAGCAATTGTTCCCGTGGCCATTGAGTAAGGATAGAAAATTCTTTCCCAACGAGTGCTATCTCGCCTGTTCGCCGCCAAACCACGGTCGGAGTGCCCGACGATCCAATGAGCTTGTCAAATTCCTGTTTAGCAAAAGGTGAGAATAGGTATATGCCATGTACTCTTAGAGCCTCATGGCATACCAATATAGTGCGCTGGAAACATTTTTCCATAAACACAAGATCTTCTTCTGACAAGTTCATGATTTGCGCCATGAATGATGGTCGGAATTGAGCCAACGCACGACAAATGCGCATGATATCATTCTTTTCCATTCTGGGGTAAGGCAGAGCATGTGAGATGTAATGTAACCTTGCTTCTAATCAATATTTGCCGAATGACATACCGCTCCTTCACATGTCGCACCAGTGAATGGAATCCCTCTCGATAATCGTAAGGACGAAGCACATTCTTGTACACTCCACTCGTACGACTGTCGGCGTACAGATCATCAGACCCGGTGACGGGGGAATTTGTAGTAGCCATCGATTCTCGCTGTCCAACACCTCCTGGATCGTCGCCGCCGTCATTCTGATTTGAGTCCAGTCCATTCAGATCCATCTGGGGCCCCATTCCCATATCTCCCAGCGGGAAAGGAGAAGCATTGCCATTGGCTTCTCCGATAGGTGGAGCCCCAAGCATATTTGAAAGGAATGAATATTCCAGGTTGACGGTTTTGGATCCAAAGTTGAAATTTGGTGCGAGAGGAAAGCCAAGAAGCGAAGAGTCCACGTTGTTGGGGAGTGTTGTAGCGGAGGTATCTTGGGCTACCATACGGGATCAGCAAGTGCCCTATGCACACAATGCAACTGAGTATATAAGAGCTTCACCTGATTGTTGGGTATTGGCTGGCGGGGCAGGGGACGGTGTACTTGTTTGCGCTACAGAGTCTTGTTGAGGCAATGAACAATAGAGTTAGGCAAATGAATTGGGACATGTGTGTCATTCTCATCCCACCACTGCCCGCAAAATTCAACGTACCATCAACATCCTGTAGGTATTTGGCCTTTTTTCGCACGCCGTCAGCGCATGTGGCGGCAAGGTCTCGCTTAACGCACCGAGAACATGGTCGCACTAGAAACAGTCATATATACCGGTCGGTTGGTGTGAAATAGGAGAGGCAGTACGAACTAGCAACATACTATCATCGCAGGTCAAATGAGCCTTTTGACAGTGTCCGCAAGCCCGAGAAGCCTTCTTTCGCTTGCTCTTTGGTGGGTCCGCTGGTGTGTCGACCATGTTGTATACAAAAAATTCGAGTTCTACTAGTCAAACAGAATTCAAGGCTTCGAGTCTAACAATGCTCGCTAGCGGATTTATCGTTGTTAAGAATGTTGGTTTCCTAATGGTGAATTGCAATCTTGTCCTCGTCGTCGTCGTCGTCGTCAGCTGGCAAAACGTTGGGCCTTATTAAAGTCTGAGTTGAAAACTTAAAAGTGTGCCACGCGAGGTGTCACAATTGGAAAAGCGCAGCCAATGGTTAAATATGGAAGAAATGCATTGCAAGGCGGTTTGAAGGATGGTTTTGGGCATCTGCTGGGCATCATGATGGATGTTGTTAGCTCTTGAACGAATATTTCCTGAAGCTTTGTTGATTCTGGCTATCGTTTCTTAAGCAAATAACAAGTCTACCGGCTTGACTAGGAAAATGTCAGTTAGAATGGATTTGACAATGGTAGCACAGTCTTTATCCCTTTGTCGAGTGGCCAAAGTCTGCCAACCCTGGCATTTTCATGTTCCTTTGAACAGATGAGGACAAGAAAAGCTGTAGAATTGCAAAGATGTTTTGAAAAGGATGTTGAAGGATGTGTTGCAACACATCTCGGTCTCGCAACAAGAACGCTTGTAGCAGATTGTTGTGTGTCGCTCTCTTAAAGGATTTGATGCCCATCATCGCACATTGAATGAGATTTGCAAATACATGTATCCTCTACGAATTCCCTTCTCCCATCCTATTGCCAAAATCAATGTGCGTAAGAAACCGTCGTCCGTTTGTCGTCGTGAAAGCAGCAAAACCGTTGGTTGATGCTCACGTCATTTGGCTTTGGATGATTCATGTGCACGCGTATGCCGCGTCTTCCCTGACCTTCCACAGGATTTCATCGTTTGGGGGCAACTATAAAAAGGGCACCACGCTTCTTCCCCCTCCCCTTCATCAGCTTGACCCGCTGCTTTACTTTTTTACGTCCAATATTTTCACGTCTTCTCCAACCGTCATGTCCGCTGCTCCAGAAAAATACCGCAAAGAGCTTGCCGAGACTGCCAAAGCTATTGTTGCCCCTGGCAAGGGTATCCTGGCCGCAGATGAATCAACAGGAACTATTGGGAAGCGTTTTCAGAACATTCAGGTCGAGAATGTAGAAGAGAACCGGAGAGCGTATCGAGAATTGCTCTTCACCTCTGGCAAAGGTATATCCACGTTGAATGAAGCTG